GAACTCGTTACTTGTATCAAAGATGTCAAACTAATATGATAAGATTGATAACTAAGTTGAGCACGAAGCTCCTATCTAATGGCAGACGTGCCAGTCTTATATAGAACCTTCATGTTCCGCCGTCGCCTACATCGCCTGTCGATACTGGCGATGCAAATGGTCACGTGATTACAATGTAATGAAATCCCTGGATCGCTTAGCTAGTCTAAGCATCCCTATTTGCTATAAGAGATATGATAGTGCTCGACCTGTCAGGACGCCGCCTGGTCTTCACTTGTCACATGCTTACGTGATTCGTGACAATAAGCCAGCGTCAGCTGTATATCGCCCGAGTACAAGCCTCAACTTCTTCTCTCCTTAGTCTAATACACACTCTTCAACCTAACCCCTGCCTATTACACTCTATACCTTATAAGAGGATCATTACCGTCTCTAGAGGGTATCTGCTTAATATGGTAGATTATTCAGCTTTTGGATTGATTCCACCAAAATAGTACCGCGTAGAGAGAACGTCTAAATTTATCACATTTCGTATCTCATTCCTTCTGTTTCTTGTTCTGCCTTCTATTCTTGTACCTTACTTTTCTCCGCGATGGGAAGTGAAGTTGTTTATAGCTGTCACTTCGACCGTTTTTCATTATTAAACTTTTCCAATTTTGAGTGATCTCCTTAGATCCCCACACCAGAAATGAAAGACACAAGTGGACGGCCACGGGAGGGTTTGAGTTTCTCAGAAGTTCGGCACGAAAAGAAGATGACTAGTATGGGGTTTTTTTTTTCTGGTTATCATATTGTACTTCTTCCAGGCAGGATAGTAGTGGTGTTTACCCGCGAGAGTCTGAGCGAGGATGAATTTCAATGCACCAGTTGAATACAGTAAAGCAAGCTGGGCTGGTAGTTCTTGAAAGCAAAGGGGGATGTCTTTTGGGGATTGAAATAAGTTACAACTCTGCATTTGATCTTTTGATATCCATTCAATTGTGAGGATTGAGAATGTAAATGTATTCCGTACTTGATCAGATATGATTTCCTGCATTAACCACTTCATAGCACCGTCCAACGTACCCTAGTGCACCAAATCATACTCATTAATCGCTCTAACCTTCTCAGCCGAAGCACTCGTCTACAGTACCAAACATTAGCCTTTCTCTTTCTCTTTCCCCTTCCCTCCCTCTCCCCGCCTTCCTCTCATCACACCCCCTCGTCCCCCCACCATCTCAGTAAAAAAAAAAACCAACTCACAGGATCAAACCGATACCCCACCCACTCCCCCACAAGCCTCTTCGCAACCTCCAACCCAATAACCCTCTGTCCCAGACACAACACCTGCGCATCATTACTCAACACCGCGCGCTCAACACTGAAGCTATCATGTGCGGTGACGGCGCGGATGCCCGTCACTTTGTTGGCGGCGATGGCGACGCCCAGGCCGGTGCCGCAGATGAGGAGCGCGCGGTCGGCTTTGCCTGTTTTTTGTGTGAGGGGGATGTTTGGGGAAGGGTTTGGGGGGGAAAGGGGGGATGGGAAAGGAGAAAAACCTTCTTTTATCTGTAACGCGGCGTCGACTGCGAAGTGTGGGTAGGCTTTTTTATCGTCCGCGGAGTGGGGACCTACATCGTGGATTTCGAGGACGTGGGGGTTGGTGCGGAGGAGGGTTGTGAGGGCTTTTTTGTATTCGTAGCCCGCTGGAAGCAGTGTTAGGTTGTTGTTATCTTCTTCTCTCTTGTTTCCTGCTTGTGCTCTTTTGTACAGAACACGGGGGAAGGGGAGGTTGGTAGAATGAGAGAATGAGAGATTGGGGGAATGAGGGGTGTGGAAGGGGTAGGGATATGATTTAATCTTTTATTTTCCTTTTTGGAGAGAAAGAGGGATAGAGATAGATTGACTTTTGGATATTGTACGTATAGAAAAGTAAGAAGGAAACGAAGAAAATAACCTTCTTACCATCATCCCCACCAACCACAATCCTCAACTTCGATTGCTCTCCCATCTCCGCCATTGAAGCTTATGCGTATGTGAGGTACCGTGTGGACACAGCGGGGTAAAAAATCCAAAAGCTTGTACTCAATACAGTAAACCTTCCGCGCAGTTTATAAAAGCCAAAGTCTTATAACAATAATAATTCGATAAATATTTCGGAAAGAGAGCTGGAGGAAAAGAAATCAAAAACATCCTGACTGCCTTTTTGGTTCTGGTTCGTGATTCGATCTCACCTCCTTTATCCAACGAACGGGGTAAATTGGATGGATGGATGGATGGATGGCAGGGCGTGTTGTACGAGTACTGTACTCGTATCCCCGGGAGAACAACCCCGCGTGGGGCAGTGGGTGATGGATTTTCTGTGGTTTCACCCCGCTATTTTTGGGGGATGGGGTTTTACGGGGGTGGATTTCTTGGGGTTGGAACATATTTTCCTAGGATGTGTTGCTTGACTTGGAGCTTGCTTGGTTTGTCTCTGATAATCTTATCCGTAGGTCACTACTGTCCAAGAAAGTTCTGCTTGTAGAAGTTAGAACAGAAAAAGGGAGGAGATTTGATCGGTGGTAGATTGAACAAGTGGCTCCGTTGGATTCAGAAATGATCTGATTGTATTTGTCCTCAAACAATGCAATTAACTCTTTCGCCATCGAGTCTTCTCTACTATTCGTAACGAAGTTTAGTAAAACCGTTTCTCCACTTTCAAAGGCAAGGCCAAGCACTATTCTATCCACCAAAGACTCCCTTCTGCTAACACAAGAACAGTACTCATACCCAAAATGCCATCCCGACCAACCCGCCCGAAACGCACCATAGGCATCTCCCTAAAACTCTACTTCACACCAACCCAAACGATAACCTACTACCACTCCCTCGCCCCACTCATCACCCTCGCAGCCAGCAAAAACATCCATTTCTTCCTCATACCCTCCATAGTCTCCCTCCCGCTCTTACTCCAACTCAACGATCCCTCGAATCCAACCTTTCAACTCGCCACATCTCCATCCAAGCAAGACATTAGAACGGAGCACAAGGTCAGTCTCGGAGCACAAGACTGCTCGGCATTCTCAAGTGGGGCTTACACAGGGGAAATCTCACCCCTCGAGCTCTCGCTGCTGGGTTGTTCGCTTGTAGAGCTAGGACATGCTGAGCGAAGAAGACTCTTTGGGGAGACGGATGAGAAAGTAGCTTCCAAAGCTAAATCTGTGTTGGAGAATGGTATGGTACCATTGATATGTATTGGGGAGAAGAACCATGGGTCTATCGAAGATGCAGTGGTAGAGTGTAGACCGCAGGTTACATCGATCTTGGATTTCCTTGATATCGTGGAAAGAGAAAAGGGAGTAGCGGAAGATGAGAAGATGGAGGTTATTTTCGCATACGAACCTGTTTGGGCTATTGGACAGGCTGCTCCGGCGAGTGCGGAGTATGTTGTAGATGTGGTTAAGAAACTGAGGGGAATTTGTGAGGAGAGAGGAAGGAACGAGATTAGATTTTTGTATGGAGGGAGTGCTGGGCCTGGGACGTTTGAGGGGATGAAAGAAAGTGTCGATGGGCTTTTCTTGGGGAGGTTTGCGCATGATATTGAGAGTGTGAGGGGAGTGATTGAAGAGGTTGGTCAATAGAGCCGAGCTCTGTTGAACACGAGTTTCGCGAGTCGCTTGTTTTTAGATTCTCGAAAGCGCCATCTCAGCTGGTAGTATGATGAGGGCACAGAGCAGAGATGTGGTGGACAGGAAAATCAATGGCGGTAGTAAATAGCCCACTGACAGCCGCAACTGAATTACAGGAGGTCTGCAAATGTGATGATGATCTTGAGAAATCAGAACGGTTACTCGAACACGTCGAACAATTTTCTCGCAAAAGGAACAATAAGTGCCTGGCTCACTCAAGCTTGCAGAGTGTGATTCTGCCCTAGCGGCCGCGCATCGAGGCAAAGGTTGAGGTCGTTCCTTCCCTAAGAAATGGACCACTTTTCTATTCACTCCACTACCCTTGCTCCCGCGCTCTTCGCGTCCCAGAATCAACTCCAGACATCTAATATTACCGCCCGCACCTGAAGAACCAGAAATAATAGAAGATTATCAACCACATATAAATAAAAAATGGCAAAAAACAAGCCCCGCGGGCTCGGACTAACTCTGCATCCCTACATCTCCTTGGCGTTCAGGAAGTTGGTTTATCTCACAAATCAGTGGCAGCTTCATCTGCCCATCTAGGCCATTTGACCCAGTGGCAGGCACACTGTATCCATTTCGACTGATTTGCTGGGAGAAGATGTGGCATTTGTTCTTATAAAATTGTGGAGCCTCTGGGTAATTCTCGGGTAACCACAGCGCTCAGCGGCGTTTGCACCTTCGTCCAGGCTCGAGTCACTCGACATCGTTCCTGACTTTGCATCCTCGTTCTCGTCTGTGAGTCCCGTCGCGCTACTATTGTCCATGGTGGGAGGAGGCCAAAGGTTTAGAGAAGGAAGGTAGGACCAGTGTCTACTACCAACTCCCAACCACGAGGAGAGCAGAGAAGGAACCTTAGGCACGACTGAACTCTTGTCCGCTCCGGATTCCAAATCTCCCCTTGCGCCCTCTCTTATCCCTCCCTCCCGTATACACACCTTTTCGGCGTCAAGAACTGATCTCTTTTCTCAGGCTGAGATGCCTGGATGCTCTCGTGATATGTTCTCTGCTTTGGAATGCATACTCTCGTCGTCATTGTGCTGTTGCCTTCGTCCCAAGCTGGTGTTTTGCCTAGCAATTAAGAACAACAGCCAGTGCTGCACAGCAGCACTGCACAGCAGCAACAAAGTTAAGGCTATCAGAAAGAAAGGATGCTTAGTAGATACATAAGGCAAGGCGGTCTTACCTCATCGTCCTGTCGGCTTGAGGCATCAAGGGATGCCTAATGTTCTATACCCAGCGTGAAATGAACAGCGAAAAGGAGCCATTTATAGTTTTAAACAAATAGACATTCTTGGAGAATATAGTCTCGATCGATCCTCGTACCAGAGAACCATGGTATTGCTTTTTTCTTGGAGTATTCCGTGACAAAGTCCGCATCCGGTAAATGGTACACGGACAACCGATTTACTCGCACAGCTCCGAGCTTCCGAGATAAATAGATCGGAACACTATTTTCCTCGCAGCAAATCACATCTTGTTGGGACCTGAAAGTGGAGTGAAAGATCATCATTTGGTCGTTGATTTACGCCGTGGCTTGAGCTTAGTCCACACCCGCAGCCCACAACCAATCACAAAGCGGTCCGCGCTGACCTTTATTTTCGTCTGTTATTCTCGACGGCTGTGTCAACGTGAATGATTCCATTGGCCTCGCTGAGCAATCGAATACGTGTTTGATTACTTACCTCATGGCATAGTTCTTGTATCTAAGTACCGACCTGATTATCAAGCAGCTATTAAGCTTCGGGAAGCCTATTGGTGAAAGCTGTGTTGCCAACCCAAGAGGGTGGGAACCGTAGCAGTCCGGCTCCCATGGGGAAATATTAAAGGTCTGGAGCTCCCCTCCCTCGGTAGCTTGTTTTATTTCTTAACCATCTACTTTAATACTTCGATCCCCCTTCACACTAGGTAGTTTTCTCCTGCTCGTCCATCCCTTGACGACTACATACTACTCTACAGAAATAAGAAGTGCAAACAAACGCAAAAATGACAAATACCGTTGTCATTCTAGGGGCATCCTTTGTTGGAATCTCCATAGCTCACAACCTTCTCAAGCATACACTCTCTGGTGTCAAGGACTTGAAAGTGGTATTGGTCGGACCAAATACCCACATCTACTGGAATCTTGCTTCCGTTCGAGCAGTTGTGCCTGGAGCACTGAGCGATGACAAAGTGAGTGTTCTTTACCCATTTCTCACTCCCTAACTCCTCGAAAAAAGCAAAATAACTAACAGAAAAACTCCCAGATGTTTGCTGAGATCGCACCGGGATTCAAGCAATACCCTTCCGCATCATACGAACTCATCCAAGGAACAGCAACCGGTGTTGATTCAACAGCTAAGACCGTTAGCATACAAACCCCAAGTGGTGTGAAGGAACAAACATATACACAGCTCGTTATTGCCACCGGAAGCCGAACAGCATCAGAGAATATCCCATGGAAGCAGAGCATCGAGGGAACCGAGAAGACAAAGCAACTTCTTCACGAGTACCAAGAGAAAGTCCAGGCAGCAAAGAATATCGTGGTTGTAGGAGCCGGACCAACCGGTGTCGAGACAGCTGCGGAATTAGCCTTCGAATACAAGGGCAGCAAGGAAATCACTTTGATTACTGGAGGCGCAACCATCCTTCCCGGGCTCCCAGCAAGCGTCATCAAAGTTGCAGAGAACCAACTTAAATCCATGAAGATCAAGATCGTCGTCAACACCAAAGTCACGGACTCCGCTGTAAAGGATGGAAAGACAGAACTTACTCTTTCAACCGGCTCAAATATGACTACCGACTTGTACCTTCCAACCATTGGAATCATTCCCAATACCGAGTTCTTGCCCGCAAGCATCAAGGATACCAAGGGAGATGTGAATGTGAATGAGTTCCTTCAAGTCAAGGCTGTTGATGGTGTTTGGGCTGCTGGGGATGTCGTCAGTATCCAACCTAAACAAATGGCTTTCGCAGGTAAGTACTTTGAAACCACCCTTGGTTTCCCTCCATAAAGAAAATGTAAAGCTAATGCAATCTCCTAGCCGAACAAGCCAAAGCCCTCGCCAAGAACCTAGGACTCGTTCTCAAGAACCAAAAGCCAGTTGCCTACAAGAGCGATACCGCACGTAAGTTTTCCCCCCTTTACTTCCCCCAAATAAAATATTAACATGGGAAAAGCAATGATCGCCGTCACCCTCGGTAAGTCCAAGGGAACCGGACGCATGGGCAACATGAAATTACCCAGTATCATGGTTTGTAAGTCTACCTGTCCCTCTTCCCCCCCCAAATCCCACCATCCTAACAAAAATTTCCAGGGTTCGTCAAAGGTCGAACTCTCTTTACGGAGAAACTCCCCAAGTATGCTAGTGGTTCTGAGTTCTAGAGTGAGCATGCTTCGCCACGTGTAATAGAGTTACAGATAGATAGATGGAGATGGAGATGAGATGGCGGTGGGGGTAATGGATATGGATATGGATAGGGAATGTTTACTTGCTTTGGTTGGTGGTGTTTGCTATACCCAGGTCTTTTATTTTAGCTTTTTTCGGGAGGGGTGATAAAATGGATTGTCTCTTTTTTACTGTTTACTGTGTATGGATGTGCTCTGCTTCATTTTGTTTGCTAAAGATGTTTCGTACTTTACCACTTCCTGAATTCTGCCTTTTGATATCATGGTTAATTACTAATACAGTGCGGACTTTAGACTTGCTAACCCCACAGTTCATGAGGAGTGAATCTTCGACTACTCCTGTAGCTCATTCCGATTCAAGGAATTACCCAGCAATGTTAAACCAAAACTACATACGTACCCTTCAATTTACTAGCAACTTGCCCTAGGATGAAACCTCAAAGCTAGCTATAAACACATAAACAATCTACAAAAGTGCGAGTTATAAGCAGTTCCTAACAATCTCACCATACATTTAAACTGCCTTCTCTATATACTACCTATATACAATATATCCTCCTGATTTTCTACACAGTAAGATTGCATAGAACCTAACATCCGCAGTCAGACACTCTCAAAAAAGCAAAGCCCTGAAGGGATGTTTATGGTAAGATGGCAACGACTAATCGACATGCACAAGTCCAGGAGTTTCGCAGTATAGAGGAGTAAAGGTATCTCACAATCACCAACTCACGAATATGTCCACAAACCTCATCTCCTATAACCTCACGACTCTACACCACTACACTGCAAATCCCATTCCAAAATCCAAAATCCAAAACCATATTCCAAGATCCAAGAAACAGCCTCCTTGCCAATTATCCACCAAAGAGAGGGGAGTTTTCATATAACTTGTGCACCAACCAACCATCCATCCACTTTTATGTACTTACATCCTTATTATCAACGATCAACTATCAATTAATTCCGTGTTTCTCCCGAGCCTAGAGACTTTACAAAATCCATTAATCTCAAACCAAGGAGCGAGGAGCGAGGAGAAGCGAGCAATTAGGAGCCAGTAAGCAAGTTACTCAGGCTTCATAGTCAAGGTAAAATAGGGATTTTGTAGCAGTGTCCCCTATCTATCTCAAGTTAACGTTGAAGACTACAGGTAATTAGAAAAAGAAGCAGAAGCAGAACGAACCAGAACAAACCATCAGTAATCGATCAACATAGAAATTCAATTACCTACCTAAGTAACCATCCCCCCAACCTCCCAACCCTCCCATCACTTCACAAAACAAAACAAAACAGCAACATAAAATCCAAATCAATTCACTAGCTAGAGCCTAGGAAGAGAATCAATAAAAATCCCCTTACAAAAGTCAAGATATTCTCTCACTTATCATACCTAAAAATTAGAAGAATACTTTGCCCGTTCCCAAAACATCCGTTCTGAGCAAGAAGCCTAGAAATTCTTAAGTCCTAAAGTCAGGTCATCACATCCCAATGTCCTTCAAAGCGGGCTTTCAACATCTCAAGCTCACTCACCATGGCAAGACCAAAAGACCAACTTACCCGTAACCAAACATCACACTTAATCAGCAAATAAGGTACCACAGAAAACCATTGCAACGTCAAAATTCAAACCTGTCTACCTGGGAAGACTACCAATAGACAACATCTGAGTCTGATTCCATGTCGATTTCTATAAAAAGACAGCGCTATACCACACTACCTCTACCCAGTAGAAGCCCAGTCCAACCCATTTCACTTCCCTTCAACCCAGACCCAGTCGAGTCAAGTGTCCAGTACCCTCAGATCTGCCATGATATTGCCTCCCCAGGGTCCTCCACAAACGCCAGCAGGCCCAAAAACCACGGGTATTCGTATTCAATTAATAAACGCCATCCTTCCGCTCCTAAGATAGGAAGAAACCTATTTCAGTCCAGTGTTCCTTCCATGTGCATATCATAGTTCAATGCCAGCCCGAGTAATGTTGACTGGGTCAGCTGGCTCCAGACTCCAGAACCCCAAATTCCAGATGCGCCTCCCATATAATGCATCCATACCATCCATTATCATACACAATCACCTATCCATTACCCACGCTATAAACACAAATTCGTATCCATCATGCCCCATTCTCACTTGACCCTAAACCTGGAGTTCAGTTTGGAGCCCAGGATGTGCGATCACGGAATGGAACAAATCCAGCACGATTTTCAAATCTCTCCTCATCGTCATCTGGATAATCAACATCCATCCCATCCTCCTCTATTGAGTGAGAACGGCCACGTCCCCGTTTCGCCGCTTGTCTAGGAGGAGCAGCGATAGCAGCCATCATAACCCCGCTTTGAGCATCCAAAAGCCCTTGGTAGGTGAGGAAAAGCTCCTTGACCGCATCATCAAAGGCCACACAAAAGCGTTGAGTTTGTATGTACTGAATCACAGGAATAAACTCCATGCCGTACATAAACATCATGTAGGCAGCCACAACGGCAGAAGATCGCTCATTCCCCGATTCGCAAAAGACCAATACTTTCCCAGGGTGCTTTCGGAAGCCTGACACTTGGAGTCTGTGCATAGCAATCAGGTGGTCGTTAATGATCTTGATTGCTTGGGAAAAGCCCGTGGAGATGAGATCTTGCATGCCGTGCAGGTCAACTGCAGCTGCTTGGATACCAAGCTGGTTTGCGACTTTTTCACCACTCAAAAGACGGGCTTGTGCTGTTGCTGAATTTCTGACGGCGAGGAGTAGGGTGATTTGGTTGTTTCGTACATATTCGATGTCTCGGGCTGCTGCAGAAGGACCAAGGTGGAGGAACTCCAGGATCGGCTGTGCACGCCTTCGCTTTTCATATTGCCAATCGTTCACGGCCGATGGGAAGGTCTCAGTTTGTGCGATAACTTTTAATATGTTCCTATCGTCCTCGCTCATGCTGGTGTGTTGCGTGCCTACGACGGGCGGTATCTGGATGGGAAATTCATCGCTAGCTGCAGGTACGTTGATATGGGGAGGAGAAGGTGCCTAGCGAACATGTCAGTCGAATCCAAATCTTCAAGGCATAAAAACAAAACTTACGCGCCATTCGAGTTTAGCGGTATGCTCGACTCCTTGTATGTCGGGGATAGTAGACATTTCGGTTTGGCTTTTGGGAATGAAGGGTGTTGGATTCGAGGTGGAGGTGGATTGGTTGGAGCAGTAGTAGTCCTGGCTTGGATAGTTTGCAAGAACCGCAGCTGCTTCTAGCCTCTCGGCATCAAGTCTATTCACGGCCCTGGCCGTCATGTTATTGTTATAGAGGACTTTGACAATTCCAATGATAGGAAAGGTCGCCAGTCAATGAATGTCCTATGAAGAGTGAATACGGTATTTGTAGTGGCTCAGATCAGGCAGTGAACAGGAGTCATGGGAGAGCCTAGAAAATTACAAGTACTGAGTGAGGGCAGAATTGTAACTAAGGTATACAGAATAATGATGTGAAGCTGTTGATAGCTGTTGATAGCTGGAGATAAGTTTCCGTCGAGTCCACAAGGCTGCGTCGTCAAAGCGTGGGACCTGCAGGCAGAAGTGGAGTAGGCACGAGGCTGACCGACTTTCAGGAGACTGGATTTTTGAAGCGAATATTCCTGGAAATGTTTCCAGGAAGTGATTTAGAATTCGATTTTGCAATGACGGAAACCTGAAGGTACAGGTATTCCACAGACGGACTTGACTGGCAAATTGTTGAGAAGAATCATTGCTGGCTCCTTCCCGCCAATCGGCATTACCGAGTACCTATAGCCTATTGGTAGGTACTCCTCACTCGAACTTTGCGACACAAAGGCAAAACCGACTGTATACTAATCCGCCAGTTGTACAATTGGCCTTGTGTAATGCATCAACCTTCTATGTACTATACCATACACTACTCCATTCCCATTCCCAATTCCATCATGGATACCCTCGGCTATTTTCATTATCTCGCAGTCTTCTCATTCTCAATCTCCCTCTGCAAGTCGTCCAAAACCTGCTGTCTCGTCCTCAGATGCGCCTCCAATCCCTCAACCTGCTCCCTCACAGTCTCAATCTCATCACTGACTCCCTTCAATCCCGCACCCACCTTAGTCCTCCCCTCCCCACTCTCCAAATCCCTCAATTCTCTCCTTTTATAATCCAACAACTGCTCCAATTCTCTCTTTACCAGCGCCGGTCTCGTATCTCTCCTTCCACCATGTCTCTTTTCCGACGCCGACTCCACTTTTTCAATCTTAGCTTCCAGTTCCGCAAGTTGTTTCTTTAATCGAACTTCCTCCCAATCCTCCGTAGTTTTAGTGCTGGAGAAATCCGTGCCTGCCGGTCTGTAACTACTCTTTCCACCCACCCCGATGCGACTTAGGTATGTCTCTCCAAATTTCGCTTTCTTGCCCGAGCTTGTTTCTTCACCTCCATGTGTACCCCATTTTTGCGCTGGGGAAGCTGTGCGTTGGTTATCGATTTGGTAATCGATTTGATTGCGCTCGAAACTTGATCGCAGAGAAGGAGGGACTGTTCGAGGAATTCGGAAGCCTTCGTGTCTGTTGTTGAGTATATGGAGGAACGCTAGACAGGCGTCTTTAGATATTGCTTGTGATTGTTTTGGGTTTATGAGATTCCACGCGCTGCGAACGTCGGTGTCCGGTACGTCGAGGGAGGAGTATAGGGTATCTAGAGATTCAACTGTATACCATATTAGCCCAAGTTCAATCAACCCCGCCAGAAGCAAGAAAACTCACAAGTAATATCTCCCCTTCCATCCCGATTCGCAGAATATATCTCATCATATTTCGACTTATCCTGCGGACTCATATACCAATCGAAACCATCCTTGAGACCCGGAGAATCATCATCATCATCCACATGTTCAAATTGAACCTGTCTTCCCATCAACGCCTTATTCGCCTGCACCAAATGCGCCTTCGATTCCGGGACCAGCCAATCCGGTAGTACAGCAGGTACATCCGCATATTCCTATCACAAGAAAACAAAATTCGTCAGCCTTACTCAATCGCATTCCCTCCATTCCCAAACTCCCTTCTCCTCCCTTCGTCCTCCATTCCACATTTCCGGACTCAAGCATTAAACATACCCCATTAACCAAATCAAAAATAAGTCTCATCGCCACGCAAAACTCCTCGAAATCCAAATTCCCGTCATTATCCACATCCGCCAGGTCCCAGATCCGCTCTAACTGATCATCTCTCAATTGACTGTTCTTCAGCACGGGCGCTGCTTGGGAGCCGGTGAGATGGGTACCGCCATTGCTGAGGGAGGCGAAGATTTCCCAGTATTTCTCGATTTCGGCTTGTTCGATGGTTTTGGGTGCCATGGTTGGTGGTTTGGTTGGGTCGTGCCCTTTCTGTTGGCTGTGTTCAAGGCTTGAGGTTGCGCGGATGTGAGGGATGATGTGTTGATGCTTAGTTTGAGGGCGTGCGAGAGTGATTGTTTGTTGGTGTCTGCTTGAATTGTGTAAGTAGAGAGGGTGGTAGTGTCGTGTTGACTTGGGATGGTGAAGCTGGGTAGCTTGGAGTGGCTGATGTCTGATGTGCTGGCAAAACCCCGGGATGTCTTGGTTTCGCTTGTATTTCATCGAGCGTTGAGTGGAAAAGGGGAGGAGCTCTCTTCTTTGCCTGCTCATTTTGAAACACTTTGAAAGATGTTGAAAGAGGTTTTGCCTCAGCTCAAATCTACAAGTTTGATCTATTGATAGACTACAATTCTTTCAACATCGTTCATTATCTCACTCTTATCCCAAAAAGTCTCACTCACTACACAATAGCAATGTCCTCCCCTACAAACCCGTTTCTTTCCCAAATTTCACCTTACGCCAAAACTCTCCCATACAGAAAATCAAGATCAAGTCTCACCCAGCGACTCTTCTTCCCAAATCTCTTTGTACTTCCTAACTTTGTTTGCTAAAAATACCAACAACACAGACACAGACACAGATACAGATACAGACACAGACACAGACATAGAACACAATACACAGACCCCATGAGCTCACAGAGTCATAACAACTGAATCATCATGAACAACAAACAGTAACAACACCAAGAACAAGGGTATTATGTATACAGTACAGTACAAGTTCCAACCTCAAATTCATATACTATAACACAGTCATCACAGCCCATTCAACCAACACATTCACATCTCACAACACATTGAACCATCACAACTTCTTCAGATCCCCACTCAATCTATTTCTTATTTCCCCTCCCATCCCCAAAATCAATCCCCACCACCCTAACTATAAACAACACAAAATCATCAACCCCCATTCCCACCCAAAAAGAAAAACGCCATCAAATCCTACCTATAAACAAATCAAAAACCAAAAAATCAAAAACCAAACCAAAATCAAAAAAAACATGTACCCACTCCCCCTCCACACATCTCAACCACCCGCCCAGTTCCAACATATCAACCAAGGACCAACCCTCCTCTCCCTCCTCACCCTCCTAACCTGGGTTCTATTCGGTGGCGGGGAGGGGACTATGATCAGGATATGGAGGGGGATGTAAACAGACGGGGGATATTAAGGATGTACATACAGTGTCTATATATTCTTCTGGGGTTTGAATGTGGGATGTAGATCGTTGATATGTTCCCCTGAGGTATGGATGTGTGATGGTAAGGGTATTGTAAGGTACTTGTAAGGGGGGTGGAGGAAAATTAGAGAGGGTGGGAGAGCGAAGAGTACAGAGGAAAGAGTCAAGATAATCCAAAATCCAGAGAAAACAAAAAACAACAACAACAAAACAACCCACCCAAAAAAGCCTCTCCCATCTCCCATCTCCCATCCCTCATCCTCGCTCCCATATATAACCCACCACAGACAAAAACCTCACCTCATAGAAAATCCATCCACAGCCTACATTATAAGTAGCAGATATGGTAGGACCTGACTGAGGAGAAAGGAGAAGACCAGTGTATGATCATCAGCGAAAGCACTGTGTATGTATAAACGATGACAGGAGGCGAGGGAAGAATTCAACAATAACCACAACCATAAAACCAGAAAAAACCAAAATAAAAAAAGGAAGGGTTTACTCGCTCCTGCCTCTTCTCAAATCTTCATCCATCCCTTCCAGTATTCTTCAAAAATGCGCAATACAGTATACGACACTACACTACACCACATTATACCACAAAACCCCAACATCCACAAACCCTCACCACCCATCCAATATATTCCTCCCCTCCCATCCTCCCATTCCTCCCTTCCCATCCCTTCCACCACAAAAGACATGCATACATACACACTCAAATACAAACAGTGGTGAACACACCATCTAACCCACCAAACATAGAAACCCGCCCAAGAAAACAGTCAAAAAAAATCTAAAATTAAACTCCGAAAAATGAAAAATCTGGCATATCCACATCCAATCTCCCACGCTCTCAAATAAGCGCAAGCTGGTGCAAGCTGTACGTTCCAAAATAATAATTCAAGAATAACCCTCAAAAAATCAGCAATTGATCACGGAGGAAGAAGGACGTATGTGTAAGTAATCAAGTAATCAAGTAAATCCGACTTTCGAGATGAAAAATCCATCAATTATGCTCGTGTATTCATTATCATTTCAATCCTTCTCACTATCAAAGTATGAGAAGAGGGGTATGAAGGTCTCAGAGAGAGAAGAAAAAAAAAGGAAAAAGAAGACTAGAGAGCAAAACAATATGGTATAAACCCCTCCCAGCACAAGCCAGCCCCACGAAAATGCATCATGCACCAAATCCCATGTGTGCAACAACCGAAAATGAAGAAAGAAACAAACCCCTCCCAATGTCACAAATTCAGATATCCATCCCCAGATATGTCACAGATGGGCTTAGTCGCACACGCTAAAAAGAGAAAGAAGGAAGAGAAAAGGACAAAAACACAATTAGACAACGGCCTTTTCAGGGTGTCCGATGGGTACGACGTCAGCAACCACTGCATCGGTGTTGGCGATATCGTCCTCGACTGTGACGTGATCCTTGATTCTCAGGAAGATGATGGGTGCTGCGACGACCAGGGAGCCCGAGAGAAGAGCCCAGTTGGATGCAAATTCCTTGATGTATTCAAGCTTGTTGCTGTCCAAACTCCACATGACTGCGGCACCGGCTGATTGAATTCCCTTGTAGAATCCGACGTAGTTTGCGGAACGACGACCGGAGTTGGAGAGAGAACCCATGTACCTATCAATTTGTTAGTTGAAAATCTTTACACGAAAACAGTAACTGAGGCAACTTACCAGTAGACAGCAGCTTGCCAAGTCGCATCAAAGAATCCATAGAAAAAGTAGAGGAACATAGGGCCAACATATCCAGGAGTAGACCAATCCATGAACTCACGGTCTGGGTGGAGCTTGACATCTACATCATCTCTGTTGTATCGTAACGCGAATTTGTATCCGCCACCCCAGATAACCATGGTGAGACACATGAGGAAGACCAAAGAAGCCTTGGCTCTGACGGAACGTCTGAATGCTTGGATATCCATGGCGTATCCGAATGCCAATGCACCGATGATTTGTGCAAGATAGTAGAGAAGATTGTTAAGGGCCTTGGTTCGGGTGGTGAAATAAGCGGCATTCACACCGTTAGATTGGTAGGTGATGAACCAGTTGGAGGACCAGAACATGGGGAAGAGAAGAACAACCATTGGCTCGTAGGTGAGAGTCTCCCAAAGACCAATAAATTCGGATTTCCAACTAGGATGCTTCATCAAAACGACCTTGGTGTTATCCTTACGAACGATATCCTTGGCGTTGCAAAGAAGTAAAGCAACAAGGGAACCACAGAACATGAGAACGATGAATCCGATATATGTTCCATCGGAAACTGTTTCATTTTTGTTGCTCTTGAATGACTCACCCAATGGGATCTAATGAAAAGTTAGATATGATTTTGGGCTTTCGGCTAAGGGTCGCTTACCAAACTACCAATAACGGCGCCAAGGTTGAAGATAGACCAGAAGATGGCAAAGTATTTTCCCTTGTCTTCCTCGGCAGGATAAGAGATCATGATGGTTCCTTGGGCAGTCCATAGTAAACCAGCGCAGACACCGAGGAAAGCTCCAGCAAAAATGTTGAAACCTCCAACGGAAAAGTGGACAGAAAGTAGCAAACTAAGAGCATAAATGCAATAACCAATTCCACCAATGCTAAGTGTTGACTTGACACCAAGCTTGTTGACAATAGTACCACCGAAAAAGGCAAAGACTGCAAAGGTTGAGTAGAGAGCAATGTTCTAGGTAAAATTAGAAAAAGCTAAATTTGGATATGAAATGAGATGCAAGTGAATTAAATACGTACCATGTTATCAGCGAGAGTTGCATCGGTTTTACCACCACCACCCAGTCCGCTCAAGGCGTTGAACATTCCAGGACAGAGAAAGCAAACAAATGAGACTAGAAGAAGTTGAATTCGTGGAGAAGCATACCACCCCAAAGAGAAGCTGCCAAGCTTGAATTCCTTCCATTTCCATCCTGTCGGTCGGACTTCTGGGATGTAGTTCTCACCAACATCGTTATACGCAGGAGCCGAGTCAGATCGGTCACTTGCTGAGCTCTTCTCGTGAGCGACGGCATGCGTCTTGACGGGAGTGGGTTGATCGTGATCCATCTTGAAAGTTACAGGTGTCTTTCAGCAGAGAGCGGGGAAGTGTGTAGATCTCGAAATCAAGGTTGTGAACAGAAAATGAGAAGGAAGGAGCGAGGGTTGATGGTCGTTTTGAAGACAAGACGGGCAAGAGCCGCAGGCGTCGAGATTTATCTTTAGATGAAAACAATCACGGCCACGGGGAGATTCCAACTGAATCGCAGTGGCGCAAGCACACTATTGGGAGTGAATTGTTGGAGTGAGAGGGACTAATTGTGGCAGCGAGGGGGCAGAGCCGGTTAAGAAGGGCAAAGCATTCCAAGGGGCTCAGTGCTGTTGTTGTTCAGTTCAGACGACCACAACAAACCAACTGAACCAAGATGCAGATCAGAGTACGTGGGCAACCGCGCGAGGGACTTGACCAGTCCTATATACGAAGGAAGAAAAAAAAAGAGCCAGGGTGCAACGACCCAGGCTGGCTTGCAGGTCATCCTCCACGTGAAGTGGAAGTGGAAGTGCGCCCCGTACGGGTACGGGTACGGGGTAGATAGCAGTTGCTGCAGCTACTGCTCCTACTCCCTGCCACTAGGGCCTAGTCACTAGTACTCCATTGGTAAAGGCACGGTAAATGCATCGAGAGGGACCACTGAAGGGGTTTAGATCTGTTGCCACAATGGCATTGTAAAATACGGAGGTAAGCCTGGTCAAGCCTCACCCGGCCCGTGTCGATAACGGTTTGCCCCTAAGGTCCCCGCCTAAAAGAAGTGTAGAGCCGTAGAGTAGAGCCCACCGCTGGCTGCAAACGGCCCTTCTTGGGATCTTCTCCGCATATCAGAACTTCGGGGTCTGCAGAGCAGACTGCAGTTGTGTGGCCCAGCTGAGAGAGAGCCACTGAAACCCAGGCCGTGAATGGTCAGGCCAGGCTCGGCCTCAGCACCTAAGAAAACCCCCTGTCGACCGCTCCTTCCCTCGCTTCCAATCACCCCCCTCAAGCAAAGGCAAGCAAAGGCTTCTATGCGAATCAAAAGCTTCCTTTTTCTTGACTCTTGAGGAGGGAAGTGGTTGGTAGCATGTCCTGCTTGCAGTATCGACGATCTCCTAATCAGTCATGTAACGTACCATACTCAAATCACAACGAGATTGATATCGGGTTCTTTTCTTCACTGTTATAATTCAACGGCTTTCGCAGATACGAATGACGGTGAGCCTTTTGGACATTTCGGCGGTACCGCCGCTTATCTTGCGCTTCAGGGTCCCTCTGCTCTTTTTCGTGGTGCAATTACACTGCGCTGTCGCATTGAAAGGGGGTGGAGGAACAACAGGATCGTCGAATAAAAAAAACAAGCAATCAACAAAAAGCTACGCTCTCGTCCCCACATAATCAGAACCTACTTTGTATTGCCACGGATGTCCATCGACCGGCTGTCAACTATTCGTATTGTAAAAGTATTGCCGGAATAGTGTGCTCCGTCTAGTGCGTCTAGAGTCTAGTGACACTACGCCTCAGTAGCGAGCATCGCATAGCCATGGTGGTCAGCATAGTGGCGTGGCTATGCTGATAGTCGCTGTTCTCTGCCCGACTTGTACTACGCTCGTTGGCCTGGCTCCGACTTTACGTGAAATGACCAACGCAAAGGGAAGGATGAATAGGATGAATGGGCAATTCCACACGAAACAATCCTCTTCCTCTCTGCCAACAAACCTCAGCCCGGAAGAGCTGCCATAGTTACACATTGCCGGTACCGAGGCCGTAAGGCAGTCGGCATGACAAGCGTCAATTACGATCTGGTATTCCCGACAACTGGATTCTGGTATGGAGACATACGGAGTCTACAATTTGCAACTTATCAGTGGAACTTCAACGCACTCACACTGTCAAACATTTTAGTTGGCCCCGCAGAGGATACGGGTTCGATGTGGTTGTGGGGGGCTTTGCAGGCGGCAGGGATTTTTGCTGAGGTCCACAAATGATTGCGGGCTTCCCGCCAACCAGTTACTGCTCTCATCCCATCTTTCTCAAACACCAACTTCTGCATTGAGGCCAACACCACTCTTCCATCAGGCTCTTTCGCAGCCTTGTACAACTGGAATTCGAAAGGTCATTTCCCTGTGTTGTTCCTTCTCAACATATCATCTTCTCGTCTCTGTCTTCTATTGCTCCAGACCTAAAAATGTTGGTTATTACTTACACTTATGATTACTCATATCCGAGCATGTGTGTCTTGCGGAACGGCTCGCAAGGTTACATGAAGAAACTGTTCTACTGTGAACCAGGCCCAGGCTCTCCAACATTTGCAAACCCATATTCCGATCATCTTACACCATAACTGAACGAGTCGAGGCTGAAATTTGCGAATTGTGGGGGGCTGGGGTGTTGGATGTTTCCCACAACCCAATCACCCATGCCACCTTCGATGGTTACATGTCAAACCAACTGCGGCAATAACCCAATTCGGTCTCTCAGGCTGTGACTTCCCTTGATAAGATGATGGTGACAATCCCCATACACATACATAGGTTGTGAGCCACCTGGAAGTCGTGTGCAAGATGCAACTACCCAGATGTCACCTACTAGTTGTATAACCCACTCGAGACACAGCCCGGATCAAGATTGGTCGATGGTTCTTTTCCAACCGGATACCTGGACCTCTGGTCGTTCCCTCTGTTCCCCGTGATTTACTTTGCATTCCGTGTTCGTGATGTTTGTGGTCTTCTGCGCTTAACGGGTGGTCCATCGATCTCCCGGTACGAGGACGGAGGTCGTCGGTGGGAGGGCGGAGTAGGAAGCACGCTGACTGATCATTGAGGTTTCTCTCTTCGTTTCATGTTTCCTCGTCCGATGTTGGTTGGTGGCATGCTTGACCACAAACGACCAAGCATTGCAAAATATGATGTGTTGCCATAATTATCTTTTCCTGTAGCCTCCCCTCCCCTTCCCCCCTTTTTTATTCTCCGATGTCCTCTCTCTCACAACACATCAACAGACGTATCAAAAACCATCCTTGATCCATCCTTTTTCAACAGGTCTGCTGAGACCTCCATCCATCAATAAAAATCCAGAAAAATTCTCCGAATCCATGCTAGAAGTAGAAAGTCGTACGGAGGGCCGGCTTCGTTGTCAATACTGCCGAGCCCGATGTGTTGCACCACATCCCATCCATCTTTCCTCATGTAAAAAAACGAGAGAAAAAACTTTGATGATTGTATTCTCCGACGCAGGTAAGAGATTCTTTTCACATCTTCTGTCTCGCTGTGTTTCCTGTTCTTGTTCCTGTTTTTTGAGGATTGAGGATGGGATATCCTATTTTAATCCTGCTTTTTGCGTTCCTTCGGATGGGATGGCGGAGAGGGTATTGTGTTGTATTTTATGCATCATGCCGTTGTCCGTCACCTTTCTTTCATTTTTTTTTTTGGTTCCTGCTGCCTTGTGTATGAGGAGGAGTAGGAGTTGAGATACTTGATGGGGTTGAGTTGGCGGACGTATAGATAGAATGGCCTCGAGGGATTTTTCACAAATTCACAACGCCTTTTGGTGTCACCCTGCTGGGATTCAGCAGCAGCAGCAGTATCATCGGGTTTCTCAACGTCCAGTGTGCTGATCTGATGAAGCGCTATTCTCATTTTGACACCGATACCTGGTTTGTAGGGCTGGAGGTACCGGTAGATAGTGAATGGTGGTGCAGTAGGCAAGGCATTTCATATACACTGCTTGGAATGACTTGATGTTTAGGTAGAGGGATTATGTGGTGTGGTGTGGTGTGGTGTGGATGGTGGTCGTGGTTGTGGGTTGTGTACTACTATACCTCGCTTAATATTATATATAGGTTGCTTTCGGCCTCTTTTAAGAGTACCGATATCATTCGACATGTAGCTCGTTTGAAGTTTGGAGTTTGGAGTTTGGAGTAAATGAACGTAATCTTTGAGAGGTGTTTTTGTTTCTGTCAAGCTACTTTGATATATGCCTCTTCTCTGCTGGAAGGGAGATGGTAAGAGATATACGACAGCATACTTCTTTTCGGGGGGATTTTGTAAAGGCAGTTTTTATGCGTGATCCTGGAGGCTGGGTTGTTTGTAGATATGGGAGGGTGTAGTTGGATCGAGTAGAGAGGATGGAGTTTGAGGAGGGGGTTCTTTCTTTGTGAGTATTTGGTTGGTGGTTGATGATTGATGGTTGATGGGATTTGGTGCTGTGTTGCAAGTTTAGTTAAGGCTTGGCGGATGAAACTTTTCCCTGATCGGGATGCTTTCTTCTCCTGAAGGGTTATCTTGATGCGCCAACAGGCTTTGAGAGTCCTGATGGGGATGCGGGCTGGTTGGGGTAGGACTGAGGCGAAACTTTCTTCTTCTTCTTGGAGGTTATTTTGATAAGTGGGTGGATAGGAGGTGTTTGTTGTGGTAGTTCGGCTAGGGTAAGGGGGCAGAGGGGTTGAGGAGTTTTGATGAGGAGGGTGTATTTGGGGTGAGCTACTTAGTTAGGTAGGGTGAGAAATGTGGGACCTGGTTGTTGCTCTATGTACCTAGCTTCGAATAAATTTCTCCCATTAGCCTTACATATATATGCATAAAATCAAAATGGTTATATACTCGTGAAGAGTTTTGACAAACCTCATGAATTCTTCCTGTTTCTTTCTGGATCTGGATATACTGATAACCAAGATACCGATATAGGTGCTAGAGGTAGGGGATGATACCCGCTTGTTGTGGATACTGTATTAGATGGATTTCATGGTCGGGTAGCTTGTTTATTTATTGTAGATTGGTGAGCTGGAGCTGAATTGAAGTTTGCTTTTTAGTTTCTGGTCTTGAAAGGGGGGTTTTGTTATACTATTAGCTACTAGGATAGAGTTATTAGGAGAGGAATGTAATAAGGCTGGGGATTTCGAAATGAGTCGGCGATTTTTGAGGGGGTTTTGATTGGGAGTGTGGATAGTATGAGATATTGGGGCTACCAGGGGGGGTGGGCTAAGCGAAGGGAAATCCATTTATCTTCTTTTCTTGGTATTTTCGCTGTTTTCTTTCTTTTGGGTTTTTTTGGGAGGTACTGCTTTTTAGTGCTAGTTAAGAAGAGTGTAGGTGAAAAGAATTCTAGGGTTGGCTTGCGGTAGATGTTTTGTTTTGAGGCTATTTTATACGTCATGATTATTTTTGTATAAGGTCATTCTCTCCTTTTTTGCACAGCGGAAATGTGTTTTTTGATAACTCCTGAATGAACTATAAATTGGGGAAGCGCAGAAATGACGCGCTTATGTACAATATAAGAGACTGCCAAAATCCGCTTCTTCGTATCTAACTTAGTGACTGAATCGTGATGTCCACAGAATCCACTTCTAATTTCCAGCAAAACCGCTGTGGCTATTTCTGGGTACTTTCAAGTCAGTTGAAAGACAGACTTACCAATTTTTCAAAAGCTGCTAGAATAATGCTTTCTATCGTGGTCTCTAGTCAAGGTGGCGTTCATACTGTAAACTGTAAACTCTACCAGACCCCTAAAATATACAGGGAATTTCCACAGAAAACCGAAATGTGCTTTCATCTGATTAATGAAGCCAACCCCAACCTTTTTATAATTATGCTGGCCAATAGTATCAGCATCGAAAGAATGTGAAGATTCCGATGTGGTCGTGGTAGTACCTGAGCGTTTTCACTAGTGAGTGGCACGAGTGGTCTACGTCATCACATTCTTTCCCTCAGGTCCCCTGAACTCTAATAAAGCGCACCTTAATCTGACTACTTCAACCTGCAGTTGCACTCTATGATAGAACAACTAGGAGCGCCAAATGAGCTGCAATCTTTACCAAGCCAATTTCAACCAACCCGATTTTCAAACTGACACCATGTCTAACTTTGGGAAGGCACATCAATCTTTGAATGGTATGAAGATATATCCCTCCTCGTTGTGAATGAGTGGGAAAGTAACAATTACTTATATTATGTAGTTTTCAAAAAACCTCTCATTCTCTTCAGTAAAGACCCGATGACGGGCTTTTATCGTAATGGGTATTGTGATGTTGGACCGGAGGATAAGGGGAATCATGCGATTGCTGGTTAGTGTCTTTCCACGCACACTCAATTCAGATACAATCCATATGTCATGAGCTTTGTAAGAAGATTGCTGATCGATATAAACCCATCCGAAAGTTACACTCACGGATTCCTTCCTCGACTTTACGGCTGCGAATGGGAATAATTTGCGGAGTGCTGGGTTGACTGGTGGGTGCAAATGGTGTGTTTGTGCTGGGAGAGTATGTTATCTTCATCAATGACAACTTCAGTTTGGATTAATTGAGTAAGACGCTGATGCGAATACGAATTTAGTGGAAAGAAGCACTCGAGCATTATAAAAAGTCAGGCGATGATGCGGCGACGAAGAGTGTGGTTCCCAAGGTTCATTTAGCGTCTACTCATGAAAGGGCTTTGGATGTTGTTTCGATGGAGGATTTGAAGTATGTGTTTTCTTTTTTCCCCTTCCTGGCTCTTGAAGGTATGGTGGAATTGGAAAGGATGCTAATTTCTGTTTGTGATAGGAAATTTGCTGCGGATCGGGAGGTACCGAAACAACTTGGAGATAGGGAAATTTGAAAAGGATGGATTTAAGGAATCTGTATATTACTCTGGAGTCTGAACATACTTCAAGAAACTATTGTACTGTACTAGACTTCCTAAAATCCTCGAGCTTAGTTGTCCTGAACTACTTAGGTTGACAGAGATATATTAATTTGAATGATCCCAAGTCGCTGGTAAATTGGTTTAGTTGTGCAAGGCTTTGGGGGTAATACTATGTCCAGAATACTGATCTCTTCTCATGATGGCATATGCTGAAGGAGCGAATAGCAAGTTGGCTGTTTGGTTTTCACACCCCTCTCAGATCTCAGATAGGTTATTATTGCTCAGATACTTAGCCATCTGATTTTACGGAGCCCTGGTTTTGCATAAGAAACTTCAAAATATGCATTATGCAGAGTTTGCAGGTGATAGGTGAAGTACCTAGTTACCCAGCTACCTTATTTTCCAGAGCCTCCCATTGAGAGTTGTATCTTATAATCATGGTTTAAACTCGCTTCACTCAATTTTCTTCTTGAATGATTCACAACTTCTGTTTGCTAGGTTGGAAGAAGCCTGTGGTAGTAACAAATGGAGAATGAGCGCAGATAAACCCTCAGCAACTGTCACAACATAGCAATTGATTATGACGCATCTGAAATTTCCTTCAGAAAAGCCAAGTAGGGAGAAAGATACTGACAGACTTCAAACTCCAATTGTTCCAACTACAGCGCTGGTGTGCACAATTAATCCAAAGAATTTGTTTTAAAGGGCCACGTGCTTTTGACATGTTTCTCCAGTACTTGTGGTGTTCTATCATTGCCATTAACGACTTCCGGAAATCATCCGTAAGCGAATTCACTTTTCTTCACCATCTTGCAAGTGACTTGTTCAGAGATGATGTGTTCTCAGTACTACGAACGTAGAGTGTAAAGCATGCTAATTATTTGCTGATATTACGTGATTGTCGTTGTTTCAAAACCACCACAGACTATTGCTAGCCAGCCTCATACCAGTGTGCTTGCTCTTCTCATGTCGCCTTTCACAATAGGGAAACTCGCTTAAGTCGGGTTGTTCTTGTGGGGCTCAGCCCTCACAATTTTTGTTTGTATGTTATACATCATTGCTCTAGAACATACAGAAATACCTAAAGGGTATTTGTCTGGAAGAAATCTTGAGTTTAGAATAGCCTAGAATACCCAAGGAAGCCATGTTCTGACAAAAGGGCCACTCTCATATCCATCTTGTGAGCCTCAGGTGAATACTGGCAGAGTTGAAGAACGTTATTCAGCATGAAACTTGTCGCAGAACTATACCTCAAAGTACGCTCAACGTATATTAGTCTTTCTGTCTTAGGATAGAAGACGTGGACAGCTATTTTTAGACAAAAATAATAAACAGGAGGGCTAAACTTGCCAAAGATAGCTCTTCAGAACAACTGATCTGATAGTTGCAGCTCACTGTCAAAGAATGACTGCCTCTGTCCTATATTCACTACCTATCTCATCGGATAAACCACATCCGATTAGCGATCTCGCTATAGATCACAAGGGGCCGAAGCCCTAAGTCACGCTTCACCCCTATATCATACGTAATTCCCACACTAAATTCAAAAATTCACTTTTTAAATCAGCCACCAAGGTACCAACCATCGGACTCTCCCCTCACCACCGCCTCCTTAGCTTCTTCTTACCCCTCCATTCCGATCACCGACCAAGATTCACAATTCCAAGGCTTGAAAGGATGCTTTACCCATCGCCACCCCCTCTGGGTACCCAGACAGTTCACACACCATCCTCTCCATGCACTCCTGGAACCTCACCGACCATTTACACTCCATCCGCGTCTGAATCTTCTTCAGCACCAGGCACAGGCACCCCCTCCTCCACCAGATCTCCCCCACCAGCTCCAATCAACCTTCGCGTCTCTTGGGAATCCCTTTCAACCACCGCCGCCAGCGATTCGACTGCTCCGCAGACCTCCACGGCACTCGTCCTCCATTCTCCAAGGGTCGCAAGTGATTCGATTTCTCCGCACACTTCCACGACACTCGTTCCCTATACTCCAACCTCTTCTCGCGTCGCGACGCCAAGCACCAACAGCTCTTCGCGCTCCTCCTCCACACCCACCATCATCCACACTCCTACCTCTTCGCAGGCTTCTGGCAACCCGTTTCCACGCTCGCTTGCTGCCCATTTGAATCTCGCAGCAATGCCTGAAGTACCATCGTCGCCCGTCTCCATCCCGGAGTCGGAGCCCAGGGGCAAGGCCGGCGAGATTAGGATGCTGGGGGCTTACCTGTCCTACAAGAAACCTCATCCTCCTGCCCATGTCCTCGAGATGCTCTGTGAAGATACGGGGCTAAGCGAAATCCAGGTTCTTGTAAGTTACTTCTCGATCTCTATCTCTCATTTATCCCAATGTCTACTGCTGCCGCCGCCTTGTTGAAAATTTCAATCGAGCAACACAAATGACGCAGCAAATCTTTACTGACTTCCGCCTTAGGCTTTCTGGCAATTGGAATGGCTTCGCACCAAATGGGGCGCTGAAATCTGGGACACCCTGGATATTCACTGCAAGAAGAACCAGCGATTCATCCACAACTCACGAGCAAAGGACGAATTCGCCTTGAAGACCGGCATCGACATTCGTTATATCCGAGTATGTTACTTCCTTCATGCCCTTTTTCCTTTAGCACCATCCCCCTTTCGTTTCCTTTTCTCCTGCTTTGCAACTCTGAAGTCCCAGAACTGACAGGCGCTATACAGGAATTCTGCAGCCTCAAGAAGGTATATGAAGACCCCACTACCATGGAGGAAGTCCAAGTCCATTCTGGGTTCGCCCACCCCCAACAGGTAGCCAGTCCTGGCACCATTGACTCGTCCTCGATTACTGAGAGGCAACGTTCCGCTGGGACTGCTACCCCTGGAGTTGCTTCCAAGCACTCCGACGACCACAGTACTGTTCGGGGTGTTTCTGGTGTCTCGGGTTCCCGCGAGGGTTTTGACGAGGAGGGAGAGTGTCGCAAGGACGAGGACAACAGTGAGAGCTTGGGCTCGGATCTCGCTGCTGTTTCCCTTGACGACGTCAGGGTCCCATATGGTGGTTGGGGAGAATTCATGAATGAAGAATAAGCGAGCTAGTTAGAGGATGGTTTGGTTTGTACCACCGCCAGCTATACTGTAGTTCAGGATTTGTTCTGGGAATCTCTGTTAGGAAATGGTAACGGAATGACCGGTTGATTTTCTATCAATCAGTAATAATACATCGATATCCTCTCTGAAAATGTCTGAAATAATGCTAGAATCTTCTGTGATTAATGACCAATCATTCTTCTTGAAACAAGGTTATTTATCTTTGCCGTAGATGATGCTATCGTGAGTTTTAGTTCATTTTTGACGATCATTTTGTTAGCGATTTCATGAGCGTTTCATAGCGATGTATGACTTTAGATTTCTAGCTGGCATCAAATATTTTCAAATCACTCTCTTTTCAACTGACTAAGCTTCTATTTTCGAACATCAAAAAATATTCTAGGAGTTATCACGTAATTTCTATAAGGAAACATTTTCTTCAACCTTTTCGTTTAATTTAGAATGCTATACGTACTTAGGTTATTACTTATTTGTCTTTTATTCTAAAGATAACTAGATCTACTATGTTAGCCCTTGTTACTTTAAGTAATCGAAAATATATAGTATATATAAGTTCTTACCCTTTTGTTTTTTATTCTAAAGATAGCTAGTTCTACTATTTTAGCCTTGATCCTTTAAGTAATTAAAAAGGCTTAGTATATATAAGTTCTTATATTTTTATCCCTTTTCCTAGAAATAAAGTTAACTTTCTTTCTCACTCTAAGTAGTTATAGTAATTTAAATTCTTAGATATAGTTTAGTAACTTTATTATTTTATTATTAATATATAGTATTTTAAGTAATTACTTTACTTTAAATAGTTTATATAAACTAGATATATAGAAGTACTTAGTATAATTAGTAGTTATAATTTTTTTATTTATTTCTCTAGTGTCACGAATCACGTGCTCACGTGATACTTGTCATAATAAGAGGCGCAACCCTCGACAGGCATACCCAGGTTTCTTATAGCAAATAGGGATCGGCTAGACTAGCTAAGCGATCCAGTCGCCTGGGTCGACTCGGTAGACGAGCGACTCTAGCGATCCAACTGTTGGAACAAAGAACGGAAGTTCTATATAAGACTGGCACGTCTGCCATTAGATAGGAGCTTCGTGCTCAACTTAGTTATCAATCTTATCATATTAGTTTGACATCTTTGATACAAGTAACGAGTTCACNACGTCTGCCATTAGATAGGAGCTTCGTGCTCAACTTAGTTATCAATCTTATCATATTAGTTTGACATCTTTGATACAAGTAACGAGTTCACTTCCAAGTGAACAACCCGATAGTCTTCTTCTTATCATAGCATACCAACCAGCGAACACCCAGCCAAGTTTAGTTAGCCAGTTTGAGTATTCGTTACACAGTCATCTGACCATCCTACTTCCACTGTCTTACATACACTCTGTATATAACCGATACCTCTTACACTATTTTAATATAATAATAAGCGAAATTAGTAATATTAGTTCTAACTTAAATCTTTTTATTTTTAAGGGATAAAAGGTAAAGAGTATTTTAATTAACTACTTTACTTAGAGTATTATAATTAAAAAATAATATAACTAAGTTAACTTATACTATTATTTGCTATATTTACTTTTACTACTTATTTCGCCTTTATAAACTATTTAAAATAAATGAATTAGTATAATAATATCTAAATAATAATAAAATAATTCTATTTCTAAACTATAACTAAAAATCCAAATTAGTATAAATACTTAGAATAAGAAAGTAGTAATATTTATTTCTAAAGTAATAAATAAAAAGATTATTACTACTAATTTATACTAGGTACTTCTATATATCTAGTTTATCTAAACTAGTTCAAGTATTATAACTACTTAATATACTATAAATTAATAGTATAATAAAATTATTACTAAATTAGTTTAATAAGTTAGAATAAGAAAGTAGTTCTATTTACTTCTAGATGTAACGAATACTCAAACTGGCTAACTAAACTTGGCTGGGTGTTCGCTGGTTGGTATGCTATGATAAGAAGAAGAAGTTGGATCGCTAGAGTCGCTCGTCTACCGAGTCGACCCAGGCGACTGGATCGCTTAGCTAGTCTAGCCGATCCCTATTTGCTATAAGTCTACGGATGTGCTTGACCTTGTCAGGGCGCCGCCTGGTCTTCACTCTTCACGTGTTAACACGTGATTCGTGACAGACTGTTAGGTACATCGGGAATCAAAAGAGTAAGAATTTGACTTGTGAAAATGACTTGATTTTTCTAACTATAAGGACAGTAAAGGTCTATATATACTCCTTAGATAGATTCTAGGAGGTTCTATAGATTATAAATAGAATAGAAGTGCTTATAAATAGAAAGGGATACTAGAATGTTTCGGTTCACGTGATCGAACGTTCTAGAATAAGCGAGAACAGACTAAGGTTTAAACCTAAAGTCTATTAGTAAGTAAGGTAATTATTACCTAAATGAAACAAATAGTAATATATAAAGTTACTTAGAAATAAACTATATTATTCAAAATGTTATAGCTCTCTTATTTATTTCTAGAAATATAAGAACGCTTAAGACGTAGTTATTTCGAATAGTGTTTAAACTGAGTAGACTAAAGTAAAGTAGTAGTACTTACTTAACTCTATTAAAGTACATTTTAGCTCTACTCTACTCTACTTCCTAAGTATTCAAGTAGAATAGAGTAGTACTTAAGTTATACGAGACAAGTTATTATCGATTATACTTCGAGAGAATTATACTAGTTACTTTAATCGCTTAGAGTTAAGGCTTGTTTTCCGAGAAAATTATAGCATAAACTCCATGTACTTATAACCTACTTTTCGTACTCGATTCGATCGATCGATATAACTTGGTAATACGCATGTTGAAGTCCCGTATATCCACTTCGTCTTTCCAAGTTAAATTCGAGTATTGCCAACTATTACGACAAGAGCACTCACGAGCACTCCTGGCTCCACCTTCTGGTACTAGTATATTCCATGGAAGGCGCTAGTCCTATTCCGGACACTTCCAGGCCGACAGACAGCTCTTATATTAGAGCCGTACCGCTCGCCCTTAGCTAGCTTCTCTCTCTATTCTACTTTTTACACAGCTCATTCTAACAGTCTCCTGTTTTGTCCTTGACACCAACCGAAATCGTACTAAGAGAGCAACTTTGTCGTTCCATATAAAGCGTGTTTCCCAAGGGTTCGTAACCGTACAGAATATATGCCTGTTTGAGGCTTAAATCCCTGTAAGTATTATTGATTTAAGCTACTATTACTTTGAAATCGGGGTACTAGAGTCGCGCAGACTCTTATACAGAAATCTATCACTTTACTATACTTCTTAAGTATTTCGCAAGAGATTAAGTTTATTACTTTACTCTATTTAATAGAACCCCTAGCGTCTACCCCTACTCTGCCCACGTTAAGTAACTTGAGAGTTACTTAAGTAGTAGAGTGTTTTGCTAGAATGATGATTTCAAAAAGAAATACATAGCGCAAGCATCTTGACCAGTGTAGGCACTAGTATTTTGCCTCTCCGGTCATTGATCCAAAAGTGCTTGTACTCAAGTACAAGTTCGAAGGTGACCAAGCCAACACTGTTTTCCTTCCCAGAGGAAGTAACAGAAACGCCTACTTCTTTTACGAAGATGAGTGCGCTATTCTAAATCAATAATTCTGCGCCTTACCAACCCAGTGGGGGCACGGGTCAGTGCCCTACTGATTCCTGGGAGTGTATAGACGGGAGACATAGTGACTTAAAAGAGGGGACGACAGGTAGGAACGGCTAAGTACTTAAAGGAAGGGACAGTAGGGACAGTAGGTAGGCAGGACATGGGCACATGTAGGAACGTAAGATAACTGTAAAAGTACAATTGACATTACAAAGGCAGAAAAAGGTCGAAGGGAGGACCGGGAGCGTAGTATTATATAGGCAGTTTGCATAGTTGGCTCGAATCGCTAGTAAAGGTACTGTATATCCTTATTATCCTAGTACTCGTACCGGTAAAAGTACTTAGAGAAATTAATGTCTAGGGTACTCTAAAGTCCCTACCTAAAATACAGGGTTAAATGCCCCACTTATCGGGAGTAGTGGAACCAGGGTGGGAGTAGGGAACTCACTTATTCTCTTGCTACTACTGGGTAATTCGCCGTTCTTCTCTATTATACTACTTGACGCAACCGGCTATGGCCTACACCGTACACGGACACCCCTCTTCCCTACACCTTCTCTAGTAATCGTGGCCTATTATCCCTTCCAGACTCGAGAGTGCCGGGTGCGGTCATGCGCACTTGTGAATATAATATATGGGTCAAATCAAGGCTTAAGACCTTAGAAAGTGGGTTTATAGATCTTAAACCTTAACACGTAAAAACATGGTAATAAAGATATAAAAGATTTCTCTGCTCGGCATACCAGCCACTATAAGAATTCGTATAGCGATACGTATAAATATAGAGAGAAATGTCTAGAGATTCTATAGAAATCATCACTTCTATTTTCCTTCACAAAATCGTCCCTAAAATGTAATATATCTACTACTACTAGTACTATACGTTACGTACTCGTATTTTTGTTCAGCATTAGTAGTATGTGCACACGCGTAAAGTGCTTAGAAAGTAGATAGTTTTACTCTACTAGGAACGCACGACCGCACCCGGCACTCTCGAGTCTGGAAGGGATAGATAGGCAATAGAGTAAGCGCTCCGTAACATCTCCAAGATCCCAAGAATCCTAGAGAAGAAGACTTTACCCACATGACCTAGCTTGTCGCCATGGGCCCGAAGTCTGAGGATCCGGGTCAGGGGTTTGAGAATTTGGTTCTTAGCGGCAGATATCAAAAAAAGCTCCTTGGGATTCTGTTTCTTCCCCTGTTAGTGCTATTGTCAACAAATTCCGCGCTCTAGGTTCATAGGGAACCATTGCTCATAGCCCTCAAGACACGCCTCATGCTTCAAAATGTCCAATCTAGCAGAAAAGTTATTGTAACTTCTAGTTTCTCGCTAAACAACTATAAAACTTGTATATATTCTGTGAGATCTTAGCCAGGCGAAGGGGTCTTGAATACCCTGGTTATAAGTTATTAGTTATATATAGTCCGGCTACCTAGACTTTTTAGATTAGGAGAGAGTTTACATGCTGTCAGTATGCCTTTATCTAGCTTGAATTACCACCTTTCTTAACTATTTGCAGCAGAAGTAGACACAGAATAGCCTGGCTATTGAGTTTACTGTTAACTTCGTCTACGTCATAGGTTAGCCTCTTGTTCCTTGTGGTAGGTCACCTTATTGAGATATCTTTTAGAAAACCTACGTGCAGGATTTTGTGTTATGGTACCAATGATGTTATTGCCACAGGTGGAAGGAACACTTCAAAGCGACGAGGGATTTGGAACCAATCCTAGGAAGAAAAGGCATGATCTGAAATGCCTTCGCTTTCAGGCTATACTCCAGTATTACGATATGAGGTTTGTCTCAGTTGCTATCTTATTAATTTGATGGTAGATATATTAGGCAGTCAAAAAAAAAAAAGAAGAGGCTTTACTCGATTACCCTTATTTATATTACTGATATGTCGTCCGGTCCTGACTGGGAAGGGTAGAGGTACGAATAGTTAATGCGTGAGAGAGAAATAAGCAGCATAACTAAGGAGAAAGGAAGCTATCTATGGTTGGCGTTAAGGTATATAAGGACCATAGGACCATGCTAGTATTCCAAGCCCTTCATAGATTCATTTCAAACAAGATGGATACTAAACATCCTATAATAATACTCGTACCCAAATCATCACAACAATAACAGAGCTCTCCCTTGACCCTCACATCCTCTCAACTTAACCAAAGCCTTCCACCCAGGAACCCTCTTACGCGAAATCCCAACAACACCCCCACACACTAAAACACATACCACTTCCCCATTCCAACCCACTGCTACCTTCCATCCCCCTCCAGCAAGTTACAATTCCAAATCCACGCACAAGCACCAGCACCAGCACAAAACCCTCAACAACAAAGCATACAAGAAACAACAAAACAGACTCCAAAACAAGCTTTGAGAGACCGAAGAAAATATAACCGCTTAGAGCTAGGGCTTCAAGTGCGCCTTCTTTGCAAAGCCAGGAATAAGAGTCCAAAAAAGGAGGTTATTTTGACGATCTACATAACCCCTCGACCTCTCCCCTTGGCAATCATTTTACGATGTCAAGCATAAAGGCGCTCTTGAATCACAAAATGAAGACATCTGGGACGCACAGGAAAGGGGAGATTTTCGAATTGAAGTTCCACCCGTAGAAAAGGGGTAACAAAAATACGCGAGAAATGTGTGGTGATCTCGGGTACAATCCATGACAGAAGACGAGTATTAGGATCTCATGTAAAAACGTGGAAAAATAGCTTGAGCTAATCACTCGACTCATTTTCAGTACAGGAGCAAGGAAATCTTAAATCACGAATAGGTTACGCACGCAAGACTCGATTATGCCACGCGGAGAACATCAATTCATGCTAAGGGACCACTGCACTACGCTCCTAGCGTTTCTGTTGTGAATTTTTCTTATCCCCCCAAACTCCACCAAGCAATTTCATCAGCAATGCAAATTTCCCAAGCACCCCGTATTATAAGAGAGAACTCCATATAGTCTTCGATTCATGATCGCATAGACTGAAAATTACCTTTCCGGTCCAGTTCCTATCCGAACGCCTAAGCCCTGCAGTCTTGATTGAAATGCTACAACACTATAAATTACAATCCTCACTCGTCCTTATTATCCACTGCTGCACCTGTAGTAGGCCCTTCAGAAATGGAGGTAGAACGAAGTAGATGCGATGGAGTAGCAGGTTCGCGGGTGATGTTGGAGTTCGAGTGCTGCTCGCTAACTTGACGCTCTATTTTCATAGTTAGTTGTCATCCGAATTCCACACACTCTCGGGACGCAAGTTCGAGGAAAGACTAACCCAATTCTCTGATTCTCTGTCGTAGCATTTGGTTTTCACGAATCATCATTTGTGTTTCTGCCTGATAGAAAGCACTCTCATCTCGTCCGCCAAAGTTGACAGAATCTCCCTCGCCACTCATTGATGTAGCTCTCATTCTTGGAGATGCGTTTCGGCTCGGCGTTCTCGATCTTCGATGAGCAATATCTGTTCGTACCAGGTCGAATGAACTTCGGGGGTGTAGGGCTATCGATGGGGATCTTGGAGTTGAGGTAGAGGATTGTGGTAGTGGCGCAGTAGCTTGCGTAAAGGACATAGCACGCTCAGAGGTTGGAGTGGAATCATCGATGGCTAAGGGATTCGTTTGGGGTTGACCACTAGCTGCCTGAAGTGCTTGAAGCTGCTGCTGTTGTGTCCGAATCATGTGGAGAAGACGATTCTGAAATTGGATCAGCATAATTCCCTCTATAGCGTGACTTCCAATCATACCACTTGTGCCTCTTGTTCCTGCTCTATTTCTTGGTGTATCTCCCCCAAACTCGGAGCTCGATTATGATGCGGGTCTCTAAAAGGTATAGTAGGCGATCCAGTTAGAGAATGCGGACGGCTCGTACGGAGATTGGAAATAGGTCCTTCGTTGACCATCTCTCCTGGCGGGGGCAAGCTCGGATCGTTCAGTTGCAGATTCATGAGTACAGTTGAGCGTCTTCTGCCTGGGTGGGATGTTTGTCTGTTTCTGCTGGGTAAACTGCCAGAAGAACCTGTCATTTTGTTAGTGGTTGGGTCCTTCCACTTCAGGCTCTGAGTAATAAGTAGCAAACATACGCCTGGTGGTCTCATGTTGCAGACCAGCATTCACTGTAGCAGCAGCTTGGAGGGATGTGGAAGCGGTTCTTGAAGAAGGTGATGGTGTTTGGGTTCGCAAGGCTGAAGCCTCTGACACACTAGCCGTTCGACTCATGGATATTGAAGATGGAGATGGTATGGACCGTGAAGGTGGTAAGGAATTTAGGTCTGGCGCCATTGTTTATTGGCGCGGATGGAGGGGTTTATAAAATGATTGCTGGGAAGAAGTGAGGGGCACGGATTATGACGGCTGGCAGGGATGAGAGGCTGGGAAAAAAGGGAATGACGGGATTAGGAAGGAGAAGAGAAATTTTGAGGCGTAGATAGGGTGATAGTAGGTGATTGCGGAGCTTGTGACAAGGCTCTGACCCTTTCGAGTGTGAGGTATCACAAAGCCTTTGTTTGGTGGTGTGGTGGTGTGATGATGCTACCCTCTCACTGTTCGTCCGCGGCCTGCTGCGATGGAGCGACCAATGAAGGTGGGAGAATGCCGGAAAATACAGTGTCACCAGACAATTCTTTTCCTAGAGGCCTAGAGGTTGCGTGTTGCATCCCATTCGATTTCTTCGATTGTTTACAATACATTTTTACTGTAGAAGAGATAGGGCAAGCAAGTAAGAGCGGATCTATGTACGTGCCTGAAGTTTATCTACTGTAGTGTAGATAGCTATCTAGAATCTAGATAGGGCTGAAAGCATCACCCCACACATGAAGCTTTCCTGTCGACGGAGCTGGCATGGCCGGAGCCGATATCGCATTATGGCCGGGAAGGTGCCGAGAACTGTGCCGATATTGGCGCCGGGGCCGATACCCACATGGCGCCGAGAGCTGTACAAGGTCCTACGGATCCCTGTGCCTGGATACTTGGGCCCTGGGCCACTCGGCCGTGAGCCTGCGATGCGATGCCAGAGCCTCACCTCAGTAAAGTTGACAGCTTCATTGAACCGCAGCTCTTCACCCACCAGCATCACTTCACGCCTTGATTGTACACTCCCTACTTCCGAACTATACCCAAACAAGAGCCACAATCATCCCAGGCCTACATCATGGCGGACGAATCTCCAGTGGGCTCTCCCCTCTCCACCATCTCCAGCGACGCTTTTGAAGCAGAGTATGGTGCAGTTGCTGCCAACATGCCGCCCGCCAAACGACAGAAACTAGAGGACTCCTCCATGCGCGCAACACCCACATCCCACCAAATTGATTTTGATGCTGTCAATGAATCGTCAGATACAGAAGGAGAGGTCCCCAACTCACCAGGCAACCTGGGCAGACCTGAGGATGACGACAGTCAGGAACAAGTGACCGTATGCGCCTGGGACGGATGTGATGCAGGGGATCTGGAGAATATGGATCGTCTGGTAGATCACATCCACAATGAACACATTGAAACCAGACAGAAGAAGTACACTTGCGAGTGGGGTGATTGCAATAGAAAGAGTATGGCGCATGCCAGTGGTTATGCTTTGAAGGCACACATGAGAAGTCATACCAGAGAGAAGCCCTTCTATTGCGCGTTGCCAGGTAAGTGTTCCCAACCCTTTTGTTATGCAAGCTGCTAACTCTTTCTTTGTAGAATGCGATCGTGCATTTACCCGTTCTGACGCTCTGGCAAAGCACATGCGAACGGTCCACGAAACCGAAGCTCTCCGCCCTTCAGACCCAATCCCCAAATCCATGCAACCAGCCAAGTCCTCCCGAAAGCTAAAACTAAATCTGAAAGTTGCACAATCTCAACTCGAAGAGCCTCAAACTGAGCAAGCCAATGGTGTCACCAGCGGCGAGACGACTTCGGAATGGACATCCTCCTATCCTCCCGAGCTTGGTTTCACAGCAGAAGAAGAAGCAAAGGGCCCAGAAGAACTTTACCGATATCTACGACGACAACTGCGATGGGCCGAGGAAGATTTGGAGAAGACGAAGCGCCTCTGTGACGAGATGGAGGCACTTCGACGAAAAGAATGGGAGGAGAAGGAAATCTTGCTGGACCAGGTCATAAAGAATGAAATTGGCTACCATGAGAGAAGAGCGGCAGTTTTGGCCAGCGCGTCAATCCCAACCGCAGAGGAGATTAGAGCAAGCGCAGCAGCAGCGGTCATCTCTCAGGAGAATTTGAACAAAATGGAAGATTCTGATACTACTGGTGGCAGGAACAGTTTGGGTGGGGGAGGCTCATTTCAGTCAATTCAGGATCGAAATACGGAAACTGCTGCTATATTGGCATCAATGAGTAGGCAGACTTAGTCGGGGACTTTGTACGTGGGAAATGGATATCAAATGGAATTGAAGGAATTGGCATTCTGGAGTTAGGGGCACATGAAATTTACGTGTATCAACATGCAGACTGGTACGGTAGCGGATGGACCACATAGGTATAGAGGGTGTGTTATTAAGGAGAAGGAAGCAATTTACATTTAATAAAAGCTTTCTTCTTCTTCTTCAAGAGTCAAGTATACTGTACTAACTGACAATCCTTTCTCAAATCATCCTGTATAGTCCTGAAGTCAATCGACTCACTCGCGCATTCATTCACCCACCCACAATCCATCCATCCATCCATTCCATCCATTCCATCTAATCTACGCCGTATCTCTCAAGAATTCCTCTTCGCGATCCTTGTCTTCTGTCTATCTATCCACCAATTAGCATTCAGCAATTTAACTTTCAACATGACTATAGCAAAACCATAATCATAAAGCAACACATCTAACCTAGATGTTTGAGGGAAAGGGGGGAAGGGGATGGAGAAATGACCATTAAACCATTTTTGAGCATTGATAGCCAGCCTCGAAATCTTTCGTACAGTACTCTAACAACATACTGGCTCCTTCCTACTGTACAACATCGCCCTAACCCTCGGCTAGTAGATAACCACCAAGAAGGAATCTGAAAAGCGCACCTCGCACCATATCTACACTTTCATCTCCTCTATCAGCCAGACCCCCGTGGTACCCAAGAAGAGATCGGTAACACTCACCAAGTTAATAACCACCTTTAGGCTTCCCGTCAATTCATTTATCAGTCATCTACCAGACTACCTATTAAAGCTCGGCAAGAAAGGGGGGATTGCGTCACAGAAGAAATCAATGAAAGAACACGAATTATCATGTCAGGTCAAGAATATGGAGTGTTATACACCCGGTGCATATTTCTCCTCTATGAACATTAATCATGTTCTATGTCTAAGCAAAAGACCAACCTACTTCTACTTGACCGTTGTTGAATAGCCAGCCAAGTAACGCCTTTCGCTTAAAAAACACAACCCAAATTTATCCCATTGTTGAAAGACCTTTTCCCGAGAATGCTTAAAATTCCGTTGAAGGACAAATGCTTTTCCCCAGATTCATACCATCATTAATAGTGTTGAATAACTCGACCCATATACGCCGTAAAATGATCACAAATCCAGTCGTCTAGTATCGGTACCTGCAAAGAGATTAGCCCGTATATTATTGAAAAAGAGAAAAGCATTCAACTTACATGTCACTCTTGAATGGACCCTCAACCTCGAGTCCAAGGTACTCAGCCTGGACTGGGGTCAATTTAGTCAACTCAGCGTTGACGTGAGCCAAGTGGAGCTTGGCAACGGTCTCGTCCAAGATCTTTGGCAAGACGTAAACGCCCACGTCGAGCTTTTGGGTCTTGCCGAATTCGACATACTTTTGTCCGAAAGCGGCATCCTCGCACTTGTACAACATGATTTGGGCAAGAACTTGGTTGGTGAAAGAGCAAGACATGACGAAAGATGAGTGACCAGTGGCACATCCCAAGTTGACGAGACGTCCCTCAGCGAGGAGGATAATGTGACGGCCACTTGGCATGAGGAAACGGTCGACTTGTGGCTTGATGTTTTGGACGCTGGTTGCATTCTTCTTCAACCAGGCGACGTCAATCTCAATATCGAAGTGACCAATGTCTTGAGAGAGAGTTAATGAAGCCTACGAAAGGTATATTGGAAAAACTTACTGCAGACAATAGCATCATTGGGCATCTGCTCGAAGTGTGCGCCAACCAAGATGTCTCTGCATCCGGTCGTAGTAACGAAGATTTGTCCTTGGCTAGCAGCCTTCTCCATGCTCAAGACCTGGAAACCGGAAACAGCAGCTTGGAGAGCGTTGATAGGGTCGACTTCAGTAACAATGACACGAGCACCCATACCGTGGAGAGCCATAGCACATCCCTTTCCAACATCACCGAAACCGGCAACAACGGCAACCTTACCAGCAATCATAACGTCGGTAGCACGCTTAATACCATCGATCAAAGACTCACGGCAACCGTACAAGTTGTCGAACTTGGACTTGGTGACAGAGTCGTTGACGTTGACAGCTGGGACAAGAAGACCTCCGTTCTTCAGCATCTTGTACAAGTGGTGAACACCGGTGGTGGTCTCTTCAGAGACACCGTAGCATCCCTTCAACATCTCTGGGTATTTTGTGTGAATGAGCGAGGTCAAGTCTCCACCGTCATCAAGGATCAAGTTCAATCCCTTGCCATCCTTGAAGGCCACGAGTTGTTGCTCCAAACACCATTGGTACTCCTCCTCGGTCTCTCCCTTCCATGCAAAGACGGGGACACCTGTGAGCAATTAGTTTTTGGTACTTCTAGGGCCAAATTATTTTGAAAGAACATACCAGCAGCAGCGATGGCAGCAGCAGCGTGATCTTGGGTACTGAAGATGTTGCAAGAAGACCAGGTAACCTCAGCACCAAGGAATGTGAGGGTCTCGATGAGAACGGCGGTTTGGATGGTCATGTGTAGACATCCTGCGATACGGGCTCCCTTCAATGGTTGATCGGCGGCATACTTCTCACGGGTAGCCATCAAACCAGGCATCTCATTCTCAGCGAGCTCAATCTCCTTACGGCCAAAGGCAGCAAGGGCAATATCTGCGACCTATAAGAGCCTACTATTAGCATGTGTTGGTAGCAGACTCGAGGAAAGACTCGAGTGTTGAAAGGACAACATGCCTTGAATTTAGTTGCTGGAGCAGACATGTTTATGGTGTTGGGATTGTTGCGGTGAGGGGTATTTGGTGGGTAGCAAGCTATTGAAAACTGGACAAAACGAAGAAGTTAGCTTTGATGAGAGATTTGGAGGATCGGAAGAAGAGCTTGCTCTTACCCTACTATTTGAGATGTATGAGGGAGGAAGATGGAAGCAATTGAGAGTGAGAGTGGGAGTGGGAGTGAGCAGAAAAGAGAGCGACTGGTGAAATCCTATCCAACATTTTAGCGCGGGGAAGAACCGTCGGCTGTGGCACTGACTAACCCCCAGAAGCCTAGCGTAAACTGGAGCAAACAAAAAGCGGCAACCATAAATGATTTGGTAACATTTCATTGGCTTTTTGGTCCGACTAGCCTATATAATGGGGTCATTGGAAAGACTCTTTACAACCATTACTCCCCTCTAATTAATTGTTAATCGTGGAATTTATTCTGTTGCGGGAGCACGGTATTTTCGCCATACAAGTTTTAGTACATGAAGCTGTCAGAAATAACATTTGAATAGAGGGGGAGAGTGATGAATTGTTCCCTACGGGCTCTTGTCTGTTCTTATGCCGCTTTTATAGGCATGTCCGGTGCGAGGTCAAAGGTGCCTAAGATATCTACGAGTAATATATCCCTGTAAGGCACGATTATCAGTACTATATAATCGTATAACGCAAACGAACTTGTGATCGAGGTGTCATTATCAAGTCAATATTTTATATTCTTAGAATACCTACCAGTTGATTCTCGTCAATCATATTCTCGCCTACCAGGATCGGGCTAGAGGTATGACTATGCTTTCATGCACGGTGCGTTGTACTAATGAAATTCCAAATCGAAGGTGATGCTGTCATTACAGTGAAACGTTTTGGTAGGTGCCCTAAAAAAATTTGTGGACATATGTCTCCCTTTATTTTACTGGTGTATTGAGAACCCTCGAACGCCAGCCCATGCAACCCCCGGAGAGATGTACCGCAAATTGCGATAGCAAATGTGTACTTCTTCAAAGCAAACCCTTTTTAACTATCATACATTTATTCTGAATCGGGAAGCAAGTTACTCTTCACGGCAAACATCTTGCTGGTGATACTGGCAGTAAATCCATCAACTTGTCTCGAGTATTGCTCCACTTGTCTTGCGTTCAACATGCCTTCCAGCCGGCTCGGCTCCGTTGGCAATTTGAAAACCCTCTCCCACTCATCTTCTGGTAATGGCGCCTGCTTTTGTTGAACTCTTGATGCATTCTCCGCCGCTCGCTTTGTCTTCCATGCGGTGATCTTGGTTTGTTCACGGGCGAGCTGTCTTTGGTAGTATTGGAAGTTGTTCAACTCGGTATAGTGCGTCTCGATGCTGTCCAAGAGCATATCGCAAGTTCGTTCCAGATATGGGTCAATGGAAAGATCGAGAGAATCAAGATTGGGGTATAGCGGAATTGCTGGCTGGTTTGCGTTCAAGTCTGCGAGACTGGTGGGGAAATCAAGCTCTTCCTTCGGAAGCTCAGCTGGCATTTGGTGTAGGAAAGAAGTGAGGAGGTGAGAGTTATGGACAATAATTGGTAACTCGACCAATACATCTTTGTAGGTGAGTTTGGTTTTTTGCATGCTATTTGGATGTTAGATTCGTCCACACAAAGGCTGTGAAACACGTACTTTTCCGTAGTAAACTTGCTCTCTTTATAAGCAGCCATGAAGCTTGGAGATAATCTGAAAGCGCGAAGACTCAAAGCACCTTGTGAGCTTCGGCTGACATCATGAACCAAAGCAACGGTCTTCTCGTTTGGCTCCTTCTGGTAGAAAAATTGGTTCTCAATCAAGCTGATATTGACGAAGTTTCCCATATTTGCGCTAGTGTACCACCCAACATTGTTTGCGTCCACGTTCACTTCCCGAAGATATTTTATCATCTCATTCTGGTATGTGATATTCGCCTTTCCTCGTGGAGCGGCAGCGGCGAGGTTCGAGGCGGCCATATGGTCATTAGGATGGGAGTCGGAGGCGGTGATATCTGCTGTTGGGAAGGGAAAACTGTTGGTGATTTGGAGGGTCCCATTTACGTCCATTCCCACAATCGATCCAGTCGCCGTCGTAGGGAAGGTAGCAGCGCATGCCTTGACGATCTTCATGACCACCTGTATTGGATATTTCATCAGCCTTGACCTTCCCCGCCATGGGGTGGGGTTCGCATACCAGTGCCTCGACCTGCACTGAGTTCAAAGGAACTTCTTTCGTTGAGTCAGCCATGATTGTGGTTGAACTGAGGATGAGAGATTCGAGGGGGTGTTGCGATGCGATGCGCCGGGGGTAGTTGGTCGCGTTGTCGAGATCCAGTCCTCTTGGTCGCAAATAATTTTGGGGTTTCTAGTGCTTTGTTTGCCGAGAGTAAGGTTTGTGTGTGGGGGACCACCCAGACGGATTCACTGCCCCCACGGATTTTCCAACGTCAACAGAACACATGCTCTACTGTTTCTATTTCACTCAATCGATATAGACTTGCGCCGGGCTTTGCTGTACAATCATGCATCGCATTTTCTACAAGCACCATATCATCACGTGTTGAGTCCGTTCATGGCACTCAGCTCCCGGCTACTTAGCTAAAGGTACGCAGCTAAATGTGGTACTAAATTGTAGGAAGAGCCAGGTCTTCGCTATATACCTACCTCTTAACAACACCTCCATGCTTTTTATCGAGATCGTCAAAACTGTAACTTGACAAGGTTGCAAGTAAGCAGATGGGTGGGGTTCCAATCCTTCTTTGTTATCTCGGGCAATGGAGGCATCAGTAGGGAGGGTGTTTACGAAGCAACGAGTGTTTCTCTGATATTAAAACCAGGAAGACTATCGTACTGAGTTTCATTCTTCTGCATTCTAACAACCGCCTATTCTGTGCGCAGCTAGGGTATCTTGGAAATCTATCAGTCTAATGCTAAAGGCCAGCAGGAAATCTAGCCACCATTCGAACTCCAAATTCGCCAGGATATCATCTCACAACCATTAAACCGTCTAGACTTCAAACTCTGTAACGCCCCGCGACTCGGTTTCAAGCGAAAATGGTCGGCCCTCAATCAACCCACTCAACAATCTCCCATTCATTTGCGCCATCTTTGATTCGAAACCTCAATCTTTCTATCTCCCATTCCGTATACAGTTTTCGAGCTGCTCCAGCGGCTTTCCTATGAGCCTCCCCCATACTTCCAATTCTAGCATCATGGGTGGATCGCCAAACGCAAGTTGCGAGATTTCTACCATTTTCATCAGGTGATCCGAACCAGTATCTATTCATGTTTAGCGTCTAGAAAGGTGTAAGTGAAATTTTATTTGTCACTCACTTCAAGAAGCCACCACTTTTCGTTCCTTCGGCGTGTGCTGCCTTGTCGAGAGTACCGAGATCGGCATATACCGTAGTTGGCGGAATTTGTGATCTAAAGACGACGACGAAGAACGAGGTCTCCTTCCATTGGAAGTTCGAGGCGCTGGCTCGCCGTCGAATTTCGTCGACGATTTCTGGCCAATTGAATATCTCGACATAGGGGGCGGTCGCGTAATCCTCTCGAAGACAATTAAGTGAAGTGAGAGCTCTTGCCAGAATTTGGTTCGCTATATCGAGAGTCTTCAAATCGAGAAGATGCGGTCTTTCTTCGTATGGAGACACCACGATGAAGTCCTCATCTCTGTCGGCGATGCCCTTCTCCGACAACTCGTCGATAGTGCTGGTGGTGACTTGGAAACCAGTCTTGTGATTTGCCAACATATCGGGGGCTTGATTGAGGGCCTGCGGAGTCAAAACACTGATGGCCATGACAGCGTGTCGATACCAATTACAGCGAAGACAAGACGAAAGCCGATGACTTTCGGCGCACAAGAACTGCTTCGAAGGAAAGAGAATGGTGTTGTGAAGACTAGGTCAAGATGAAATTTGGAAGACACGAGGGGTCAAAAGGAAAGAAAGGTGTCTGCGCCTACATGACCCAGGGCGTCGCACTTTCTAAATAGGTCCATGAAAAGGTCAAAACATTACCTGGAGGATACACACCCAGCTCTGAGGTACGGGAGCTGGTGTCATTTTATTATGAATTGTTGTGATATGGCGCAATGCGTTCTGGAGGTGGCGTAATTTTCTATTCATAATCCCCTCCTCGCATGGTTAACTTTGTCGATCAACAATGTCTTGTTGCCAAGCACAAAGAACGAAAGGATCACTGCGGTGTCAAGGAAAATTCAACGTCAATATCCGACTCATGAAACAACCTGTCACTTGTCACCTGTGCCACATGGCATTGACTCCCGTTTCTTTTGCAACTTGTGGACCATGAGCGGCAAGTCCAACGGTGTCCTTAGTTCGTCTCAATTAACCTGCAACAACACAAGTAGGCAGACAGTTCTTTTCTCGTGAAAAAAACGAATTGCAGTTTAAGAGTCACATTGATCGAGTACTGAGCAACAAGCGCGTTCCGGTAATACTGAACTCTATTCCATCGTATTATCTAGGAACCCTCGACTTATCTTTGGTGGTTCCTCAACACGACTCACCGCCCACCTTGACCAAAAACACTTCCACAACGCAATCATCATATATCTATGAGACAGAGTGCGCTCTCAGTACCACCAAGATTTCCCTCATTTCTTGCTCGCTTCCGAGCCTCACCGCCGACATATATGCAACATGGTGACGGGGTCACACCTCTCGATTTCGGCATCCGGCCGACTCCTGCTGCACCTTTATGCGCAGAAGAAGTACCTTGGTACAGTACCTCGGTAGTTCAAAAAATGAAATTTCAACGATTCGCTTTAATGGCTCCCACTGGGGAGATACTTTTCTCTACCATCCGAGGCTGGTTTTGACTGTAGAACAGAGGGATGCGAATAAGCGATCAGAAACCGACCAACCACTGTTGTTATGTGTCAAAAACACCACAAGTCAAGCCCAGTACCACTCCAAGCTGCATCGGAATTTATAGGTCATTGCCACCAGTGCTTTCATGTCGGTCACCTAGCCATACTCGGCCAGTCTCATAAACACCAAGATAGAGTCCGCTTCCCAGAGCTGTCCATGCAGCCCTGAGAGTCCCTCCACGAAACAACCCCTTCATCCCTTGGTCCTTGAAAATATCACGCCCGACTACCAAGCCACTCTTTTTGGAGCTACCTCTCATCTGAGCCTGCTTCTCAGGTGGTTGATCTTTGACATTTTGGATGTTCTCTATTGTCTCCTTTTCACTCGCGGCCGAAAGCATTATTCGGGTCTTTACAACATCGATTGGGGTTGTTATGATGGCCGCAATACTTCCAGCACTTCCAGCACTCACGGCAGTAGTAATCGAAGTCTCGATCAGGCTGCCAGTAAATATTCCTTTGTCTTTCCTGTATTGTTTGATGGATTCCTTCATATGCTCAAACATTGGGAATTGCATAGCTGTAAAGGGAAGGTTTCTTGCGGCGAGTGCTGTGTAACCAATCCATAGTTTTGATGGGTTTTTGAATCTCTTAAGAGTTTGGATAGTCGCAGATGATCGGAATACAGTCGAAGATTTGGAGCTGGATTCTGTACTCGGTTTGCGGATCATCTGAGCATTTTGTTTCAAGACTTCTGCGGGAGTTAGGATAAAGCATGACACGAGCTCCGCAATAGATGATGCTGCACTGTGGACGAGTGGTTGTGGAAACAATGGTGATGATGAATCATTCCGAGTTGGATTGATTTTGTTGAAGCCGCTTTTCACAGCTTCATATGTTGTGAAGAATGCTCCAGCTAGTTGGTCATTTAGCATTTATCTTTTATTCACTGTATATTTGACAAAAGCTCTTGTTTTCCTAAGCGACGATCGGAAAACCTACAGGAAGGTATTGTAATCAAAATTATGCTACCAACTCCTTGGTAGAGACCACTAAAGAGAAGTCTTCGGTTGATAGCATTTTTAGAAGCATCAATGTAGATTTTTTGGTAGTCCTGACTTTGAAGTCGCGTTTTCAAAGTGTCCAAAGGATAGACTAGTAAATCAACGCTGAATGCTGCAAATGCTCCTGCCTATCGATATCAGTGATGTTCATTCTGAATACGTGCTTTAGTCTGTGCTTTGCGAGACGAAGAAATCGTTTGGGCGTAACTCGTTTTCCCATTCAAAACTGTAGACTCCTTCAGAGAAATTAATTCCCTCCCGAGTAAGGAGATTAACCATAAAGTTAACCTTCAAATGAGAAGACTAAGTTTTCTGCGTTTGACAGTCCAGACGGCCAAGATCAAGATCTAAGCTCATTAAAGGACTCTTGGCGGATAGAAGGGAATTTCTAAATAACAATAAGAAAAATGAAAGCTCACCAGTAGAACATCTGTATGTGTGTTTTTAGACATTCTTGTTAGTTGAAAGGATGATATTGAAGGAAAGCAAGGAGGAAATTGACCCAAGATGGCAACTATGTCATCGATTCAACCCTCGAGACTCCACTAATTCGCCGACAAGTCAGTTCGGCGATAAGATAAGAATCCTTGCTCATCTTGAGCCTCACCCTCTCAAGCTTGTTCCCTAATTCCATTCCAATACAAGAATCCAAACTCCCCACAAAGACCTGGATACTCCCAGTGATTTTTGAAGCTTCATTCTGGCTTATTACTTCTGGTCGCGGTCTTCCCGCGAGGTTCCTGAAAAGGCCTCAGCCGAAATCATGGCGCAATCAGCTCCCTCTCATCCGCCACTTACACCACAGTTCTGCTTCAACACACGCGCATTGAAAGGTCAGCCAATTGATGCTCCTTATCAATTTACTATATGAAACAAGATCCATACTTACAATGGCAAGCAGATTTCCTACGGATATCTCGTAGCTCCGTCGACGACAGCATAATCCAGAATTTAAATGCTTTATCCAAGCCAGTAGCATTCAATCCTTCTACCGCCTCGCAGCGAAGCCTCCCTTCTACAAACCGTCGAAGAATATCGCCGGAGACGTGTAGGACTTTCAAAGAATCAGTCCTATTTCCTTCATGGCAAACTCGTTCAGATGTTTTGACTTATTGCGCATCGGTGGCGACGAGTCCAGATCCCGATGACCCGGAGGCTGCAATACAACAATTGGAAGCTGAGAAGGCTGGGCAAAGGATCATAGACGAGAGACTGGATCCGTACTCGGCACGGTATTTTCCCAGGGAGTCGAGGACAGAAACGTTGGCTGCTGTGATTAGGCAGGAGAGAGGGGTGGAAAGGATTGTCAGAGCAAGAAGCTGGGGGTTGGTCCTTGAGAGGTGCGGGGATGATTGGAGGGAGTGGGAAGATGCTCTGGGTCAGTGGAAAAAGAGCGCGGAGAAAAGACAGTAACAATTGCCTGGAGAGATGTTTCGGAAGGAAATTTGAGTCTCGAATTAGGAACTCCAAGTACAGCGCACTGTTTAGATTTGAGCGGTTCGTGTTAGGTTAGCAGGTACCGGACGACAGTTTTTGTAGCGAAGGCATTCAACTCTTGTAATATTATAGTTATCAACAAATATTATCGTTCTGTCAGCTACACAACATTTCAAATCCCTTTTATAACAAGTACCTTCAATTGTCCTGGGATTTTCGATTAATTATTCGCCCAGCCTAAATAACCAGAATAAATGAAGAATTTAAAACAGGTTAGGCTAGTAGAGGAGGATTCTCTGTTAATTTCCTTGTTCGCTAGGAGCAGGTATAAGAATCCGTACTAGTAGGAAAATCCCGCTTAAGCTTAAAGAGGAAATCCACTTTAGTTGTAAATTCTTTGAGATCCTTTGAAAAACTGATTAGGCAGGGAGTTTGTTGTTCTTAAAAATTTCCGATTATAGTAATCAGACTCGCATTCAGCTTGCTGAGGGGACTGCCGGATTTTTTTATAAGAGAGAAGTTTGTGGTACCATTCAAGATAGTGCGGTGAATCAGCTTTTATGGTACCAGCCAGCTTTCTAAAATGATCCACAGTGGTTCTAACAGCTCAGAAGGAAGGATTATATCAATTACTCGGTGCTTTCAATACAATCATAGTAACCATTTTCTGGAATGAAGCTTAATAAATCTAGAGCTTGGTGAATGCGGAGGTCGGCTCAAACTCGGAATCGGTTCGGCGCTCACAAAATCAGTGGTGGATAAGCTCTCTCCTCTCCCCATGCTCAAATCCATCTCCCACCTCCCCACCACGAAACTGCACAACCATCTTCCTTCTCTCAACACAGTATTGGACAAGAAGCTGTGCCTTCTTTCCTCTGCTCCACTACGTATATTCCCGGTACTATTTACGAGCGATCTGACAGCCAACACGGTCTCTGAACTTATTGCATTCAGCACAGGAACATATTCCCTAGCCTGCTGCTTGGTGCCCTTTTCAGCCTTTGCGGCAAAACCGAATCGCCATGCCAGTAGTTCTCTCTGGGAAAGAGCAGTCGCTCTTTCGAACTGTTGTGCGCAATTATGAGGACAAACAATATAAGAAAGGTTTGCCAGCTCCAGCTGCTATTAGCAAAGCTACGCTCTAATTCAATTTTAGGGATCAAGGCCGCCGAACAAATCCTCAAGAAGAACCCCAAACATGGAGATACACTGGCAATGAAGGCGCTATGTATGAATTCGCAGGGGAAAACGGAAGAGGCGTTTGCGCTCGCGAAAGTCGCCCTAACTTGTGATATGAAGTCGCATGTTTGCTGGCATGTTTATGGATTGTTGTGGAGAGCTGTAAAGAATTTTGAAGAGGCGATCAAGGCATACAAGTTTGCTTTGAGACTAGAGCCAGAATCTGTACAGATTCAGCGGGATTTGGCTCTGTTACAGGTGCAGATGCGGGACTACCAAGGTTATTTGGTTAGTCGTAGAGCAATGTTGGCTGCTAGATCTACCATACGACAGAGTTGGACGGCTCTTGCAGTAGCACAGCACTTGAGTGGGGATCTTGCACAGGCAGAGGGTGTTTTGACCAGTTATGAGGAAACTTTGAAGAACCCTCCATCCAAAACCGACTTCGAAAACTCTGAAGCTGTGATGTACAAGAACTCCTTGATTGCGGAGCAAGGAGACTACCAAAGGGCTTTGGAGCACTTGGAATCTGCTGGGAAACATAACTTGGATAGACTCGCTGTTTTCGAGCTTCGCGCTACATACCTGACCAAGCTTGATCGAACCGAAGAAGCCACAAAGGCATACCGAGCCCTTATCGATCGCAACTCGGAATACAAAACTTACTATGACGGCCTAATAAAGGCCATGGGAGTTGCGCCCACAGACCACAAAGCCATGATTGCAGTATACGATGAGTATGCCGAAAAGTATCCTCGATGTGATGCAGCGCGCAGATTACCTCTTGATTTCTTGGAGGGTGAGGATCTAGTCCACTACCTCTGTAATACAATGCTAATTATTGCACTTAGGCGATGACTTTAAAGCGGCTGCAGACAAGTATATCAACCGGATGTTGGACAAGGGTGTACCATCAACCTTTGCAAACCTCAAACATCTTTATTCCAGCGATTTCAAAAAAGAAGTCCTTCCTTCGTTAGTTCAGCAATACATTGACAGTGGGAAGAGTGAGAAGAGCGAAGAACCAAAGAGAAATGGCGATACATCCAAAGGTGCCTCTGCGGCGTTCTATTTTCTTGCCCAACATTACAACTATTATTTAAGTCGCGATCTAGACAAAGCAATGGACTTCATTGACAAGGCCATCGAATTGGAACCCAAAAGCGTGGATTTCCATATGACAAAAGCGCGCATATGGAAGCATTACGGCAACACTCAAAAAGCTTCTGAAATTATGGAGCTCGCCCGAACTCTGGATACACGAGATCGCCACATCAACACCAAGGCTGCCAAATATCAACTGAGAAACAATGAGAGCGAAGCCGCTTTGAAAACAATGGGAATGTTCACTCGAGCAGAGACTGTTGGAGGGCCACTTGCTGATTTGCATGATATGCAGTGTGTGTGGTTTTTGACCGAAGACGGTCAATCGTATGCGCGTCAGGGGAAAACTGGTCTTGCTCTCAAGAGATTTACTTCTATATTCAATATTTTTGATGTATGGCAAGAAGATCAATTTGATTTCCACAGCTTCTCTTTACGCAAAGGTCAAATCCGAGCGTACGTTGATATGATCAGATGGGAGGATCAATTGAGGGAACACCCTTTCTATTCTCGTGCTGCACTCTCTGCCATTGAAGTGTATATCAAAATTGCTGATAAGCCTCTGTTGAATGGATCCAACGGGACAGCAGGCCTGAGTGAAGAAGATGCGGCTGAGCAGAGGAAGGCAGCGAAGAAGGCGCGAAAGGAAGCGCAAAAGGCCGAGCGTGAAGCGTTGGCAAAAAAGAATGAGCCCAACAAGTCAACCAGAGAAGGGGATAATGATCCCAAGAAGAAGGACGATGATCCAGAAGGTATCAAGCTTGCTGCTACAACAGAGCCAATGAATGATGCTATGAAGTTCCTCACACCTCTTCTGCAGTTCAGCCCAAAGAACATCGATGTTCAGTTGGCTGGATTTGAGGTCTTCATCCGACGAAGTAAGTTTTTTTTTGGTACCCAACTCGAACTAGTCGACTAATATCATTGGCAGAGAAGTATGTTCTTGCTCTTAAATGTCTGCTGGCAGCAGCAGCTCTCGACCGAGAGCACTCTAAGGTTCACAGCCAATCTATCCGATTCAAGCTTGCACTGGATAAGGAACTGGACACCATCAACCCAAAAACCGCGGAAGTAATCAAGTCTGAGTTCAACCTTATCCCAGCGTCTGTGCCCCTTGCGAAATTCAACGATGAATACCTTAGCAAGCATAAAGATTGCGCTCGACGAACACTTTCGGGGTTGACGACGCGAAGATTATTGTCTCCTGATGCATCCCCGAGCGTCGAGAAAGATATCGTTGACATTCTCAAATTTCCGACTGTCACATCAGAAGAAGCCACTGAGGCATATGAAGTACTGAAATCTTGGAAAAGTAGCGAGGTTGACACATTCAAGTCAAGTGCAACACAAACGTGGCCCAAAGCAACAATCTTTGCTTGATGTTATTGAATTTAGCGAATTGTGTAATTTGATATTCGCACGAATTTCTGAACAGCCTATCCGATATATTTTTGCGGCGGCTTGTGGCATAGCTAGCATTGGCATGGAAACTTTCGCAGGGAAAAGATTAGTTAGATAAAAGTTTTGATGACCCCTTTGCGAAATGAGGGCGAATTGACTAGTTTATCATTCACGATGATGACCGGGAGAGAATCTGGTGTATGGGACTTCATAGGAGTTTTTCTCGATAATACTAAATGCTTCTTCTGTGCTATTATATCTCAGCAAAAGGAGATTTCGGCCATGGTCGTGCGTTCAGAATTTACCCGGGCTCGGCTACGATGCTCGATTGCAGACTAGTTTCTTGGTACCCGTCCCGGCTTGGTGAAATCTTGAATGAACCTTGGAATATCTCGGTATATCATCTGACTAGCTTTAGACAGCTTCTGTGTTACTGCAGGAACGGGAATTCTTGTACCTCGAAGTTAAGCAGCTTCCCAGGCCCTGTTATTGTGAAACAATCAAGAGAGAGAGCAAGGGAAATTGTTTGGATTGTTCAGCTGACTGATTCGTTCATCCTCTTCGCACTAGATCCAGCCTGGAAATGGAATGGGATCATGGGGGTGGGGCGGGAATGGCGCTCATCGCATATGAATTGGTCCAATAGCAAATCCTCTGTGGGTACCATGGTCCATGGAGCATCTCGCTAGATCTGCATCGCATGGTGCTCGTTTCAAGCACCACACCCTTTCTGCACTATCTACAGTACTTCGTCCTCCACCATTCCCATTTTGCATTTATCATGGGCGTAGTAGCCCTAACCCTGGGTTTTACGTGAGTCCGAAGTCTGAGCCTCGGACACGGTGTTCAGAGGCTCGCGCGAGAAGCGTTTCATTGTTGAACTGACGACGACGATGCGTGTGTTGATGTTTTGGTTCCGGGGAAATTAAGCGTTCGAGTGCAACACTCAACACCACGCCTCGTCGCCTCCAAGTTCCAAGCTGAAAATACTCTTGGCTGGATGTACTCCGTCTCCGTACAGCATCTGGAGAATTGTCGATTTCTTCCTGTTCTAGAAAGTCAATGTATGGAGCACCGTGCATGGCAAACTGCTTGTTCGTGGCTTGTTTCCACGCTGAAATTTTCCGGGACCTGGAACCTAGGAGGGAGTTTGCCGTTCACAATCCGGCATTACTTGAGCCTATTCCTGACTCTCTTCGTCCGTTCATTGCTGGAGATACCGACGTCTTTCGTCGCATCATCCATCATCCATCATTCGTCCGAACTCGCCGACTGCCCTATCACTTGTTTGCATCCCGCATCGATCGCGCGATGAACGCCCATTCCACCACACTGACCACAACACGGAGCGGCTGTCGGAGGGGGGAGGGGGGAGGATAATGTTACCCTGCAGGGCGCGTACCTGAGTTAGCCTTCTTTCCCCCGTTTGTGGGCCTTACGGTGCAGATGGGGGCAGACTGGGCAGTGGTTCGACGCCAAACTCGCGTGCGGTGAGCGTTCTGGGTTGAGGGGTCATCCCTCAACCAAGGCCGGCTGGGGCTGGTCCACGTCTAAATACGTGAAGTCGCGGAGTTTTCCAGTAAGGTTATCAAATGAAAAGTCAGACATGCCATCGCGATGCATCGCGATGGACGGACTAATCTTAGCATCTTTAATCTGGAGAAAATAGTAGGCAAAAGGGAAAAAAAGAAGAAGAAAAGTCAAACCCGTCTTTTGCCTGATCGATTCTCCCGCCCAACCCGTGCAAGTGCAAGTGCAAGCACCGCAAGGAGGATTTGGCTGATGCTGGTGCTGATGCTGATGCTGATGCTGATGCTTCGTGTGAGATCTGGGGCGTCTGATCAATCTCTGTCAACCACCCTGCCCCACCCAAACACTGCCTTACGGTATGATTAAGCGAAGAACCAGGATTTTGAACCTGAGTGCCAGTCTGCACCAGTCTGTGCTCGGGTCCCAGGACAATCGGGTTCAATTTCGAGACCGTGCAGGTAAATTTACTAGGTACCTACCGTACCTGGTGGAGACCCCCCGTCATACTGTACTCTTCTCCACTGTCAGCTGCTCTGCTTCTGCCCTCTTTTTCTTCTCCTCTATCTCTCTGCTTTACTTCGTTGTCTTTGTGAATCCGGCGCTTGGGAAAAGCCCAAAGCTTCCAACAGATTGTCTCGCTTCCAGAATCCGCATCCATTCTGATTCCTTCCAACACGCGGTGCAATCGTACTCCCCCATCCTTCAAAGAACCTACCCCCACTACGAGTTCGAAACGACTTCCTCTTCCCGAACCCTAGGATCCCCACGCTCAGAACTCCGCCCTGTACGTAACTAAGCGGGAAGCTGGAAGGTTGTTTGGTTTCCAATGTTCTCTCGTCATTTCTCTCGCGCTCGCTTCGTGGTCTTCTCAATCTTCTATACCAGATCTGATTCCACATACGCCTCAGGAGTTCCAGATCACGAGGTATCCAATTTCGCCGTTGCTGAAGACCCTTAGGGGCCCTTAGGGGACTGGGATACGAATGGGTGGACAGCGTCTTCACAATTCCATCAAATCCCGAGTATTGGACCAGGATATCCTGTATCCGGCTTATGAACCGACCTGCTTGATTGCCAACATTACCGGAACAAAAGCAAACATAAACAAAGCAACAAAATTATTGTTGTTTGGATTGGGAGTATACTAATACCATTCTGTGTAGGGAAAGGGAATATAAGATGGCAAAGGCCGACCTGGAAAATCTAGCCTTCCGGGATACGGATCCAAGTCACAGTTTTAACTCTCCTGTATCAGCTATTTCCTTCAATCGCCGAGCACGACCGCCTCCCATGGATTTGACTACGCCGGACGGAGGTGATAAGAGGATTCCTCTGGCGGAGAAGAAGGTCCATAGGAGAGCGTCGAAGGGGGGGCTACGTGGGATATTCACGAGAACCAAGGCACAGATGGAAAAGGGTGTCGTTTCTCCAGTGCTGGAGGAACCTATTTCTTCGATATCCAGCAGTTTCCACCATAAAGATGATCGAGCAAGAGTCTCTGTAGAGAAATCTACAACGATTTCAAGTCCTCCGACTCCTGCTACACCGGTAACACCAGCTTCTCGACTTGCTCGGCCGTCACGAATGAATTTCAAATCCAAATCGATGAAGCCAAAACATCAAGCTCCAAAATCGAGTCCAAAATCAGTAAACTCCTCTCCTTCCCCAAGACGATCTTCGGCAGCGTGGGATCCGCCGCCATTATTCCAAGCTTACCCTCAGGCTGTCAAACATGCGACACTATCAGCTTCAACTTTATCCGCCGATGCAATTTTGCGTCTGAATGGACATAGCAGAAAGCCTAGCCTGAGGGAAGATATTGGCCAACTGTTTGAGGAAGGTGCGAACCTGGACCAAAGCTCGACTGCCATAAAGAAGGAAAAGGCAAAAAGCAAGCATCGAAGGCAGATATCGGGTTCCATGTCAAAAGCAGAATGGACTCAAAAAATATTTGTTCTCGTAACGTCCGGATACCTCCTTCAGTATGCAGGTGACGGGTCCTCTGACCGTCTACCTGAAAAAATGATGCAACTTGGAAAGGACTCAGTGGCATTCGCCAGCGACGCTATTCCCGGAAAACATTGGGTACTTCAAATATCGCAAGCCTTGGATTCAGATGGCGCTCCAGCCGCAGATTCGAGGTCCCTCCTGTCTCGGCTGGCCTTTAGAGGAGCGGACCATCGAAGAGCGGCTACTAGTTTGCTCCTAGTTATGGACAGCGCGGAGGATATGGACTCCTGGCTAGCAATAGTGAGAAGAGAGATTGAATCCTTGGGCGGTAAAAAGCATGTCTCAGAGACGGGAAAATTGAAACCAGACGACAAAGTCATGCAATTAAAAGCGCAACCAAGTCATAGATATTTAGTCCAGAGAAGTTCAGATGGCTCAGATCCTACCTCTTCAACAAGTCCAACATGGAACGATGGCCCAAGGGAAGATATCTATGAAGAATTACACTCTGATCTCATGAAACCTCAAATCTCTCGTTTTCATGGTTCAATTGCAGATGCTGTCACTGCTCGGGAAGGACAATTGGAATTTTCAAAAGAAAGGACCAATCGATTCTCCGTGGTGAGCTCTGGGCAACGAACCTTGTTCACATCACACAGTTCATCTCCCTCCACTTCGCCCACAAGAGAAAGCTGCTCTACCTTAGATGATTTCAGCCTTTCGGGTACGCCTATTGAAGATGCACGACCAAGGCCAAAATCTTCAGCAGCCAACGAGCGTCGGAGATCTATGCAGACAGTGGCTGTTCCCGATCTTGACGTAAATGCACTGGGTCAATACAGGCCCCATTCGACTTATGGTGGGCCCGGTCGGCCTTCTACGACATCGAAATTTAGTGTTCCAAACTCCTCTGTGAAGAGATTCTCTGCTATCAAAAGCCCTGCCCTCAATCACCCCGCGACGGATTTTCCAGCTCCACTGAAAGTTACAACGACTCCGCTTGAGCGAAAGGACAAAGCACTGCCAAGTATTCCACTGGAAACTTCACAGTATACTTCAAGGCTTGCGACAACTACCCTTATTTTTCAATCTTCGCCTGAAAATAGTCCCCGACTAAAGCCATCCTTTGTCGAAAGTTATAGTCGATCTTCTATCAATTCAGGTCGCAGGTCAATCTTAGTTCCACCGAGCTCCTCTTCAAAAGACACATTCATGGAATTTCAATTTCCTCGACGTTACTCGAGTGTGCAGCTACTCAGAGATACAAGTGAAGATTCACGAGACTGTATGAGTTCCAATGTGAAAGTAGCTCTCCTTTCACCGCCTCCTTTGAGCCCCCCACACATTGGGGACATGGTCAAATCCAATTACCTGACGGTTGAAAAAGAGGGTGCCTATATAGTATCCTCTCATGCGCAAGGCAAACTTCGCCGTCCCAAAAGCATGCAAGCGCGAACTGGAGAATCGTCAATGTACTCTTCTCACAACCTAGGTCAAGTGTCTTTACAGCCTCGCATCATTTCTGATGATTTACATGCAACAAACGCTCTGAAAACATTGAGTTCGGAATCCAATTTAAGGACACGACACACAAGCTTGAGGCTACCCTCGCCGCCGTCAACACAACGGAATCGGACAAGGGAGAGGAGGCTCACAGGACGACAAAGCTTGCCAGTAATTATTACAGGACCACCACCAGCACCACCGCCACGCTGTGCTTTACCAGCTTTACCATCTCCCCAACATGCTACCATGTCGAGATCATCCACACCTCAATTCCGACATAGAAATTCGGTAGCTTCTTGAACTCAGAACAAACCCTGGTTTTCATAAACAAGAAATCATCTGTTTTATTTTCTTTTGTACCAATATGTTGATCATAACACCCTTGTTTTGTTACAAGAGATAGCTATTTTGCAAAGACTTCTACAGTCATCTTTTTCTTTCTTCTCTTATATCCTGTACAACAGTAAAGAATAGTCTTTTCTTATACTTTCCGCAGTGCAGCGGAGGCTTTCCTATTCCATTCATGTCATTAGAAGCTCATGGAGTGATCTATTGCTGGAGTTTTGTTTATACGGTTGTAATGATGCCACTATGATGGAACGGGGGGGTTCTTTGGTGGGAAAGGGAGTTGCGGTGATGGTTTAATTTGCGGATCATTTTCTTGATGGGATGTATATCTCTTTTGTTTCCTTTTCTTATCTCGGTTACAGGCTGGAGTTACACATGATTGGGCTGGGAGGATGGTTGGGATATGTTGGTGCTATGGATGATTGATGAGGGGTGGTTGGGTTTATGAAGCGGAATGAAGCTAGGAATGGACATATGTAACAATGACAATGAGAACTATGGATAACTGCTTCCTTAAAGAAGCAAATAAATACATTGAAGTCCAAAAATGAATTACTCAACGCACATTTTGGTGGCTGTCCGAAAGGAAATCAAAGTAATTGATAAAACACCAGTGAGCGCTGTTCTTTGGACACTTGACATTAATAATTATTTAGGCTTCTTTAAGAATTCTATTTAATCAGTTAATAGGCTCTCTAGGAGAACTTCGTTTGTTCTTTAGTCTTACGCAAAACATGAGATTCAAAAAGTAGGGATTTGTTTTTTCTTCTCGTATTGAGTTACATTCCTAGGTAGATTACTCTAGAGGCCCAGTAGTGGAAGTTGCATTCAGGGAATAACCCCCGACTTTCAGATGTGGGTCCATCCATTTAGGGTTATGAGCTAGGAATTTGGACAACGTCATTTGCTTTTTCCCTGCACCACCTTGAATCCATCACGAATTATTGGTGTACGAATTGAATTCCTGGATAATGTTTTCTTAATACGAGTAATCCCACTCTTTTGGATCAGCACTAGGATTTCTCTCCTCGACATTTGTTGGCTGACCGGCTGTCCCTTCCGGGTTATCCGAAGATGATGGTTGGGTGATATTTTCGCTCTTTCTTTTCAAGACGTGGACGAAGGTTTGGAAGGAATTGAAGGTCTGATGAGCGGATTGTATGATCCTGATGGGGGATTGGAGGAGAGGGGTGAGGAGGTGACTGCTGCTTTGGTATGTTTTTGCTTTTCTTAATAAGTACACTGTCGCTATATATCATACACACTGGTATCACACACGCCCTTATCTCACCACCAGATGCTTCTATAACACATTTCTCGCGCCTCAAATTCTTAACTGACAACTTCTCGCAGTCCCAAAGAGATCTCGGTCTAAGAATTCCCATCAATTTCGTCACTGAGCCTGGTGTTTCTGTGAGGGCCGTTTGTGGGTATGGAGGCGAACTAGGAAAGTGTATAAGCAATTTACTTGCCGTTGGATTTCGACGATTTGAAATTGATCTTTTCTGGAGCGGAGGCAGTGGAACGTGGAGCTTTTGTCCTGTTCCTAAAGATGATCGAGGCGAGGCGAAGCAGACGCAGATTGCGCTTGGCAATTCGAGTATGAGTTCAGCTTTTAGGAAAAGATTGAGCCGAAGACAAGAAGGCACGCCTACCACCAGCATTGAGACAGCAACCTTGACTACAATCTCGACTCCTTTACCAACTTCCTCGGATCTTCCGGGAAATCAGATTCCTTCATCCGAGAGCTACAACTGCACTACAGATTTCACCCCCGGAACCTTCGTAAATCTATTGTCAGATTATTTTGATAAAACGGGCACTACACTCTCCGCCCATTTGCTTTATATTTATTTGAATATTCACGCCTCGTTGAATATATCATTACCACTGTTACCTCCGCCGACGCCCACGAGATTCCCGGATAGCTCGAATCTGCTGAGCGGCATTTTTAATACGAATCTTTCAAATTATATATACGCACCTCATAATCTCGCTTCAGAGAGGTCAAACATCAATGGAACTTGGTACACAGTAGCAGAAAAATATCGACCATCGGCCGATTATTACAACATTTCCTTGGACCAGTATGCGCTTGCTTCTACCGTCGATGGGTGGCCAAGTCTTAGTTTTCTCGAGTTGGCAAGAAACAAGAGACTCTTGCTATCTCTGGGGAATGTGGACCCGCAGATGACGGGATATAATCTCACTAGCGATGCAGATACGATCTTTCCCTCGATGTACTTGAGAAGCGAGAGGAATGTAACGGCAACAGCAGGGGGAGAAGTAGTTGGAGGATGTTTGTTCCAGAATAATCCATCCCCAGGCTTTGCAACAAGTAACGTTTCTTGGGCCGACGCATCTAATATTATTGGCTTTACATCACCTACAACGACAGGAGTAGATCTTGACTCTCTACTTAGCCTCACAACTAACTCGGTAAACTGCGGGCTCTCACCTTTCCTGAATACTACATTGGCACAAGATGAAACGACATCTCAATCCTTCCTCCCTTATCGAAATTTTACTCACGCCACTATCTGGTCCTGGGCAGAAGGGGAACCGAAATTCCACAACACGAGCACAAACAGCAAGAATAACACCTTCCACTGCGCAGCCATGTCGTCCTCCTCTGGTCGCTGGTCAGTCTCGGATTGCGACGCAAAGAATCCCGTAGCATGTCGTGCGGCCAGACATCCTTGGAAATGGACAGTTAGCACCACGACTCGATCCTATGCTGAAGCGGAAAGGGCTTGTAATGGAGACTATGCGTTTGCGGCCCCAAGAACCGCTTTAGAGAACTCTTATTTATATGATTCTGTGAAACAAAAGGGTTTTGAGCAGGAACAGAATGTCTGGGTTGATTTCAATGAGTTGGATGTGGCAGACTGTTGGGTTACTGGGGGAGCGAGGGCGGAGTGTTTGTATAAAGTTAGTTTGAGCGATGAGGAGTATTTGAGGAGGAGGATTATTCTTGTGAGTTGATCCCTTTCCTCTCTTTTTGTATCCCTGCGGTTTTGAGCTTCTGGGTTTGCTTTACTGATGCTTGGTACAGGTGCCTACTATTGGAGCGATTATTGTGTTGATCCTTGCGGCTTTGACCATATTCGTTAAGGCTAGGGGGAATCATAAGACGAAGAGAACTAAGAAGAGGAATGGGGAGGGGGTTATTTATGAAGGTGTTCCGTCTTAATATCCTGTTTAGGAAATGGGTATCTTCTGGGGGAGTTTGGATGGGATCCGGTTGGATTGCGAGACCTTAGGCTCGGAGTTGGAGGTCTTTATTAAGGGGGGTGACTTGGATAACAGTGTTTGGCTATTAGATAAATGTTTAACTTGGGGTCGCGAGACTTCCTACCTAGCCAAGTTGAGCCTGTAGAAACTAGGAAATGATTTGATGTTCTCATTTCTCTTTCACGAATTAAGGAATTCGCCCATTGTCACTCTAGAAATCTCCATCAATACTCTATCGAATATTAGATGCCCTTTCTTCCTTGAAATAAATTCATTAATGAGTTTTAAGAAACAATCAAATCTGTATTGTATAGATCATTTCTTGTTAGTATTACTAAAGAACACGTGCTACTTAGTATGACTTAGGAGAATCAGAATCAGATGTTCAGTTACGAAGATTGTCGATTTGTTGAAACAATCCTATCACTAGTAGACAAATATACTACAATAGCCGCCTAGACTATTACGTATTTCGAACATACAACCTCCACCGCTTGTCACGGAACCTGATATTTCTAATGCCTCTCAAAGAATTGCTTACAATGTCAAAGTCAATCTTCTTTATACTAAATCCATTGAATAGTGATACTTATATAAACATACACTCCATTTTTGCATAACTTACCTAATAATTGTCGAATTATTCGCAATACTCAAGTCAAATCCCACGGCATCAAGCCTTGTCCCGCCACACTGCTCTCCTAATATCGTCTCCCCATGGTATATTTGCTTCCACGCCATCTGTTCTCCGTAATAAAGAGGCCAATTGCTATTATTACAACCAAGAGGATTCCAAAGAATTTCATCAGTTCCGTACTTCGAGTCATTCGAAAGCGATAGGTGAAGTTTAAAGAAAGAATTCCACCTCTACTGAACGGCTTGGAGGTTGACCTTCTTTCCAAGCCCTTTTCTTAGGATCTCTTCGTTATTATCACGAGTTGAAGGACCGATTTACTTGTCTTGATTTTGCTCCCTGGATGGCTCCTTTCCGAGGAGAATCGCTTGTGGACTTGACATGTCGATGTTCTTTAGCGATCAAAACTGGATGCTCAGTCCTGGGCTTATAACGAGAAGGGAGGTCCTAATCTATAGGACGTCGGCGCTTGCTTGAGATGAGAGGACTTACAGCTGATTTCGTGGCTGTTGTTTTCTTGTTGGTCTTGAGCGAATTGCTTAGATTTGCTTCAGTAAATTTAACCAACCTCCTTTCCTTTCCTTTTTAGGGTTTGCTTCACAGCCCCTTATAATTGATTCAAAATCCTTAACTTAATAACACGAGCTGTCGAAGGTTGTAGATTAGATGAAAGTTCTGTCAAGCATATGAGCGCGATTGTTAACTCTAATATTTCCAATATAATTATTGACATAATTTGCCCATCAAGCCATGATTCTATGAAATGACCTATGACTTGCTAATTAGCAGAAAGTGTTAGTTTATTTTACTCACTCGCTTCCCCATAAGAGACGAGACCTTCACGGGTGTATCTCGGGTCTCGGGTAACCTTGTGAAGATCCCTGCAACATCTACACCAGGTTCCACCATTGCAATTGCATCATCAAGAAGTACTCAACTTCACGCCTAGAGTGTAGAAACCTTTAAAGATGTTCTCGCGACCGATATGCCGTCGACTAACGAGCAGGAGTTTGATGAGGGGGCTCTCTACTTCAGTAGCCAGAAGGGCAGACTTCACTCATGCTGTACGAACTCCTAACATGGGATGTACATGAATAGATTAGCTGATTGTAGACTAGGTTATTGGAGGAGGAGCAGTAGGATTATCCATTGCTCGACAATTAGCAGCACGGGATGGGACGAGTACTGTTATCATTGAACGAAATGGTGGGGTGGGGATGGAGACCAGCTCGCGGAATTCAGAAGTATGTTTCACAAGCACAACAACACTATGAACTCCCAATCTCATAATTATGACAAGAAACTAAGTAATAAACTAGGTAATCCACGCAGGTCTCTACTACGGACCAGATACGCTCAAAACCAAGCTATGCATCAAAGGCAGACAAATGATGTACGCCCTTTGCAAAAAGTATTCCATCCCACACAACAACTGCGGGAAATGGATTGTCGCCCAAACGAACCAGCAATGGGAAGAGCTAGTAAAAGTTCATAAATTCTCTCAGACTCAGTCTGGGATCCCCACTGAGTTCGTCTCCCTCACTGAAGCGCCGAAAATCGAGCCCTGTGTTCAGGCAAAAGTGGGCATTCTATTATCTCCCACGACGGGAATCGTAGATTCGCATGCGTACATACAATTCTTGCTTGGTGATTTCGAGGAGCGAGGTGGGGATGTGGCACTCCATACTCCTGTTGTGAGAATCACTCCTCTAGGAGACAACGGTTCAGGAGGCTGGGAGATCACGACTCTTGACAAGGGATCAGGAGAAGAAAGCACCATCACAACAGAGACGATAATAAACTCTGCTGGTCTGGGAGCTTGTGATGTCAACAACATGATACTCCCCGAAAGTCGCCATCGCACGCAGTACTACGCAAAAGGAAACTACTTCTCTTATTCTTCACCTCATCCAAAAACCAAACATCTTATTTACCCCGCTCCAGAGCCGGGACTTGGTGGTTTGGGGACTCATCTTACGATGGATATTAGTGGTCGAATTCGATTCGGACCTGATATTGAATGGGTCGGTTCTCCTACCGATCTTTCAGTGTCGACGGAGAGACTTGATGTTGCGATTGAGCAGATCAAACGTTTCTTACCTGAGGTAAATGAGGAGGCTATCGTGCCTGATTATGCCGGGATAAGACCCAAGTTGGCGTATAAGAGTGCAGTGGCCAGTGGAAAGGGGTTCATTGATTTCGTGATTCATAAGGAAGATGGGTATCATGGGTTTGTGAACTTGTTGGGAATTGAAAGTCCTGGGTTGACGAGTAGTTTGGCGATTGGAGAAATGGTGGAGGATTTATTGTATAAATGAGGTTTTCCGTGAGGAACGAATGAGATTTTTGTAGCATTTTCATAAAGGCGTGTTCTTACAGCAGTCGAGACACTTTGCTCGCGAGACTCTTAGTACTGATCTCATCTCGTATCAATGTCTTGCTTTAGCGAAAGAACCATCAGTAGGTCATTATTACTTCTCGGACTTCGTGTAGGGTTGGTGGTAGAGCGATCTTGATTGAATTTAATCAGCTAAGAAGCTCAACGTCGCAATTTTGCGATCACTTTTTGATAACATCTCAAGTATTCGGAATTTCTTGTATTTGGCCTACCTTTCAAATGTTGCCCGGTGCTTATGCGTGTATCTCAAGGCCGAATAGAGATTGGCTCCATTTCCCATAAACCTCCATAAACTAGAAACCAAAGTAAAACTTTCTTGTATAGCAACATAATCTTTGCAATTTCGAGATGCCAATCTCATAGCATTGAAAATGCGAAGAAATATACGGGCCTAGTTAGTTCTCACAACAGTACCAAAATCTTCTCATTAACGAATTCTCTTCTCGGCAACCCAAAGTGCTGCTTCGATTTCTCACGGTTTTCTTCAGTCTGGCTGCTTGTGGCTCTCCTGCTATTACTTCCTCTTAGGAAACAGACAATATGGTGAATCGATGGTGTCAGGTATGTTTTTGTCTGGGACAACACTGTTACAAGCCCTCTTCAAGTCCTTTGTCGCTAAGCTGTTAAGCTGAAGCTTACTAGTAAATCGAATCTGACGGGACTTATTCGGTAGCCATGTATTCAATTAATTATTTTTAAGTCTATGTCATCGGATTTTTTATTCTCATCAATAATGAGACGAATAAGCCCCTTTGGGAACAGTGTTAGTAAATACATGCTCCTCCCGCGCGGTACGGCCCAGGGTGTAAAACCTTTATAGGAGCTGCTATTGACTGCTCCCAATGGTGGGCGTTGAACTTTAAATAGTACGAAAGATGTAGTTCTTTATTTACTTGTTTACGCGTTTACTTGTGTATAGGTGGGGAATGCAGAGAGGGGGAGGGGGGAAGGGGGGAAGGGGAGGGAAGAGGGCATAATAGAAGTAGGTAGAGACTTACAGGACCGAATAGTAGGAAAGTACTTATAGGTAGGTACTAGTACCGGTTGGGAAGGAGAGGTAAAAACGACCAAGTACTTACAGGTAGTGAGGGAGAGGGACAAGTAAAACGGCTAAGTACTTACGCGTAGTTTGTACTCGAGTAGAGGTAAAAAGAGGGAGAAAGGCTCTATAATATAGACAGATAGCTTGCGGAACACTCCGATTACGCTTAAACTCTCTTAAGAGTTAGTCGCACCTAGGCTGTTGTCGGTTCCTAAAAGTATGATGTTTTCTAGAGTATCCTATCCCCACTTTTTTGTAAGACTTACCTAATTTGGACGGTGTTAGGCAATACCGGCTCCCGAGTTCCCAGAGGGAACAGATATCAAGTAAAATGCTTGATAACAATATATCTAGAATATCCTTGGATCGATTTCTTTAGACTTACCAAAAGACTCATTTTGCAAAAGGAAGTCCACCAAAGAATTGCGTTAAGAAATTATCAAGAAACATCAGCTGGTAACCCACAATCAAACGACATAAACACATCTACAATTCTCTCATACGACCAAACTCTCAAGTCCTACATAGTCAACATTGATGCTTGCTACCATCCAACTGATCACCCAGAAAACCACCTCCCACACAGCGGACTCAATAAAATACCACTTCTATCACACAATCATAATCCCCACTACGAAAAAAACCTACAAACACCACACTCGCACCATTCCAAAATCCCAAAATTTCAAGTTTCCACCCTTCCCCTCCTTTCCTCCCACGCAGGATACCCAGCCGTAGGCGTAACCGAGAACTTCTGTAACCAGTCAAGACCAGGCACTCAAAACACTATAATGGCTAGCGCACTCCCCGTATCAGAAGTGCAGGACTCAAATATGCCCTGGCCTCAAAGCGTTGCAGATGCAGAGGAAATCTTGCAGAAATTTGCACCTATTTCAAGGGATCCAGGTAACGGTATACGGTTGCTAAGTCCTAAGGATCTTGATACATCAAGAGGCATTCTCAGACCTGCTGTTTCTCTATCAGATGTACCAGATATAAAAATTAATAAGAAAAAGACCCGTCAAATAGAGAGGAATAAAGACGAGATCTTGTGGGTCTTCTATAATGCCTATCGCGCGCGCTCAAATGTATACAAGAGCGAACTAGAAAATATGTTGAAGTTGGTGGACTTGACCGGTATCCAAGTGACAGTTATTATTGAAATATCTTTTGTGAATGGAGCGGTGTTGACACTTTCTGGTAGGTCTTCATTTAATGGCTAAACGTAGTATGTGGAAAGAACCGAGCTGGGAGAAGGGTGTTAGCCTTGGGCATCATAAATCACAGAGACTGAGTAGGGATCAATATAATAGTTTTGTCGCCGCGACTGGTCGCCACCACATAATAGAAGAGGGCGTTGTGGTGAGTCCATCCACGCTATTAATTTCAAGAGCTGTACTTAGGTTCTCAAAGGAATGGCTTGCTTTTCAAGAAGCTTATCGTACCGAGAATAGCTGGGACGTAATCGAGCATTACTGGGGTGGCTTTTCTGGCATAGATGTTAGTCTAGTGGAAGGAGAGATCAAAATTATGAGGCAACCAAATTCGTCAGAGAGTCGAACCTGATTTCGATTTTGGGAGACCTGTAGTCTGTGAGAACATGCTCAGAAGAAGGAATGGAATAGACTTGTTTGTAAAATACCATGAGCTTGTCTTGAGTGGAAAGCAGAACATTTGTAGCATGTCAAGGAGATTTCTCCAAGATACTGACTCCTCTCAAATGACCAGGACTTTATAGTCTACAAAAAGACATTGAATAGAAGAAGCTTTAGAGTCGTCTGTAAAGACTAAATCTAGCTTCCATTCTTCTATGGATTTGGAATAACAATCGTACTTTCAAAGAAATGCAAGAGAGCTGGAGTATGGTTGTATACACCTACTCATCTGACATGTCACTTTTGTTGACTCGATGTTACTCTTAGATACAACAATAGACTTTCTTCCAGAGCCTTGCCCACAACGTCACAGATGAGGAAGAAGCTAGAGCAACTAAAACTCAGATTTGGTGACACGGACTTCAAGAACTTGTAAATAAGAAACAGACAAATAATACGTAAAAACAATAAGAAACTGTAGGGAAAACGAAAAAAAGACAGGTAAGAAACATCCGATCCATAGCACCGATCGATCGAACGAGGTGAAAGTTCTTTATCTCCACGAGACTGCTGAGGAAGATTGGCCGAATATGCACGCAGAGTTATTTATATAAAACGAATTTGACCAAAGAAAGGCATGATAAGCGCGGAAAAGATCTGCAGAACATCATATCTTGGGTCAAAATCCGATTGCGTGGGAAGAAGAGGACCGAAAGAGTGAGAAGCGACGAAGAAAGATGGACTCATTTAATAAGGTATGAAAGGCAATGCATCGGGGAGACCGAACTCCTAAGCTTAATTGCCCAGTAAGGGCCTCGTAATTGAAAACCCCACCATATATATGACGCAACTCCCAAGAACCTGGGGAAATAAGAAGCAGAAAGGATGCAGAAGAAGAAGAAAGAGGCGAGAATATTTCCCGGATAGACTGTTATCAGTCCCCAAGACGGAGTGAGCGAACACACCAGCCACTCTGCAATTCAGCCGCACGAATTTGATCCAGATTTAAGCTTGTCTTCCCATATTTCTCCATCAGGGAATTGGTTTCCCACATTGGTGGGGTTTGTTTATGCTGTTGTGGCACTGAGTCCTTCGTTTCATGCGATCGTTTTTTTTTGTGGGAGGTATGGGGGTAGGAGCTGTGAGAGGATCCATTGTTTCACTTCTTATCGCTCAGGATGCCCCATTTAAGATGAGTGATATGGTTGTTCTGGCTCTGTATGTCTGTTTTGATTATCTTTGACTACTCCCATTTTGAAGTTTTGAGATGGGACCTTGAAATTAAGGTCGTATCGAGAGGCATATGATTCGGTATGATGGATTTTTTAATGTTGGTGGCTGAGGCGAAGGTTGGTTTGGTGATATAAATACCTATATAATACAGAGGGTGGGCAGTGTCACACCATGTACGAAGATCATATGTAGAAAAGTATATATTTACAGAACGCGAGTCTCTCGTTCGCTGATTTCGCTGAACATCGGGGCGAAGCCGTATTGTGAACTAGCAGGGGTGACTCTTAGCTGTTAACCCTCTTATGAATAAAATGTAAGCGAAGATGGTTAGCTGGTGAACGATGTACAAGTGAAGTATTCGAATATGCCCAGATGAATTGTGAGAGTCGTGGTTCTGTATTACCGTTCCTGCAGAAGGGACCAAAGGATTTCGAGATTGGTTGTGGTAATATCTCGGCCAACTGTTTTTAGATATCTCGTTTTGAGATATGTATGGATTCCAGGCCACACACTTGTATTTGCTTGGTACGACAGTCAAGGTGATGGCCTGGGCTAGGGCTGACAAGAAGGTGTCTTGCCAGATATAGAAATACCTGCAGGATCATAAAATACAATGCAGCAGATCAGGCTGAGTTGAAATTCATGGGCTTGCTTCGGGCCTTGAGATTCCCACGTGGAAAAAAGGGATCACAGCCAATCAAACCTTTTGTAGGCCCGAAGCTGCGGTTGCGGTAAGACAGTGGACTAGGGGGTTGCAAGTCGTTTGAACTTTTTTCAGGTCACTCGCACGTGTGCAAGATGCAACGGCAAGTTACTGAATGATTCAGTAGAAATTGCTGTCTCCTTATTTTTTTCTGCAATATTGCCGGGTAAGAATGTTGAGCTGACTTGGGATTGGAACTGCTTCGTATCCCACTCTCCGGCAGGCGGAGGGCATCCAGCCACAGGTCATTCTCAAACACTGGTCTCTTCTTCGCCTCCTCATTTTTCCTTGGGGATCTACTTCGGTACTTGGTCAACCCTGAGAAGCTCATCTCCCCGTACGCATGGCTATCTTCGTCATTCTTGCTCCTTCATTGCGAATCGTGTTCACACGGATCATCTGAATCAAAGGCATTCAGGAACATCAATGTTGATCAGGATCAGATGCAGGCGCACAGAAGGCCAGCCTCTCGCTTCTGGTGCTTCATATTGCTTTTGATACAGGGCGCACTGCTCAGCGGCTACCCAAGTGCTCCACTGCTCAAGGATGTCTTGCGGGGCAGGTAGCAAGTTGCCAGGTCATGGTTACTTTGCGCTGGCCGGTGGAGGGAAAAATTAAGCGCAGCACGCGGCACCGTCATTTTCCCACGAGGCCTCCACGACCGTCCCTAACCGTGTCACCTGTGAGAACCACGCCGTGATGCCGTGACGCACCCATGGATGAGGGATAAAGCGTCATCCGACTCCCGAGTCGCTGCAGAGGAGAGGCTTCCTACCGTACGACGCCTCTGTAACGGAGAGATACGGCTGGATCCAGTGGATTGGAGGATTGGAGGGGGTTGATGGTGGTTGTGGACCCAACTCGTTCTGCTACCGGGACTGTGCGAAAGTTGGTGAAGCCGGAAAAAGTTGTGATGCAAAATTGCGACCTCCGGTTTGGTTTTAGGCGATCTAAGAGCCGTTTCAACGTCGCCCGTCGTGTCGCCGTTCCTAGGACTACGAGACGGACAAAGGAGTAGGACCATCACCGGCTTCGTACCAACCTAACGGTGTTGGTCACAGTAGACGTACTCGACGCCCGAGCCTACGCTGGAGATGTCGAAGTGTTGAAAGGGCATGGTGTTGGTGCTAGCGAATCATCCCGAGGTCCGTTGACGAACGAATATTGACCAACTAGCTGTCGGTAAGGAGATCTTTCGCTTCGACGTCGTCAGCAAGCCCGGATGGTGTAGTCGGTAGTGTATGTAGTCATCGAAGAAGAAGACGTGTAGCAGGTCTTTCGCGATCCTCTCTCCCCGTGGTTTTGCGAAGGGTTTTGACGATTCCCGTGGGAATACTTGTATATGGTCGAGGGAAACCAAGGCGTGTTGTGGCGATAGTCAAGCAAAAAGCGTCGGAAGAGGCGGCGGCGGACCAGAAAAACGTGCCTACAGGGACTCTTTTCACACGCTCATCGCCCAGCGCTGCAGCACCGTATTCTCACAGGGGAAGCTGTCACAGACTATATTCATGGTATACTCGTACATTCATCGTGGACGTTCATGGTATACATTCATCGTGCACATTCATCGTGCACCTCCATCGTATACTTCGTACATTGGGAGACAGCAGTACGGAGTAAAGCAATCGCCGTAGATCAGTCGTAACGCACAGTCAAAAAAACTCGCCTGTTTCCTATCACATTTCCTAGCTCGTAGGCCCACACGCCGGCGCTAGCATTACCTAGCATTTGGAGGTGGTCTGGCGGTCCTCTCCGCAAAAACTAAGCAGCGCTGAGACCACCACCAGTGCAAGTGTAGTGGAGTGCCAACCAGCCAACCAGCCAACCAGCCAACCAGCCAACCCAAACCTCATCACTCACTACTACTCGCTCCTTCCAGCCAGCACCGCACCAGCACCAGCACCCGCACCCCGACTGCACCAGCCATCGGCACCTACCTACCTACCTGCCTACCACTGCCCGCACTACACCTGCTGCTGCATTGGATTTGCATTCTCAACAACACCATCAATTTCGACAACCATCACTTGCACCCGACACTCGCCTCGACCTATCTTCCTTCCTGGACATCCTTCACCCCATTGTCATTGTCGCAATTAGTTCGCAGGCACCGACAAATCCACTCACCACCAACACCATCACCACCACCCGAGCTGCTGTGCTCTCCAGTACCACCATCCAACGACATCCTACCCTACCAACCTCGGCCGTGTTCCACCTTTTTCATACTGCGTCCATTTGGGAAGCCAAATCTCGGGTTGGAGATTGCGCATACAGTTCTGTCGCCCTGAAGAAAATCAATCTCATCAAGGGGTATCCCGCGTCGTATCTCTTTGTCGCAGACGAGAACGAAGCTCTATTTCCGCGTTGGTCCTGCAATTCTGCCATTGCATGGCCGCAACACATCCTCAAGAAGCCGACGGGTATCGATTGTAGATTAATTGCGCCAACACTGCCCTCCTTGCCATCGCGACCCGATCCAACGTTGGTCTTGAAAGCGTCTCCGCAATTCTATCCAGCCAAACATCGTTATAATACCCGAGTCGAGGTCGAGGCTGCGTTTGCAGCTAGTGAGCTAGGAAAATGGGAGCCTGCGTCAGTACCAATGCGGAAGACTCCGAGGGGAAGAAGCGAAGTCAGATGATAGACAAGAGCCTGGAGGAGGACTCGAGAAAGCTGCGGCGAGAATGCAAGATTCTGCTTCTGGGTACGTTCTAAACATAGATAGAAGACGCGATGGAAGGCTAATAAGGTGATTAGGCTCCGGTGAGAGTGGGAAATCAACCATTGTTAAACAGATGAAGATCATCCACCAAAGTGGATATTCGGTGGAGGAATTATCCATGTACAGGATGACAATATACAAGAATTTAGTGGATTGCGCCAAAGCATTGATCGGGGCGATGGAACAATTTGACATTATGCCCGTCATACCAATCAACCGCGGATACAGCGATTTTTTGGTTCATTACCAGGTCGTCACGGAACCACCAACATTGAATCCCGAAGTCGGTACGGCGATTCAGTCCCTATGGAAGGACCCGAGCATGGGAGCTTTGATGGAAAGACAGAGCGAGTTTTATCTGATGGACTCGGCACCATAGTATGTCTCGCCAGAGTGCTCTTGTATACAAGTTGATACTAACCAGAAATAGCTTCTTCGAAGAAGCACACAGAATAACCTCGCCGGACTATATCCCAATTGAAGCCGACGTTTTGAGAGCACGTACGAAAACCACGGGTATCTACGAGACAAGGTTCACAATGGGATCACTAAGCATACAGTGAGTACCACAGGGTCGGAAACATACTTCAGGATCTAACGGAGATTTTAGCATGTTTGATGTCGGAGGCCAACGAAGTGAGAGAAAGAAGTGGATCCATTGCTTTGAAAATGTTACATCCATCATTTTCTGTGTAGCATTGAGCGAATACGACCAGGTGTTACTCGAAGAGAGTAACCAAGTAAGTCTTGGACCAAGAGGCTAAGAAACATATATACTGACTTGTGACAAGAACCGAATGATGGAGAGTTTGGTACTATTCGATTCCGTCGTCAACTCCAGATGGTTTATGCGAACGAGCATTATCCTTTTCCTCAACAAAGTCGATTTGTTTCGACAGAAGCTTGGTCGGTCGCCTTTAAGCAATTACTTTCCAGACTATTCCGGTGGCAATGATATCAATCGAGCTTCGAAATACCTTCTGTGGCGGTTTAATCAAGTGAATCGAGCACATCTTAATCTGTACCCTCAGTAAGTAGATTCTATCCAATCTTGATTTGCTTGTTTGCTTATTTAATTAGTCTCACACAAGCCACGGACACATCCAACATCCGGCTGGTATTTGCAGCAGTAAAAGAAACAATTCTACAAAACGCGCTCAAGGATTCTGGAATCCTCTAAGCCTAATGCGCCAATCTTATATAATTTACGACTTTCACAGCTATTTGGGGATTTAGGATATACATTCTCCGGCCTTCATTGGGAAACGGGCGTTTATGGAGCTTGTACCTAGCAAATGGGCGTTCTCGTTGTTGGGTCTTGTGGGGGAAGGCTGTGTGATCAGACTTGGGATGGCTGGCGGGTTTACTCACTTGGGTTTATGTGGAATGATTTACTTGAGACCTGATTTTTTGTGGGAAACAGGATCGGGGCATCACGTTTTTCGAAACGGAATCTTCGAAGACTGATTGCTGTTGCAACGGCTCTAGCATGCATCATCAATCTGATATGATTTGCTCCGGCTGAGCCAGGTTCTCAATGGTTGTACACCAACGCTTTCGCCTTGGACTTCTTGTTCGTACTTGAAACGATGCCTATGATATGGGTCTGGGTCGGGGATGGGACAACGAAGGATTGGGAATGGAAGACTGAGGGGAATGTACGGTGGAAACCACGTCAAACCAGACGATGGACGAGCCGCGATACCGAAGACCCGGAGGAATTATCAATAAACCCAACAGGAAAGGAATGGAAGAGGGAAGGAAGAAAGGGGAAGACATGTTAAAGTGCGCAGATTTTGATTTTTTTTTGGATAAAAAGGGAATGGGAATGGAATTTGGGAATCGGTCTGGTGCTGTCCTGTTTTGCCATATCACACACCTCGGCAAGAGGATGCGAGCTTATCATATTTTTTATTTGTAAAAGGAAGAGAGGGAGAGTGAGAGGGGAAAATCCAAAAGGGGGGGAAGGATGAAGGATCCTTATACAGGTTCATTGTTGAGCGATACCTTTGGTTCAAGGCGATGGAAAAGAATGGGGGAATGAATGAATTGTTAATCCTATGCAGCGGTTTCTTTTTCGCGTGGATACTTGGTCTTTGTGATATTGTGTGGAGATGTTGCCTCTGAGGGTGAATCTGAATGGTGTGGAATTGAGGGGTGAATGGTGCTAGATGAGGTAGGTGGATGAAGCAGGTTGATGTCATTGATGCAGGTAATAAAGTCAAGTGAAGGGAGGTAGTACGAGTTTGACTCGGTTAGCACCCAACGGGCGCTCAGATATCTACCAATGTCGTGGTTGGATGGATATGGAATTGGGGTGCAGACAAGTAACGTCTAACATAGGTGGTGCAGTGGTGTGAAGCGACAGAGGAGGGACGAATGAACAGGTCATTATGCGAAGAGATATCATACCTATACCTCTGAGAAACTTGAAGGTGGAATCGCGTGGCGATTGGATGGTAATCTGTTGTAGGTATCTTATGTGCGTGGAGTACAAGTTTTTGGGGTTATGAATGAAGAATGAGAGAGAAGTGAGGAATTATTTTCTCCCCGAAAAGTTGGTAGAGTTCCGCCACAAGAAGACCATATCTCGAGAAAGAAATGGCATGATTATCTTCATCACTAGCACAGTACGAGTACTCGTACGCTACGTAGTTGGACATTCAACGGTGAGGTGGAGGCCAGGCATGCCAAGCTCTGACAGGGACACCTTACTCAGCTGATCTGCTGGGTCTGGGGTTGGGTCCCCACTTGAGGTATCGGCACAGACGCGGAGACGTGTGGGGAGCTGGGGAGCTTCGCTTCAGTGGCATGAGGTGCAGGTGCAGGTGGTTGACGGGAGTGAGTGACTTGATTCATGTCGAGTCCATTGAAGTGAACATTGTCGGTGAGCCATATGCCAGGTGAGGCAGTGAATAGTGAGTGCATCGGTAGTAGAAGGCTTGGGACAGAGTGAGTATGTCGAAGATTGGGGAGTTGGGTGATCCCGTTGTGCAGTTGTGAGCTGTGAGCTGTGCTGGGGAAAGAGCTTCCAACCAGGTACGGAGTGTTCGGCAAGCATCGTACAGGGCAGCTCTTGCATTTCTGGGGATGAGGATGAGGATGAGGATGGGTCATTGGGAGGCACTTGCAGAGGAGTGGATAGAGTGGATAGCTACTGCTGCTCAGAAGCTCTGGATACTCGTACTGCTAGATGACACCACCTTCCCTGGCATGGTCTGGGTCCTTGGTCCCTACCTGGTAAGTAGGTAACATACGTGAGGATGAACCTCCGAGCCATTGCCTTATTGCCTCCTGTCTACGAGTATTCGCCCATCTCTTCTCTTCTCAATATTCACCAACAATTTCGTGCCTCATCCCCCAACACCTACCAACATAAATATACTCCTCCCATACACACACGGTACACTTTCACTAACACCACTCAACCAACTGTTGTTTTGCTGCTGGCCAGACTTTCTCAGCTTGCCACTCGGAGCCTACGAGTACAAGATCAGCACAAAGCAACCCCGCACTCGCAACAGCATCCTCCCGTCTCCACCGCCATCATCCAGGTAGCTACCCCTCCCCCTCCCCTCCAGTAAAGTTCACTACTGCAGTCTACAGATAGCTTCTCCCATCATGTCTACACTAGTTGCTAATCTCTCCGCGTAGATCCACAGACTCCCTACAAATCTTATAATACACATTGCTTTTTCACAAAAGAGATAAAAGGTACTTCACTGCCAATAAATCGAAATGTCCAACACAACTGTCCCTCGCGAGCGTCGTCCTTCGACCGGTGCTCCCATTTCTGATCTGCAAGGTCCCGTCGGTCCTGGGTTCTCGAGACCAAAGCACAAGCGTACCTTTACGGGATTCGGAGCCGGTGAAATCAAGAGCGTTGAAGGTATGTTACACCTCTTATAAATTTCCTATTCTTTCTCCGTCTTGTTTCAATTTGGTGGAATATCTCGACTACTGCATGTGAATGGCGTTCACTTGTGCTGATCATTACTTTACTCGATAGCTTCCATCCCTGAACCCCAACGTGAAGCTTGGAAAAAGTTCCAGGCCAAAGGCTTTACCAACAAGGAGGAATTTGAGAGAGAGGTCGTTCGCCATGTCGAGACCACGTTGGCTCGTTCCATGTTCAACTGTGATGAGACCGCTGCCTATGCGGCTGCCAGTTTGGCCTTGAGAGACCGCTTGATCACTCAATGGAATCGAACTCAACAGCGCCAGACCTTTGCCGATGGGAAGCGAGTTTACTACCTGAGTCTAGAGTTTTTGATGGGCAGAGCTCTGGACAATGCGATGTTGAATATTGGGGCCAAGGATATTGCAAAGGGTATGTTCTCTGCTCTTTGAACCTTCGAAAAGATATCATCCTGATTATTTTACAGATGGTCTTGCGGATTTGGGTTTCCGTATCGAGGACATTATTTCTCAAGAGCATGATGCTGCACTTGGAAATGGTGGTCTTGGTAGACTTGCCGCTTGTTTCCTCGACTCAATGGCCTCATTGAACATTCCTGCTTGGGGTTACGGATTGAGATACCGATATGGTATTTTCAAGCAGGAGATTGTTGATGGTTACCAAGTTGAGGTTCCAGATTATTGGCTTGATTTTAACCCCTGGGAGTTCCCAAGGCACGACATTGTGGTAGATGTAAGCTTCTGATCCACAAGCTTCATGCACTGAGTTAACGGTTGACAGATTCAATTCTATGGAAATGTTCGAAAATACCAAAACGAACAAGGAAAGAACGTCATTACCTGGGATGGCGGCGAGGTTGTTCAGGCAGTTGCATATGATGTCCCAATTCCAGGATATGATACAGTCTCGACAAACAACATGAGACTGTGGTCCAGCAAGGCTGCAAGTGGCGAGTTCGATTTCCAAAAGTTTAACAGCGGTGACTACGAGAGTTCAGTGGCTGATCAACAACGTGCTGAGACCATCAGTGCTGTGCTATACCCAAATGATAACCTCGACCGTGGCAAGGAGCTTCGCTTGAAGCAGCAATATTTCTGGGTTGCAGCATCACTATATGACATCGTTAGACGATTCAAGAAGTCAAAGCGAGCTTGGGTTGAATTTTCTGATCAAGTTGCCATTCAACTTAATGATACCCATCCAACTCTGGCTATTGTTGAGCTTCAACGCATCCTTATTGATCTGGAAGGTCTTGAATGGGATGAAGCATGGAGTATTGTCACCAAGACTGTGAGTACAATTTTCCTTCAATAACTTAGATAATGAAATGCTAATTAAGATCAGTTCGGTTACACAAATCACACAGTCCTTCCAGAAGCCCTCGAAAAGTGGTCTGTTCCACTTTTCCAAAATCTTCTTCCCAGACACCTGCAGATCATATATGATATCAACTTGTACTTCTTGCAAACGGTAGAGCGCAAGTTCCCCAAGGAGAGAGAGTTGTTAGGTCGTGTCTCAATCATCGAAGAATCTCAACCAAAAATGATTCGCATGGCATACCTAGCCATTGTTGGTTCCCACAAGGTCAATGGTGTTGCGGAGCTTCACTCAGATTTGATCAAGACTACAATCTTCAAGGATTTTGTCAGGATCTTTGGTCCTGACAATTTCACAAATGTCACTAACGGAATCACCCCACGACGTTGGCTACACCAAGCCAACCCCAGACTATCCGAGTTAATTGCATCCAAGACTGGTGGTTTGGACTTTTTGAAGGACTTGAATATCCTCAATGAACTTGAGAAGTTTGTCGATGACAAGGAATTCAAGAAAGAGTGGGCTGAAATCAAGTATGCCAACAAGGTCCGACTTGCCAAGCACATCAAGACAACTACGGGGGTCACTGTCAACCCATCTGCTCTCTTCGACATCCAAGTCAAGCGTATACACGAATATAAGCGTCAACAAATGAACATCTTTGGAGTTATCCACCGATACTTGACCATCAAGGCAATGACCCCCGAGGAACGAAAGAAGCTCGCACCAAGAGTTTCCATCTTTGGTGGTAAGGCAGCTCCTGGATATTGGATGGCCAAGACCATTATTCATCTCATCAATCAAGTCGGGTCCGTTGTCAACAATGATAAGGACGTTGGCGATCTTCTCAAAGTCATCTTCTTGGAGGATTACAACGTTTCCAAGGCTGAAATCATCGTTCCCGCAAGCGACATCAGTGAGCACATTTCAACAGCTGGTACTGAGGCTAGTGGTACTTCGAACATGAAGTTTGTCCTGAATGGAGGTTTGATCATCGGCACATGTGATGGTGCTAATGTAAGTCGCTATCTGTAAGATGATTTCTAGAGTTTTGCTAACCAAAACTCCAGATTGAGATCACTCGTGAAATTGGAGAGAATAACATATTCCTGTTCGGCAACCTGGCGGAAGATGTCGAAGACCTTCGACATGCACACACCTATGGTGCTCACAATCTCGATCCAGATCTCGCCAAGGTCTTCGATGCCATCAAGGCGAACACATTTGGTGATGCAGGTTCTTTTGGAGCCTTGGTTAGTGCCATCGAAGACCACGGTGATTACTACCTTGTTTCCGATGATTTCCACAGCTATATCCAAACTCAAGCCTTGGTGGATGAAGCCTACAAGGATCAAGATGAATGGGTCAGCAAGACCATCTTGAGTGTTTCTCGTATGGGATTCTTCAGCAGTGATCGTTGTATTAATGAGTATGCTGAGACTATTTGGAATGTTGAACCTTTAGTCCCAGAACCCCAGGAGAGAAACGGGCTGCAGAAGGGTGAGTTGTGAGCTGAGGGTATTGTGAGAGTTGACGAGAGCGAGAGAATGGATGGGATGCATGCATGCGAATGGCTTCCATTGGAGAAATTGCAGTGTGGTTTTCCATCCAGAGTGTATGTTAGATTGATGAGGACATGAGTACACGAACTTTGCAAATTGAGGTATCTTTTATGAATTGTCTCTCTGTCTTTGCATGACGTGAAGTGAGAATTTTATATTATCCTTCCTTCATAAGGGATTGGTTTACCAGTTGTTAAGAAAGAAGGTAACTCATGAGTCATCTTGCTATACATGTAGGCTGTCACTTGGGTAAGTGAGTGAGGACAAAAGAAACATTAGGCATGGCTTGAAGAAATCCTCATAAGATTTGATTCTTCGAGAAGTGTGAAACAAAAAAGCTAGGCATGAAAAGTTTGATTTAATGTTCATGTTTATTTTTAAAAAAGTTCTTTTTATAGGTTATTTCGGTCTAGTTAAAGTACTTGTTTAAGATAGGTTGAGTAATGAAATTAAATGAGATGAGAAGAAGCGAAGATAGGGTAGGTAGGTAAGATAGGAGACGTCGAGTTTGGGGGGGAGGTGGTGGTGGGAAGGGGAAGGGGAGTTTGTAAGTAGATATTGTGATATTTAGATATACAATCCCTTCGAAGTTCACAAAAGTAGGTACTATAGCAAGAATCAAGATGTTTCGCGTACTGTACACCCAGAACGTGTGGAAAAAAAAGGGAGTTCATAACTTCATATATAAAATACCCTGTAATATACTACTAAGCTGCCTTCCCCCCCCCTCTCTTGTTTCTTGCTACTTTTACTTTTGCAAAGGGGCCAGCTGGACTTGTATATAGAATAGATTAGTAGAAGGGTAGATTAGTGGGAGGGTTTTTTCGGTTATATGTATAGGTAGGTAGGTAGCTTGCCAAAGAAAAGTGACCTTGTAATATACCAGTAGATACGCTGGATTCTTGTTGTTGTACTTTTGGAAGGGATGGGATCGTGGGTTGGTACAAGTACCAGTACCAGCCATAGGAAAAGCAAAAAGGTAAGAACGATGGATGGTTTGGAAAAATCTTCATTCTCATTTCCCCATTTCGCTTCTTCGCGCAGCTACGACGGAAGAAAGGACTCAAAAGTACATGACTTTCCCGATCCTCCATTAGGTTCGAGTAAAGACAACTTATCTCATCTTTCCCATAGTCCCCTTCCATTATATTACATTCCATCCCACCCCCAGGACCAAATCCTATTCATCGACCAATAGATAAAAGAAAAGAGCAGAGACCTCCCCGAAATTTTTCGGCCATTACCCGATTTGATTACCCCCATTTTTCCTTATCTATCCATGTCCCGGGGCAAAAAGATTGATGTAGAAACGTGTGGACACGTTAAAGGCGGTAACGCGAGTGGGCCGTGGACTTGTTGTCCTTGTGAAAAAATTTGGCGTTGTGGTGTATTATTAAGTTGAGCATTATTATATGTGCTGTTGTAAGAACCCCCGTGGTCCGGTTACACCGTCGAAAGCCTATGATTGAAGGCGAAACTTTTGGAGGGAAGAGGAAAAAAGAGAAGAAAAAAGACTCGAAATGAGAAATGCTGCAATGTAACGTGATGCATCTGATGGTGGTTGTAGTACATTAGGTTGATGCCCAAAAGTTTCCGGATTTGGCTAGGCTGCAACAGAACAATAGTGCCCGTAGATAGTGGGCCCTTGGGCATTCAACTAGAGAAAAGAAAACTTCGTTATTGGTGGTATCATCGAGAAAGAAAAAGCAAGATAGAAGAGCTGGAATCTTCACTAGAGCTGTATCACCAAGCCGCTAGTTTTTGAGAGTGGAGTAGCAACGATGGATGCATGTCAGAAAAAGCAGTATCAAAGTGCTGAAGATCCAGGAAGAACAATGGACCATAACCTGGTTGGGCACGGTCTTAAGTAGTGGATTGCGGGGTAGAAGCTTCACTGTCTCCAACAATATCTGAGACACGCATTTTCTTCGCACGTGGTGCTTCATCACGCTGTTCACCCAATTGCTCCTCGAGAGTATCTAGACGGTGCTTCAACTGGTTCTCACGACGTTGCGATTCCTCGAGCCGTTGTAGCAATGCAACCTCCGACTCTCTGCGCATATCCTCCCCACGTCTGGCATTGGCTTCATCCTGTTCCAACTGTGTGACTCTTCCACGAAATAGCTCATTGATGAGCTCGAGTTCGCTAACACGCGTCTTGAGCGCCGTATTGTTGGCGATAAGCTGCTCATAGGTTTGAGGTACTTCGAGACCCGAGGCTCCATTTAATGGCGAGGTAGATCGTCCCGGGGAGGGTTGTCGAAGATGTAACGCAGGTAATGAGGGGGATTGGTGATGAAAGTGATCCTCCATTCCATGGCCATTGAATGGCTGCATATGGTTTGTGAACATCGAAGGTGTTTGCGATCGCGATATAGGAGAGTTGGAGCCGTCGGAATGACCGTTCGCAGACTTCTGTGAGGTACGACGATGTGGTTGTCCTAAGGATCCAGGTGGGGGTGTTCCTGCTTGCGATCGCGATTGCATAAACGACTGGTCGCCATTGACATCAAGGACACTCTGCGGCGCAATTAGCACAAAGCAACGACCAGCTGGCAGACCAAAAACACACCTTCTTCTTCATGCCTTGCGTCATGCCCGAGCCTGAGCTCTTGACGCGATTCCGACTCTTGATAACATCTGTCTTCAGGCTTATCGGTCGAGGCCGACCATGCAGCTTCAGGAAGAGTCCGCAGGCATTGCACAGCACCGAGCCGATCTCATCACGTCGCCAAAGCGGCGTCGTTGAGGTGGTACAGTTCTGGCAGGTGGGCTGTTGGGTTTCGTGGTTGTTAGCTATCGTCGCCATTTCCACTTGATAGGAGTTTGGGGTTGGGTGTTTCTTGTCTGAATTCTATCTGTGCGATAGCGATAAGAACTGGACGGAGTCGCAGGAGGAAAAAATTGAATCGGCTCTAGCGTGGCCGAAGTGGGTCACCTGAGTGGCAGTGGCAGTGGCAGTGGCTCGAGTGCAGGCGGCACCTCCTATCTGCTCCGGAAAGGCGATAGCGCTGGTAGGGTAGCCCAAGTCCAAGCCACTAGACCAGAACAACAAAAGATGGGATGGGCAGGTACGTATGCCAATTTCGCTGTTGGTGGCAATCAATGCTGTGTGGACTTGCCTGGGATAATGCAAAGTATTGTTGGAGGTTTCGAGCATCGGAAAATGAGAGACGATATTTTCGTCTCCCGTACCAAGTACACCTTCGCAAGGAATATTTTGTATCATCCCAGGATACTCTGGGTTGCAAGGGAGAGATGGACTCGAGAGATGAGAGTACGGATGCAGGGACCGAGTAGCTTATCTCACAGCCATCTCGCTAGTGAATAGACAGAAGAGAATAAGAACATTGCAACTTACAGGTGAATTGCTTTGGCCTCCTCCCGATGTTGCTGAGGGCGATGAGGTCGGGAATCCCATATTGACACTAGGTCCTACATTGAACCCCCTGCGAGACAATTAGCATCCACCTCTCTTCATTTATGTCATCTTGAACACTATCCCCCTTCTGCAAGGATTATCGCCAACCGAGAGTGATGAGCGTATGTCTATCAATTGACCAAAAGGACTTGGACATCCAGTCAATTATCCCAAACCCCTAGAACAACCATGGTTTGCATAACTTGATTTTTCTGAGCGTATTGGAACAACGACGGAAGGAAGTGAATCTTTCGACAGCCCCTTCCTCTCTCATGAGCATTCACCTCTTCCTTCTCGGTAAGAACTGTAAACAACCCCCCTGATGACCACAAACCACAACCATAACCGATAATCGCAATCGCCACCCAAATATGTAAACATGAAAAACGTACCTCAATTGTGGTGGAAGGGACGATGAAGCCATGGAAGCAAGTGCCGAGAGTCCAGGGAGTTGTGGCAGCGAGGCACTATGATGAATGCTGGAATTCTGCGTCGAAGTCGAGGAAGGACGAGAGATGGGATCCATTGGGGGTAGCGACTGCCTTCCATCGTCCGAGTGTGTCCTTTTCAGGGAAGGAAGCTCTCGCTGGTCTCTCGAAGACGGTCGAAGGTGGTCGATGGCCATGGGCGAAGCCCGATAGGGAGCGAGTGTGGAAGCCGTGGTTGCGGTTGGAGGGGGTATTAATTAAATTCGCGTTCGGAGGAAACGCGAAGAGATGTTGGAGACTTTGGAATGTCTGGTATTATATATCGTGTCGTCGAAGCTATATCGAGAAAAGAAAAATCGTTTCTATTACGCAGTATGAAGTCGTAGAAAACCGGGAGAGCTATTTGAGTAGAGCTGGTGGTGAGGAGGTCGGGGACAGGACGAATTATCGAAAATTTAGTCGAAGAGGAAAAGAAGCAAAGACTTTTTGACGCGCTCAAACGAGTGACTCGATGGACCTGAAGCAAGTGATCTGGATACAAGAATACGGAGCAGCGAATGTGCTGGTTAGATGGTCATGGAAGTGGAAGAAGTTCATGTAAGTATAGGTAATGGAAGTTTTGGAAGAGAGAAAAGGAATTGCTGTGTTCTCGTGTGGCATGGGCATGGATGGGGCTGCCCCTTATCGTGTGCAGACATGGTGCGCAGATCTATTTAAAAAGCCCGCCAATTTGACGCAGGGCTACGAGGGAGCGCGATTCTCGCTTTTGGAAGAATTCAAGTGATTGAGCCAAGTTATCTGATTCGTATCCTGAGGGAATGATCATAATTCTTTGCCATGTCCTCGAAGCTCGCTAGAGCTATTTGTTGATTCTACAGAAATGGCTTCAACTCTTACCTTGGAGCTTGGGAGGTACAGATCATACGGTATGCCGCTTTTATCATCCATCGCGAGAGCAAGACAAGAAAAGTACACAGTTTATAACTACTCGCCTCGACTGGAATGGGCGAGGGCAAGAATGCTGCAGAGATGAGTGCAATAAAACAAAGACGGTGCCTTCGTATGTTTCCAATGCAGGTCTGGCGGTAGAATAGCTACACCAGCGCTTCCTTCAGAAACGTGACACGATGAGATTCGAATCCCGCATCCAACGACCGGGGCACTTTCCGTAACCTCAGCCCTCTTCTCACGAGAGCAGACCAGATCAACGGCCAGAGGGCTGACCGCAAACTACTTCGGTACTTCAGCTCTTCCTTCCTGTCGCCTCGTCCTGAAATGAGATGTAAGAAACGAAACCGGACAAACGCTTCCTCATCATCCAACCAACGTACGGTCATTCATTACTTCGAAGTACTCAGTATGTTTCCTTCATAAAAATCTCGGCCCCGGTTCCTGAGATAGCGGCGGATAGCGATCCGCCCCAGGGATGGAAAATCTGGGCTGAAGCAATCTGTGGAATCTGTGGACTGTGGATCAATCGGCAATCCGCGATTATGATAAACGATTGACCAATTATCGAGGGGGTTGATAGCGTGACGAGCCACCCTGCGAACCCAACGCGTTTATGGCCCCAATTGCTGTCGGCGGATGATTTGCCCCTGAGATGCAGATGGAAATTGTTAAATTATCATGAGTGGAGCAACCTTCCCATTAATGCGCAAGAACAAGATTTCCAGAAAGTTCTCTGTCCATCTTTCCTCGGGCTCTGATGATTTGGAGAAGATCCCATCTGATTTTGGGTTGCAATTAAAGTTGTTGCTCAGTCATCCGGACGGGATGAACCCATTCATGGAATAATGGATGTGAATAAAACCACGTGTACCTTCCGCAACGACGCAATCTGATAACCCGACGGGATGATCATTGAAATTATCAATCAAATTTAAACAATAAACGTCGCTTGGAACTCTTGACCAGGCCTCTCCGTCTGCCCCGGAAGTTAGATTATCACAACGCTAAATCTCCGCAATCGAGTCACGTGTGTCTGGCGGGGAAAAGGGGGGTGCCAAATAAACTTGGCTATCAAATGTAATAGATATTTAAATCTAACAGTAGTCTAACGAAAAGTGAAAGTAGATAGCTCACATTATGTACTGAAGCTCATTTGAATAGAGTTGACTGGTTGTATGCAGACGCATCTCTATTCACCGCTCTAGATTGTTCAAGGTTTTTAGGGGAATATTATTAAATAATAAGAGTACGGCGTAAAAGTTTTTCGGTACTGTGTGAACGAGATGTTCTGAAATTATATAATAGATGCCTAGAGAAAAACTATAATAGACTAAGCTTTTTATGTTCATTTAGAGTACGACTACTGTTTTACACTTTTGAAGTATCTTTTCATTATTATATGAATACTATATAGAATATGTAAGTTTAACTTTCTAAGATACATCATGGTTATTCTAGTAGTCTCGTAATAGAACAAGGATTCGAAAATCTTAACATGAAAACTTTAGATAGACTACTTGAATTTACTTATAAAAGAGTTATCTACTACTACTACCTTGAACTCAAAAATCGAAACGTCGAGGAGATAGGATTATCTGATAAGGAACATTGTTACTTGGTAATAAAATGGTATTCTTATATATACCTGCTAACTAAGAGGACAAGTGTAATAATCAGTTACCGAAAATTAAATTGAGAACAGCAGAAATTATGGACTTCTCTTTGAACCCCTCGATGTTTCTGCGTTGAATCGTTGAAATATTCGTCTACCCAAAAGTGGTCGGAAATTCCATATCCTTTAACTCGAATGTGATACATACAATACCATTCATTTCAATAGTCGAGTGTCTTTCGTCTATATAACATCCAAGCTTATCAAATCCAAATATACAACTTGACAGTTTCCGCCCCGCAAAACCCTCGTTTCCTTCCTGAACTCCGACCGTCCAGCAAGTCCTGCTCTATTAGAATGAGACCCAATTCCAGATTATATACCCAGTCACACTAACCACCCAAAACTCCAGATACTGTATTCAAAACTTCAAAATCCCGCCTTTCCAATTGCTCTCATCTAAGCCCCTCATTTCGCGACAAAATCCTAGAGAAGCTGACTGGGTCTATGCGTGACATGTTCAACAGTCCTCGTGACCAATATTCCTCGTCCAGGCCCTTCCGAATTCGATAGAAGTGTCGATTCCCCCGTCGAGAATGTAGATTTCGTTGCCACATGTTTACCACTGCCCTTGGTCAATTTCACCGCCTCTTCAAAGCCGAAGGAATTGTCTCCCGTGGAGGAACCCAGGTGGTAAGGACGGGGGGTTGTGAGTGCGGATCGGGAGGGTAAGAAGTTTGTGCCGCCGAAGAATTTGGGGAGGTAGGTGGAGAAGAAGGGGTTGGTTGCTGGTATTGAGGCGCAGATCTGTTTTAATGATTATTAGATTCTTGCTTGCTGTTTATTTGGGGGGCGGAAGAAGGGGGAGAAAAGAACTTACAATTCCGATATACAGTTCTAAAGATGCCGTTACCCAGATTGGGTAACTTGCCCATATTTTATCCCAGGTCTGACTTATTTGGTAGGTGTAGTATGTTCTGGCGATGCCCGCGAAACAGGAAATAAAACCGAATGCAAAGAGAAGAACTATTGGAATCCTTTGTTTGATTGGCAGCGAAACTGACATGACTGTTTTGATAGGGAGGAGAACGACAATGAAGTCTGTGAGAGTGTTGATTATTCCGGCGGCAAGAAGCGAGGCTGTGTCGTCAATGCAATTTGGGTCCTTCTCAATTGTGACTTTCCAATAGTTCTGAGGCGGTCTGAAAAGAAACCTGTTAGTGACTTACTTTATATTATGGAGGGCAAGGAAGACCAGGGCATATGATTTGAAAAATGAACTGCAAAACTAACCTGCATTGGAATATCACGGTGAAGCAAAATATTGTGCCCTGTGTAGCGACAATTGCGATCGCCAATAATGTGATTCTCCTCCAAAGCGAAGAAGCCGACTTCAGCATTCGACGTACTAGCATCAACATTGATAGCTTTGTGAGTGTACATGCCAATCCAAAAATAAGCTCCGTCACGAGGACCATTTTCAACCCATTGGGAATTTTACTGGCTGGAATATCGTACTACGCAATGTTTAGCATAACTCCCGGTTATATTTGCCGTACCAACTCACCGAATGTAACGTCCAATATAACTTTGTATCCGCGACTATACTTATTACAAAGAAAGCGGTTGTAGGAATCTTCCACCAGTAAGCATTGATCTATAAGTAGCTGAGGGGTTGAAAACAAGACGTACCATCGCTAAAAGAATGAAAATATCATCTGCCCCAAATATCTTCCTGAGATATGTTCTTGTAAAGATTCGAATACTCATGAAACAAAAAAGGATTGAATACAGCACGATATTTAGAATGAGCTTCGCATTGCCTCTTGTTTCAGGATTCACAGTATTCGGCTTCGGCCATGACTGTAGCACTGAAGCTGGGGGAATCTGCATCGTTTCGGCGGTGTCACCAACACCATGGGGAAAGAACGAAAAAAGAACTAGCAAGTATGACAAGATCTTCGCGAGGGAAGCATGATGAGTATATGAAGGAAGAAGAAAATGCGAGCAAAGGCAAACAGGGCAGCCTGTGCGCTCCTAATCTAGAACCACCAGTTCCATAAGATAAATGAGCGGGGGATGATCCCACCAAGAACTCGGACCAGTAGTTGGAGCTACACCATAACGCACTGTAACGCAACGCCCAACACATGCCTGCCGGTTAAAGTGTGGACAGGCGCAGAACCTTAACACAAACATATTAATGATCGCACAGGATCCATGCATCCAGACAAGCACATCAAACTAGGGGCCATCATTGGGTGGCGGAATCTGCGGACTCTAGAGGGGAGCGCCGCGGGGAGTCTTGTCTAACAGAGGAGTTTTGCCTCCGGCTTTTATCGTTGTAAACAGGGCTTACTAATGTGCAATAACTAATTAAGGATTGTAGAGAGGGTTTGTTTGTGGAATTATAGTAATGAATTAGTATGGAATAAGTTATAGAATTCTCAAATGTACAACCCCAACTATGGTACCGCATAAATCTACTGCCAAGTGTGAGTGGGTATGCGGGAAGTCTGAATAGCCTCATATGTTGCCTAGAACCAAACTCAATTGAGCACTGAATTGTGGAGAACCTCGTGGTCTAAGCTTTGTTAGTACTACCGTGGTAAATCGTCCTTAAGGAAAATAGGTGGATGTAGTAGGGGGGGGCTTATAGGCTCATTCCGTACGCTCCGAGCTACTTAGAGTACCTATAGATATAGGTTATTAAACGTTTTAAAAGTACTAACTTTAATACTAACCTATACCTAAAATATAGCGATTAGCTATAAAAAGCGAAGTAAATAATAAATAGTAAATAATAGAATTCTAACCTTTTTCTAGTATTATCCCTCGACCCGTAGCCGTAGTTTAACTATATAATACCTACTTTCCTATATATACTTTTTAAGGCTTAATGTATCAAATCTACTACTATCTATACCTTTCTACGCCTTTAGGTCTCTATTAGATAGTAATATACGTATAATACTATATATAAAGTATTAAATAATAATACTACTAAAATATTATCCGTAAAGTATAAGAGAGATAAGAACTTAGTATTAGTTTATAGATAGTAGAATAACTTATTTATCCTAGAAAGGAGTATAAAACACTTATTAAGTACTAGTAAGAAGGTTAGTACGCTTATTCCGCTATATCCCCTTAGCTATAGCTAGGAACTCCGTAGCCTATACGTAGTACTAAGAGTACTAAGCGATCTAATAGAACCTTATGTTTTTACCAGTTTTAGCTATATTTAGTAAAAACTATAAGATAACGGCCTTCTTTTATAAAAATAATTAATATATCTATTATAAGCGTAGTAGGCTTACTATAGAACTCTCGCTCTTATACGTCTACTAGTAATTAAGTCTAATATACCCCTTTTTAGAGCGTACTATCTAGTATAAACTAGTACTAACTAGTACTATTATAGCTTAATACGTTTTCCGGGAGAATTTAATAGTAGAATATATAGACTATAAGTAACTAAATCTTTTATATCTAGTTATATATCTTTCGGTATTATAGGGGGTAAATAATAAGTAAATAAGGATATTAAATGAGTTAATATTCTACCCCCTATAAGCGATAATTCACGGGGTTCCTAGCCGTAGCTAAGGGGATACTTATATACTAATATATCTAGGCTATAATAATCTAAACTATAAGGACTTTAAGATACTATAATATACTACCTACAATTTATACTCTAATACTTACAAGAGTAAAGTAATTATACAAAAGTAAAAAACCTTAATTAGGAAATAGAATAATAACATCTAAGACTACGAATATACTTATCTAATAATCTATAATACCTAGCAATAGTTTATATTAGGTTCTAAACCTAGAGTAGGAATACTTCTAGAGATAATAAGTAAGTATTTAGTTAGTATAAATATAAACAAAATATTGACTAGTAAATTATAAGCGTATAAAAACTACTATCGATATAGGCCTTTCTGTCACGAATCACGTGTCAGCACGTGAAAAGTGAAGACCAGGCGGTGTCCTGACAGGTCAAGCACTATCGTATGCTCTTATAGCAAATGGGGATCCTTAGACTAGCTAAGCGATCCAGGAATTTCCTTTGGTTAGCATCACGTGACGGAAGGATCGCCTGGGGCGACAGGCGCTCCAGTTGACTGGGTCGCCTAGGTCGACAAGCGACTGAGGCGATCCAACAGTTGGAACAAAGAACTGAGGTTCCATATAAGACTGGCACGTCTGTAATTAGATAGGAGCTTCGTGCCCAACTTAGTTATCAATCTTATCATATTAGTTTGACATCTTTGATACAAGTAACGAGTTCACTTCCAAGTGAACAACCCGATAGTCTTCTTCTTATCATAGCATACCAACCAGCGAACACCCAGCCAAGTTTAGTTAGCCAGTTTGAGTTTTCGTTACACTTTCTACCCTAAATTAGAAGAGCGAGTTATAGGTTTATTCTACTAGATAGTAAATAAAAAGACTCCTATATATTAACGATAGTTCTATTATATACTCTAGGCGGAATGAGAGAAACTATACCCTAATAAGCTACCTTTCGAGATAACTAATAGTTAGTTTCAAGGGGTTTAAAAAAGGAATAGAATATTCTAGTATAGGATTATAAAAAAGGTATATACTATATAAAATCGTTACTTTTTCGGCCTTAGTAGAGTAAAGTTATATATAAAAGTTTCTTATTTTACTAAATTTTTAGTAAAAAAATAAAAGATAAAATCTACTAGCTAAAAAAATAATTCTTTAATCCCGGACTATCTAGAGCCTAGTCTTTTATACTCTTAAAGGAACTCTTAGTATATATTATAAACTTCCTTTAATATATATAACAAAACTCGCTTTTTACTAAGCGTATACTACTTCTATACTAAAGCGAAGAGAAAGAGCGATTCCTAGCCTTAGATTTAGAATAACGATATATAGTATTTTAGTCATATATAATAAGTAATTAATGCTCTAATTATTATAGTCCTAAATCGGATTATAACTACTATATTAAAAGTTCTATAATTATTAAATTAAACCGCTTTTATCCTTAGATAATTATAAACTAGAATAAGACGCCTCTTCTATAGGATTATATAGATAGATAGATATATGTTCTAACTAACTCGAAAACTATTACTACTTATTTTACTAGAAGTAGTAATAAGAAATAATAAGTAACGTTAATTATATATCCTTTTATAAATAGAAAGTTCATATAAATTAGACTAAAGGTTATCTTCTATAGCTTAGAGAATAGACCTATTTAAGATAGAGAAAAGTACTTATATTCTAATAATGTAATAACTAAGTTTAATAAGGCAGGGTATAATAATAGCGACCTAGTAGTTAAGTAGATAAGAGAAGAGCTCGTACCTTTAACTAGATACTCTATAGATAATCTACTACTATTAGTTATAGATTATACTAGATTCTATAAGACTAAAGTAATAACTACGCTCTACGACCTAAGAGTAACTATAGTAATAGTTCTACCTAGCTATACTAGTAGTCTCTAAACTTATAATATATACCTAAATAAGATTATTAAGAAGTTAATAGAATAGTTTTAAATAGGTATATTAATAAGAAGGAGATACTTAATCTAAACTACCTTCTTAAGAAGTAGACCGCCTTGGAGAAACGAGTTATATACCTAGTTATAGTAAGTAAAATATACTAGACGCTCGAAAAGGATTATTCTAATACTATTACTAACTTATTTATAGATTATAGAATTAACCTACTAGTAGATAGTTCTATAGACTACCTTATTTTTATTAAAGACTTTAAGGGCTATCTAGATATTCTTAATCTTTAAAGTATAAGGTAGATATATAATAAGAAGATCAAAGAGTACTAGACTTAAATTTAGTTACTTAATAATACTAAGAGTAAGTAAGAGTGTGACGGTTATGGTCACGAGGGCTGGATGTCACATGTTCGCTTAGCGAGGCGCTAGCGCGCACGACCTGTATTTAGTTCCCAGCTCTCTCGAGCTCTCCTTCTTTCCTCGTCTTTGGTCCTAAGAATAGAGTGTTAATTGTTCTGAGTTCTACCTGAAGCACGTCTGTCACAAAGAGATCCTTAAAAGCAACGGTATAATATACTAAGATTATAAGGCTATAACTAATAAGGACTTAAAGGATAGAATACTAGAACTCGAATCTCGAATAAGGAAGCGCGGTTTAGTAGTAGGAGGTAAGAGAAAGGCTAGAGTAATTAGGTTATTAAGAGCCTAGGATACTAAAAAGTATGTACTTAAAGATACGTTAAATAAGAAACAGGGTAGAGAATTTATATTTAATCCTACTATTTAATTTACAACTAGACCTACTAGAAGTTTATAAATAATAATTATTTAAACTCTTATAAAATTAGAGTTTTATTCTATAGATCCTTATATAATTAGTATATAAGGAATAGTATCGAGTCTTATAAATAGCCTAGGATTATATATAGGATATCTACGTACTACGTAGCCTCTCCCCTTTACTATATTACCGTTCTACTAAAATCGTTTATACCTTACTATCTTTACATATATTTTATAGGAATAATTTTAACTTTAAAATTCGCGAATAAATATATATCTAAAGGATTCCTATCTTTCTTATCTATCTATCCTATATAATATTCTAAACTAAAGAATATAATACTCATTCTACGTATTCTACTAAGGCGCGACTCGGTATAGTAGTAATAAGCGCTATAAAAAGTATTGATTTCGAAGGGTTAATTATTCGGCTAGAAGTCTATTAATACTATTATATAAATAAGTTAGTAAGTACGATATTTAAAGGAGATATACTTGTAAATAATATAGTAAGTGTTATAAGTAGGAAAGTTATTAGGAATTAGAACTACTATAGTATTATAGTAGTAGTAGTAGTAGTAGTAGTAGTAGTAGTAGTAGTAGAAGTAGTAGTAGTAGTAGTAGAAGTAGTAGTAGAAGTAGTAGAAGTAATAATAGCTTTAAAAGGAGTATCCTACCCTAGCCACCTAGCGATGGGTTGCTATATAGCTGCGGTCGAAGAGGTCCTATATATTAAAATTAGCGTAGATCACTACTAAAATCGATAAGCCGAGACTTAGTCGACGTAGACTCTAAGTGGCTCGGAGCGTACGGAACAGGTCTACAAGCCCCCCCTACTACATCCACCCATTTTCCTTAAGGACGATTTACCACGGTACTGTAAATACGCCCTTTAATCTCCTATCTCCACAAATCAACTTTGTGAAGGTTGTTTGCACAGATACTGCTCGGATATCGCTCACTAGTATGAACCCGACTACGACTCATCACAAAAGTCAGCGGCAAAACCACTCTAATCCCATAGTACGAGTGCGCCTCGCACACCCAGATGTGCGAGCCTCGAGGTTAGACATTATTAGAGTTGGTTCCTGGATTCCTGTGGCTTGATCCGAACTTTGAAATTCGGGCACTAGTTGATGGGGCTTTTCAGCCTTAGACGACGGTCCAGGTCCAGATGGGACGATATCCATATTTGAGATTTGGAGGCGTTTTCAACCTCGTGGATATCACGATTCAAGGATGACATGCTTCTAGAAGAATTGAAAACTGGACAGTAGTCGGGTGTCTCATCCCGCGGTATTATCCCACCTTCCAGATTAGGTGCATATGTAAGCGAGTACCGTACGGCACTTGCGACTGTGAACCCTTCAATTGTTTTGAAGCACAAACCACCTATATGTGGGGATATATTTTCCAGCGGGGGGATGGAAAATAAAACCCAATTGCTTGTGCTATTTGCATTTGACACCCACTGGCCTGAATGCTTTTTCATACGCCAAATATACTCGACTTGATTCAATAGCGAAGATAAACACCCAGGTATTAAAAAGTACAGATGTATCAAATGCCTGCCAAGGCAATATAGATATGAGATGGATATTATATGCGAATACTCCATGCATGGTCCTTAAACCCGGAAAATAAAGAATATGCCATTCAACCTAACTTCCTTCTAAACGCGGTTAACAAATCCTGCTTGTTTTAGTTAAATCACCACCCTAAGCCCCAACACTTTAAGAGATATGCCTCAGACCGTCCGCCTCTCAGCATCAAGTTCCCACTCGAGTTCTATCAAGGCGACCAGAATTACGACACAAAACAACCACCGCAACATCCAAAATCATGAGGCAAACGATATACATCCAGAATCCAAAGGCGATCCGGAACTCTCGAAAACCGAGAAATCTTACTCTACCACCACAAATATCAAGTACTAGGTCAAAGGAGGTCCGGAAAGCTATCCTGCCAGCCGGCGTGCCTGGCCCACCTGTAAGTCAGCATGACTAGAAGAGGACCTTATGCGTCTTCGATTATACCCATATAAACATATTGATTCAATTGGCTAGGGTGGTTAATATACGGGAAATACCTTCCATGTATATATATTGTGTCGCATATAGGGGCGAGAGACCGGAGCCCGTCAGACAAAACATCTGAAAGTTCCAGACTACTAGTAGCCATACTAATGATTTTAGGTACCACCTACAGCCGCTACTTCGGATCTAGATGTTTAAAAGGAAATGCTATCTACAGTAGTACTCCGAGACTTTGGCACTCAAGGAGAGCGTATTGCTTATTCTCCGGTATTCGTGGAATGGGGATATTATCTCATCATCGTGCTGTGTATAGTTGACGTACACAAGCTGGAGTTTAGAAATGCCGCCAGCTGCCTTAGGATATGATCATCGACCCTACACGCATATGAAACATTCAATCATGTTAAGATCTCATGACAAAAAGCCTCAAAGAAGTCGCAGTATCTGATAATGCTTAGGCAAAGCCAAATGGTCATCTAAATTCCAGCGCTGTTATGTACGGAGGAGTCCCTCAAAGTTACATACATGAAAAAGTGGGTATTTGCTTTTTTGTTACGCCAAAGACCCAATCAATACGCCATCTTTCCGAATTCTGTAAGCTATAAAAAACAAGTTCAGGGGAGAAGGAAAAAAGACGCGCCATTTGTACAAGAATGTGCAATCATATGGGCTGAGACACAGAAAGCGCAAATGGAAACAATTTGATTGATTTCTCACATTGCTCTGTTCTCGAAGCCGTTATGTTGCATGGTGCTTTCGTGCCGCTGAAAATGGCCCTCGGTGGCGTTTGCGGCTAGGAGTTGTTGACGGAGCTGCTCTTCATCACTTACTTGTTCAGATTGTTGAGTTTGTTGGGATTGTTGCTGAGGTTGTGGTTGGTATTTTGTAGGCTGAGGCTGAGATTGAGCTGAAGGTTGTGACTGTAATTGAGTCGTGGGTTCCGTGACGTGAAATTCTTCTGGAGATTCTTGTCTTCTACTTTGGGAATTATCCGGACTAGCTTGAGAAGCAACCCCATTCTGCTCTGGTGTCTGTTCATGGAGCCCGCGACCTAGAGTCATGATTCCGTCAAAATGTGCCTGTGCCTCAGTTTGCTCGAGTCTCGAGCGTTCCTCGGCTTCTTTCCGAGCTGCCTGGCCAGGTGCTCGGGTTTTGAGCTCGCCCGTAACAGATTGTAAGTAGTATGGTACCTCTATATTGCTCTTTAGAAAGAATAGCTTGAGATTCCTAGCTTTGTCCTTTAGTTGAACTTGATTTCGATCCGCAAGAATTTGACTCTGTGAACCCTTTTCTCCATACAATGCCAATATTTGACTCCAATGGGGACCTCGAACTTGGTCAAGACCTGCCATCAAAGCATTTTCTTCTTCTGTGCTCCATGGCCTTCTTTGACTAGGGGGTCCAGTTTGACGGTTGGTGCCGGGTGTAGATTTGGCTAAAGCAGCTTGCCGAGCTTGGTTGTACAAAACCTGCGTTGGCGCTGTCTGAGTATGGTAAGGGATATTAGAGCATCCATAACTTGGTTGGAAACCTCCACTATGGGAGCTGTGAGGTCCACTGTGCTGATGATGAGAGGTGGCTACGCCATTTAAGTTAGCAGAGTAAAATTGGCAGGAAAATTATGCCACCAATTATGTGTACAAACCTCCATTCTGTTGCTGGCTAGACTGTCTCGCTACAATATCTCGAAAGGCCATTTGTGCAGCAGAATCAGCCGAAGCCAATAATTCAACCCTATCATGGAATGGTTCTCTGGCCTGCATTTGATTCGTGTTAGTCCCTCGAGCTGCGGGTGTTGTAAGGGCGTGTCGCTTCATATAAGGTCCCAGAAGTGTCTCATATTCTTGGTTGAGATGAACACTAAGATCCTCTAGATATTGTTCCCAAGGATAGTCTTCCGAGAGTGCTTCTATTGCTGCTGATCAGTAAAACTAAATGTGCGTATACTTTGAGGCACTTACGAATCGATTCTGCATCTGTCCGTGCTGACAAAAGAAGCTCTTTTCTTTGCCTGCAAGAATCCAAATAGTTCTTTTCGCTCTCTGATAAATCTTGCTGTGGGTGTCTTTTCAATAGGGTTTGATTCAAATCAACAGGGAAGAGATCATCCAAAATTTCTTCCTTCGTCTGATCATTCCCCTCTTCACCGCAAGCGGAGAGATACATTTGTGTCTTCAGGTTGATGTGAAGCGAGCAAGCTGTTTTATTCATTGGCTCCCCTTCAGGAGTAAAGGTATCGATGAAGTAATTATTCAACTCATAGAATCCAACATCCTGACCCCCAAATACACCCGATACGAAGGTTGCCATGTTTGTAATTCGTATGATTGACCGGTGTTTTTCATCTGTGAAATTTAGAACATCCGCAGACAGGAAATTGTCATCTTTCGAATAGATCTTCTTGGTTTGATCGAAGAGCGATTTCAACGTGGAATATGCTTGGCCATGTAATGAATCAGGCGAGGTGACGATGTGTATAGTTTCGGAACAAGGACCTTGTGCCAATGTGGAAAGAATCTGGATCGACTTTGAAAGACTTTTAGTATGATATTTCCAGTAAAGTCGACATATGACGGGGTCTCGATCATGTCAGACATCAGAGACATACCAGGTTCTCCAAGATCGGCAGACTCATAACCCACATATACGTATTTGGATCATATATAATATTTCGAACTTCAGCATGAATTGGTTGGTGATTTTGAGGTGGTGCCGATTCGTGTATAGGTTCCCTGGGTGGTAGCGCATGAGCCGCAGGTAATGTAGCGTTGGTAGTTGCTTGTGCAAGCGCAGCCTCCAATTCCAAGTCCTCCAAGCCCGATTCCATCTTGAGCCGTTTATTTGCAGGATCCTGAGATTGAGAGCGATTACGTTTATGGCCCGGAGAGATAGATTCGTGTGCAATCGTCACCGGGGGACCTGATTCTCTCGTCAGTTTCCCAGAAACCCCAATTGTAGCGACCCAGTCCTACGGCGGACTCCATGGCAGAACTCACTATAGTCACCGTTCACCATCACCATTTTGACGGTTCCAGCAATATTTCGTGCTGCCGGATGGTGGGGTAGCTAGCTATCTGAACGAAAGTTGGGGCAAGAGAGTGTCGGGTTGCGATGAGCACGGCGAAAATTCACAAGCCCTAGTCAAAAAGACCTGATGCCGAAACCCTAACCCCGATAAGAGGACTCGCTAAATTAGGAAGTCCTAGCACCAACATCTTTACATCGTGGTTCCTGACAAACATATGATCCATGTTGAGTTGCACACGGAAGAAACAAATTTTTTTACAATATCTCAATGTTGGCAATGACGTAGTAATGTGGGAGCTTTGACATGGAAAATAATTGGTTAAGATTGGCGATGTTCTATTATGATCATACGACATTCTTTCCGCCCGTCGGAGATTAATGGAGTAAAACAGACTATAACATTCACCATTTTCCTTCTGGAATGGCTAGGCTGTTCTCGCTGTTTCATAGGTACTGTGCCCTCTACCTTCTAGACTGGCCCCTTTGAAGTCTCTGTTTGATCATTTTGTTCAATATTTTCCCCTAGGGTCTCACATAACAGGCGACTTCATTCTGATACGATTTGTTCCAATACTATCAACATTGCATACACCACTTGGATTATTGGATTCATGAATTTTAATTTGGAAACTTCTAGCGCTCAATCCACTGCCGAAAAGCCTCTCCTCTGTCGTATGAACTGTATTTTCTAACTTCATCCTCTCTTCCCAAGCAAAGAAACAACTGCAAAGAAACAATTGCAAAGCAACTCTAGTAACTCCCAGCATCAGTTCTCAAACTCCTGAACTCCAGCCTTCCCCTTCGAGTCCCACCTAGAACGAAAGTTAAACTCCATCCGCGTTCTCCTTAAGATAACCCATCTTCCAAGCCTTTTGTACAAATCCCCAATAGTCCTCTTCACCTCCCTTCCCTCGGAACATCTGCGCGTGCTCCGCATTCTCAACTCTCTTCTTGATGACTTTATATCCCTTGCCCTCACAAAGCTTAGCGTGGGTCTCAACGTTCTTGTAGTCGATAGCTTTATCTTCCTTGCTGTAGACAAAAGCTCTAAGACATTTCTGAGGGATCTGATCATGGTTCACGGAAGCGTCATGGGGTGCCCAGACGAGTTGGTGCCAGAACCATTTTGGCATCCCTAAAATGGGTATCAGCTAGGAAATCGGGCTATGAAAAGGAGGGATGATATGAAGATGGAAAGGGAAAGGGGAGGAAAAATGAGAAAGAAGAGACTTACAATTAACACTAACATAAACAAAACAAGTGATCATATAAACCACCACATAAAACGGCGCCTTAGCCCACCAAGGCCACCCCTTAACCGGCACAGTAAGCGCATGTACATCCCTCCTAAACTGCGGGATCCCCGGCGCCGAATCAAGAATATAAGCAAAAGGCATCAACGGCTTTCCAGCCAACTCCCTAAACGCACCCGCAATTCCATATAATCTTTTTGCACCACCATTACTGATTGCATGCATCAATAACCTCTCATCTTCCAGTGGGCGCGCTAATAACGCTGTGACGGCGGCTTTTATGTCTGACCGACGTGTCTTTTCGGATTGTAGCAGGAATTGCGCGGTATTGATGGTGGCGATTAGGATTCGTGCGCCGGGGAAGAGACGGATGTACGAGGATGTGTACTTGGCGATATGTTTTGGGGAGGCATTCATCCATGAACAGAGGAGGATGGTTGTCGGTGCTGTAGGGAGCGGTAGAGGTGAGTCCGGGGGCTCGTAGAGACTGACTACTTTGGAGAGACGATTGAAGGACGATATCGGAATCGAAATTTTGGTTTCCGTTCCTGGGATTGGGGAATATGTTCTTGTAGCCATGATTGGAATTTGAGGCTGAATGTTTTTGATATCTCTTCTGCGACTTCAAGGGTGGATTCAGGTAAGAACCAGACCCCCCTGCATGCAGATAAGGTTATTGAATCTTGTGAGAGAGTAGGTAACACAAAAAAAGAAACTTATCCGACCACTCGAAAGAAAAACATATGTGAAGGTTGATTAACTTTATAAGGTCACTTCAAGCTCAGCTTTCTTGAGGCTGACGAAATGCAAAGGTACGGCACAGGATAAGCGGATCAACCCAGTATCTTTCTTAAACTGTTGAGGAAATGCCTGTCCTCGGACGAAATCTTGAATAGAATGCCCGCCCGTCTTACCTAGGTTGGCTCTAAGTAGTGAAGTGGGTGTTCCCGCTCGGGGTGAATATCTACTTGTGAGATATAGTGAGGTTCCAATCTTCGTATCCAACGTGGTGGTTCGCTGCAGGAAAGTGAAGCCTGTAAAGGGTCGCCCAACAATCTCGTTGAAGGCTTCCTCGTGATATCGAGCCGAGGTTGGAATTGATTGGTTGCTAAGTAGTATATTTCTGCATTGTTTGAACCTACTATAACAATCAAGGTTTTGGGCGCCTAAGTGCGTGTTTGGTTGGGATGGACGTACAACTGAGTTCTCAGAGGCTTGACTCTTCTTTGTACAAACTCAACTGATTTTGGCAAGTCCGAGCAAGTGTACGCTTGAGTGTACTCTCTACTCAAATACTCTTCAGCTTAAATAAGGAGGTTTTATAATCGGTTTTTATAAACAATATTTTTTCCCTTCTCTAGTATATATGTAACGCCTCTACAAGAGGGTATTATTAGGAAAGGGTGCTATATAATCGAGTAGTTTATATATAATTATATATATAAAGTAAGAGTATTAACGTTAGGTGTACTAAGCGAGTCCACAGAGAGTACATATTCGATTAGGATTTGATACGTATTGAAATATATTGTCTGATTTCAATAGTATACTACTATACTTCAAATAAAGCTAGATTATATATTCGAACGAGTACTTTTCTTTTCACCTGATATACAAGCTCAACGTTTTTGTACTTGGAGTGTGCACTTAGAGTGTGCACCTACATTTCATATGGTATACCCTATTGTAAGGCCAGAGCTAAACAGGCCCTAATTAATAAGAGCCCTGGTATATTCCACTTCCTAAATATAGCAACTGCGAATATTATCCAAACCATTCGATTTACTCATGAATCATCTCTTGTAGTCACTTTTGTTAAGCAATGAGATTCAATCGTTACTGCCCTGGTGTAATACTCCACACTCAAACAATATTTTCCATAAGTGGGCTTCTTCTAGTTCTCGCTTAATCGTTTTAGATAGCTGTCATCTAGCTAACAATCTACCAAATTGCGAAGTATCTCCCTCCAGATTAAGCAGAGAGGGACAAAAGAACGAGATGTTCTAAGCTGAAGTAAAACAAATCTAGTTTTAACAGAAATTTCATCAAATTATAGGGGGAACCAACACATCAGAGTCAGTTTCCAAGCAGTTGAGCTCTGAAAAGAAGCAGTTATCACTCCACTGCAGTGCAAGTTTTAGGCGTTTCTTTCATTTGGAAAGGATAAATGATCCAACACCAACACCTATAACTTCTCTTTAGACATAGAGAACCTCTCCTTTCACTCACTCTCCTCCCCAAACCAACCCGTCTCATCCTCTCTAACTTCCACCTCACCAACCCACCACTCCTGAAAAGTCCTCAAATAAGCCTCCCTCTCACCCCCCATCCTCCTCCCCGGCTCCGTCTTCATCATCCCCGCCAGCATCAAAAGCTTCCCATCCAGCAACTTCATCGTCTCCTGCATACTCTCTTTCGCAACCAANAGCCTCCCTCTCACCCCCCATCCTCCTCCCCGGCTCCGTCTTCATCATCCCCGCCAGCATCAAAAGCTTCCCATCCAGCAACTTCATCGTCTCCTGCATACTCTCTTTCGCAACCAACTCCCCATTAATCCTCCCCCCACCATGCGTCCTCGCGCCCCCAAACGTAAACAACCTCCCAATCCCCACCGCCCCCATACTATCCAACCGATCCGCATCCTGCACCACCCTCAGCTCCGGATACTTCTGCATGAGCGCTTGGTTCGCAGCCACATCCCCCATCTCGGTCTTATACGAGACGCCATCGCAGATGTCTTGGATTTTGTCGGCTAGTTGGGGAGAGGCTCCCTTTTCGATGAGGAGGGTGGAGATCATGGTTCGTGCTTCCTCTGGGGTGGTTCCGTTGGGTAGGTATTTTCTGTCGTTGATGTCGTGTAGGAGAGCTGCTAGTGCGATGGTGTCGAGGTCCATTGAAGGAGGGGAATTGAGTTCGTGGTAGATTTTGTGGGCGGTGGTGACGACGCGGCGGATGTGGTGGAAGTCGTGGGAGGCGTCGTTTTGGTCCATGTAGGCTTTTACATGGGCTTTGACGCTTTTTATGAGGTCTTTTGAGGGGGTGGTCATTTTGATCGGCTTTTGGTGGTGGATGTGAGTACAGAATCCAAATCGGGGGGTGAGGAATTTTTGGGTGGGAAGTGGGGAAGATGGGAGGTTGATTGGCTTTATATTCTTCTGGAAGTTTGCATTTTGGATTTGATTGTAGGCTTTTGTTCTTGTGGTTTGGGAAGGGGTTTGTATAGATACAACGCAATAGATTTTTCGTCTCGGCGAAGTGACCATGGAAATGACTCACCGGCGTGATTACCTCATGTGAGAAGAAAGTAGGAAACTTATTTGACAAGATGTCTCGTGACCTCAACGGATATTTGTGGTTTGCTTTTATCAGATGTCGCTGTCAACAGGATCCTACGCATTGGTTTTATTCGCTTAAGCCCCCTAATGACCCAAGGGCACGGAGGACACGGGACCGACCTTTACTAGATTCTGGTTTGACTACGTTAGGCTCCTATTATGGGCCTCTTTACTTGGGAACAGTGAGAGCATGCTAACTCTTTATGGATAATTGGAAAATCATGATTGAAATTGGAAGCGTGTGTACATATCTCTAGACTTCTATGCAACTTATGAGGATATTTTCTAAATAATGGAGATGATACCAGGAATAGAATGGGGCCTCCCAGTTGAAGAAAAGAATTTGTGATCAACTCTGAGAATTGGCGAAAGGACTCCAACAAAATCAAGCAACCATAGATAGTCATGCAAAATTAGTAACGCCTCAGCTGTGAATTTGTGGTTCCAGGTTGCAGTAATGGAGGAATTGTATTCCACAACGCAATTGCAGCTTTTATCTTTGGAAAGTAATGCGAGTTCATATAAAACTCTTCCTCTTCCCACCAAGGTCTTAGCTCAATACTTCCCCATAAGAAAGCGGGTAGATCGGTATTGCGGAAAGGGCGTAAGGAAAGTAAAGCGACTCAAGACTGATTGGACGAGACCTGAAAAAATGCGAGGAAAGTTTGAGGAAGACGCGAGAAGAGAACGTGGAGAAGTGGCGGCTTTGGTTTATTAAGGTTGAAGCCTAGGTAGACTCTAAATGCACACTTGTAAATCGTCGCTTAGAAGAACACTACAGAGGGGGCAAGTGGATAGTTTGTTCGTACTCTGTAGGCTCTGAGTGGCTAGAAGTCCTTCTTTTTGAGCCACTTCAAGAACAGCTTTCTACGAGTCCCAGGGCAGAATATTTTACTTTGAGAAAAATCAATTTGAGAAACTAATGCTCATCGCAATCTTTCACTCGAGTACGCATGAGAAGGACTTCCAGCAGCTTAGAGGCTACGAAGTACGGACCGCTTTATTTCGCACCTAGTGCGATCCACTACTTCTCCAAGCATTCTCACTAGAGACGATTTACCACTGTGCCTAGGTACTTGGATCCGGTGCCACACTTGGCAATGGAAGTCCTTTGTAAATTAGGCTTTTGATTACGGAAGGTGCCTTAACGCCGAATGCACAATTTATCGCCGAATACCCCCGTTGATGTGGTGCATTGGCCGCCGATCGCTGAAGGTTCATGCTGCACCGAAGCAAAGTGGGGTGGCAGTCATCTCCAGCCGAGTCCCATATTTTCTAAGGGTTAGTAGGTTACTCCACTCGATCGAGTACGCGTACTTCGTAGAAAGTGGTAGCAAGGCAAACACACGACAGCACAGCAGCTGCTGAGGCCACGATGTAAGCTGGATCACCACTCAATCATCGCTCAGTCATACTCGAGTACTCATACCCACGAAAGCAGGGGATTGCTTCTACACTGTGTCCCACAAGCTCCATCGGAGGAGAATTCCATTTGGTTGAGAACGGGGCAGGAGCTTCTAGGGGCATGCGAGGTTCAGGGTGCAGGTGGCGGACGGGAGGCGGGGGAGCTGTCATTGGCCTCCTACGACAAGTATGACGCCTCGGGAGCTCCCCTCTGGTGCCGGCAACGTCAGGAGTCGAAAAGTGTATTAACATTGCATTGTTGCGGAGAGAGGTGAGGGGTCGGGCAAGTGAGGAGCGAATAGTAATGGGCTTTCCACTGGTGGCAGACGACGGCCCTACGGCCTTGGTGAGTAGAGCCAAGATGAAGAATGGAGCAATCGTCTGCCCTTTGCTCTGCCACAGATGTCTGGCCTGTCTGGCTTGGATTGGTTACTAATTGGCGAGCTCTCAGATATCCGAAAGAACAGTGGAGGAAGCTCCACCAGCTTGAGTGGAGAGGTGGTTCCTTTCGGGTTCCAGGTTCCACCTGAGCAACATGGAGGATACCGAGGATACCTACGGAGGATAGTGAATCCCTTCTCCATCACCACAAGAGGCCGCCACTGCCAATTGTGCTGTCTGTGTACTGGTGTATAGTAGAAAGGCACAACCCGTGTACAACCCCTCTTTGCCCAAACACTCCAGATATTTAAGTCCACCTTCCCCCCACGATCTTTGTTCAAGAACTTCTCTTCTTGCCACTCCACCTCCCATCTACAAACTCTATCCCACTCCACCTCCCATCTACAAACTCTATCCCACTCCACCCCACCCCAAACTTCCTCCCACATAGAACTTCCACCATCACAGCTGTCTGATAAACCACCACAATGACCTCTATCCAGCTTTCGACGCCAAGTTCTGGCAAATACACACAACCAACTGGCTTGTAAGTCCTCCAGCTTTCGAATCCCCCACTGGCAACGGCAAACTGCGCACTACCCCGCATTCATATCTTCACTGGATGACCTGCTGACGTGATATCCCCATCCAGGTTCATCAACAACGAATGGGTCAAGGGTGTCGAGGGCAAGACCTTTGAGACCATCAACCCTTCTACCGAGGAAGTCATCTGCTCCGTCAGCGAAGCCACCGAGAAGGATGTCGATATTGCTGTTGCCGCTGCGCGCAAGGCGTTTGAGGGTGAATGGTCGAAGGTGACCCCACAGAACAGAGGCAGATTCTTGGTCAACCTCGCCGACCTGCTGGAGAAGAATACGGACCTGATTGCTGCTGTTGAGTCGCTCGACAATGGCAAATCGCTGGCCATGGCCAAGGGAGATCTTGCGGCTGTCACTGGCTGCTTGAGATATTATGGTGGCTGGGCTGACAAGATTGAGGGTAAGGTTATTGACACAAACACTGATACCTTCACCTATACAAGACAGGAACCAGTAAGTGGCCCAATTTAGTATTTCGTCAATTGCCACATCTAACAGATATTTATAGATTGGAGTTTGCGGCCAGATTATCCCATGGAACTTCCCAATGCTTATGTGGGCATGGAAGATTGGTCCAGCCATTGCCACTGGTAACACTGTCGTTCTGAAGACCGCCGAACAGACTCCTCTGTCTGCTTTGGTGGCTGCGAGCTTCATCAAGGAGGCTGGTTTCCCTCCAGGAGTTATCAACATTATTTCTGGTTTTGGAAAGGTAGCTGGTGCTGCACTTTCCTCTCATATGGATGTTGACAAGATTGCCTTTACTGGATCCACCCCAGTCGGTCGTCAAATCATGAAGGCTGCTGCCAGCTCCAACCTGAAGAAGGTCACTCTTGAGCTTGGAGGAAAATCACCAAATATTGTTTTCAACGATGCGGATATCGAGAACGCCATCTCATGGGTCAACTTTGGTATCTTTTTTAACCATGGCCAATGCTGCTGCGCTGGCTCCCGAGTTTACGTTCAATCGGGTATTTATGACAAATTTGTTGAGCGATTCAAGGCTCGTGCTGCGGCCAACAAAGTTGGTGACCCATTCGCCTCTGATACTTTCCAAGGCCCACAAATTTCACAACTTCAATATGACCGTATCATGGGATACATTGAGACCGGAAAATCCGAGGGTGCCACCGTACTCACTGGCGGTAAGCGCCACGGAGACAAGGGATACTTCATCGAGCCAACCATTTTCTCAAACGTTACCGAGGACATGAAGATTATGCAGGAAGAGATCTTTGGACCTGTCTGCTCTATTGCCAAGTTTGAGACTGAGGAGGAAGCTATCAAGACTGGTAACCACAGCACATACGGTCTTGCTGCCGCTGTTCACACCACCAACCTAAACACAGCCATCAGAGTTGCCAACTCAATCAAGGCTGGTACTGTCTGGGTTAACCAATACAACATGCTTCACTGGCAGGTTCCTTTTGGAGGATATAAGGAGTCTGGTATTGGACGTGAGTTGGGAGAGGCTGCTTTGGCCAATTACACACAAACCAAGAGTGTTGCAATCCGTTTGGGAGATGCTCTCTTTGGTTAAGATGATGTTTCTGCGATTTTGTTAACCACAAATGGGATGATTTTCTGGGCCGGGAATCGGAAAGAAAATTTGTCCTATGATCAATTAGTAGCTAATGGCCCGTAGCCTTGCATTCGAGGACAATCAAAACAATAATCTTCATGAGTGAGCAGTCTTATTCCGTTATGATAATTTGACATCGTTCGAAATTATGGAGCGTCCATGCTGGAGACGCTCAAACATGGCGGGGTTGGGGCACGTCGTACCAAAACCATAGGTCCGGCGAACTCCAGATGTGGAGAAGTGGGGGCCAGCACTGGGGAGAGCTGGAGATAAGCTTCCACAACCATGTTGCATGACGTTGAATGATTATCGGGAATACATGCTAACATGAACTCAGTTTAAGAGGCAGTTTACGAAGACTTGAATCGAGGTTCCATGTGGATATTTGAAGATGTAGGTGTAGTACCTGCGTTTTTGCGTAGAAGGCTTGCAGCCAACAGCCAACTACTGGACTCTTTGTTCTGTACTGGTGGTGAAATGAGGGGTAGGTAAGTTCTAGATTCGGGTGAAGCGATAAGAGCCTATCCTGGGGCCTAAGGTTCATCAATGGCCAGATTGCAGCGTAAATAGTCATGGACTTGAACTCTTATTGACTCGTAGATTGCCGAGTGCAGATTACCCTATCCATGAGGAGGTGGTGCAACCAATTGCGACATGCGATCGTGTGATCTGGTGCAGGAGGTTGCATGCATGTCCAGGGATTTCTTTGGTGTTGGAGGGGAGGAGCTTGAGCTACACACAGTATGAAATGGGTGGGCAGAAGTGCTATCACAAGCTTACTGTGGTAGAGATTGAGCGGGATGGAGGAGGGAAAGTAAGCTTGTCGTGCAGTGAAGTCAGTCCTTGTGCTCCCCTTGTGGTGCAGATGGCTGGTGGGGAGCGTCATTGTGCTTTGTTCCATATGCTCTCGCTCTTTTCCTCATTTACCCATGGTCTTCCTCTTCCCTTTCCTTTGGGTGTGAGGCTTCTTTTTGTTCGTGGTGTTACTGCTTACTTTGCACTCCACAGTGAAGAGTTTATCATTGCATGAGACGAAGCCACGAAGGGATATCAACCTCCTATTTGAATTGTACTTTGGAATTGAATTGCATCCTCAATCATGGTTCCCTTACTTCTTACCACGATTATCTCCCTCTCTGCTCTCGCAGCCGCAGCGAACACTACTCAAATCACCTGGGCAGCAGTCCTCTACACCTACCACGGCGAAAAAGTCCCTCTCTTCCATCCACCCCCCGAGAGTCTAACTCCCACGGGTGCAAACCAATTGTACCGCGCAGGTGAAAGTATACGAAATCGCTACCTAACACACACTTCCTCCAATTCCAATCTCAATGGCCAAGATGCAAACACCTTCCCGATCATTGGCATCCCACCGGATAATATCGATAATACCCTCATGCAAATACTCAGTACGAATGATGAGTGGGTTAGTGCGAGTGCGACGGCGTTTTTGCAGGGCCTGTATCCGCCGAGGATGAATGTTCCTGTTGTGAATGAGGAGAGTGTGTTGGGGACGGGGGATCTGGTGCAGTTCCCGCTTGATGGGTATCAGTATGGGAATGTTGAGACGTTGGGGAGTTTGGATTTTAATCGGATTTGGTGAGTTCTTGTTCTTTTACTTTGTTTCGTTTGAGGGAAGTGAGTGTTGTCCAGGAAAGTGTTCGAGTGTGACTTTGGGAAACAGATGTTTGAATAGTGTCCTATGCTTCAGTGCCAATTGCGAGCCAGGAGAAACGTGGGTAGAAGAACAAAGTTGCTGCCATAGGCGGCAATACAAGCTTCTGTTGCACACTGCTAACAACACCTCTCAGGATCGCGGGCCACGAAGGGTGTCCAAACTATGAAATCAACGGAGTAAAGGCTCTCAGCAATGAATTCTTCACAAGTCAAAGGGCAGCAAGCGAAGACTTCTACAAAAGCATAGCCAGAACCATCCTTCCGAGAATTGACGAGAATATCGTCAACTTTGAATTCGCATATGAAATTTACGAATACGCATTATACCAATACAACCGCAACAGAACCGTCTTCAGCGCCCTCAATAACACCAACGACCTCGAGATTCTGCGAAGTCTGGCTTCAAAACAGCAATGGTACTTCAATACCGCCGCAGGAGGCGCTTCCATCAACTCCATCGCAGGAAGGTCCCTCGCCGCAAAAGTCTTCCAGCAATTAAGTCGTGCTATCGTTTCAGATGGGCATACGAGTAAACTTTCCTTGATGTTTGGATCTTTCCAACCTTTCTTGTCGTTCTTTTCGCTTTCTAGCTTGAGCAGTGGACACTCCTCGGCTAGTTTTGTTTCTTTGCCGGAATATGGCTCGGTTATGTCGTTCGAATTGTTCTCTTATTCTACGGGCGAGGAGGGAAGTAATAATCCTCCATTCCCTGATACTGAGAATCTGTACGTGAGGTTTCTCTTTAGAAATGGGAGTGATGCCGGCACGCCTATGACTGCTTATCCGCTCTTTGGACGCGGGAATAACGAGGCGGATATGAGTTGGAGGGATTTCGTTAATGGGATTGCGGAGTTCGCTATTGATGATGGTACGTCCTTTCTTCCCTTTTCCATTCCAGGGAATTTGGGATAGGCTTGGAGAATATGAGAGTAACTGACGTATTCCCGTAGTCGAAAACTGGTGTTCCTCCTGCAGAGCAGTAAACCTCTTCTGCGAAGCAATCAACGACAACATCTCCCAAAACACCACTCCCATCCCCATCCTCTCTCACTCCCGCATCCTCCCCGCCGCAATCGCAGGAATCGTCGGCGCAACCGTCACCCTCGCAGTACTCATCCTACTCGTCCTGACCCTCACCTTCCTCGGTTTCCGCATCGACCGAAGATCCAAGTCCGATTCCACTTCCACTTCCCGAAACAGCGACCTGGGCGTCCTGAAAAGAAGCGGAAGTGGAGGCTTCAAAGGCGCGGAGAAGCTGGCTAGCGATACGGACCTCACGATTCAGAAAGGGGGCGCGGGCGCAAGTGTGGTGCGCCATGAGAGGGTGGGCAGTTGGGAGTTGAAGGATAGTCCGCGGAGTGAGCGGGCGGTTTCGAGTTTGGATAAGGAGATTGAGGAGGGGAGGGTGGTTAGTACGGTGGATTATGGGAGGAGGAGTGAGGATGGGATTGGGGCTGTGAATCCATTTGGGGAGCCGGTTAAGCCTGTTGACCATGTTTGATTTTATGATTAGTCTTAGGGGTCTACCGTTTTCTCTATTCCTCTGTTTCTTTGGACGGGATATTGGCTTCTCTGTTTCCAAGGCATTAGGTTCTTTTTGGGTTCTGTTTGTAGGGCTTTTCTGGATTTATGATACCCTTCTTTAGTCCCTCGCTACTCCCTTTACAATATCACCTGTGTACTTCCAATTGCATCTCAGCAATGAAGATTCTGTTTATCCACCTACAGTTCCCCGGACGGAGCTTCCGGTAAAGGCGTATTTTCAGACGAAGATCGTAAGTGTTTTACTTCGACCCTTAACCCTCTAAGACATAGTATTTAGCGAAAACTTCCAATTAAAAAACTGTATCATAAGTAAAGAGGGCAGACGCATCGGACAATCAAGCATAGGGTTGACTATCAATTTAGTACATATAGTGAGAGAGGATAGATAATTAGCCTCCGCCTCAGGTGATAGCAGACTCTGTCAACTTTCACTATTTGTACCAAGGGGAGGTACTTGCCACCAGGAACTTATTATCAGGAATCGAACCCGACCTACTCGCCACTCCTCCTCGGTATTAGTATATTTTACAGCTTAGTAAAGGTGGGCCTCGACTCTTTCAACAAAGGGGATCGTCGCACCTCCACCTGCCTACCGTATTCCTCGAAGCGCCTCCTAGTTCTTGTGCCTTGTGTCTTGATTGTCTCGCTACTAATTAGAATCCAGTCTTCAAATACACCAGTATCTATCTTCCCACGCGTCGTCACTTGTTGCCTCTGTGTCCTCTGTGCGGGTTCTCCGGACGGGTTTGCTTAGGCACCTTGGTACAGAACGAATATAGGAAGATGTAATCCACCAGATTTTGATAGATTTATATAACCTTTCTACTAACGCTAGGTAGGTAGTTTCTAGCATTTTATGTATAAAAATTGCCTGAACTTAGTAAAAATCAGCAACGGTATCTACCTGGATGTATTTACTCCACCTATATCAGTTCCATATTTGGGGTGGATTGTTCGATCCCCTCCGCCCTCTTTACCATCAATCAGCCTTTTATATATCCAATCTAGCTTCCAAAGATTAATCTACGTTATTTAAGCTTTTTCCGAAAACTCCGCGGACTGTACTGTAGAATTGGACTGATGTTATGATGCATCCAGCTACTAACCAATGCTATGCTATGCTACCTATGCTATTCCCAGAGAACACTTAACTTTGTCGCACGATCTAAAAATGATGTAAGGTACTGTACATCCGATGTCATGCATATACGAGAAATAGTGGCAGGACGTGGTTTATGGTGCGTACAAGGAGAATCGCTCTAGAATCGGTAATTCGCAAGGGGGACGTATCGAGGCGGGTCATGTGACAAAGCAAGGGCGTCTGGAAATGATTGGTGTATCTGGACAGGGCGTAAGCGATGAATATATACTTATATATATAAAGTGGTATATGTAACCGTGTGGAGTGAACCACTGCTTGCTGTGATGAATACGGAGTCAAACGGAAACTGCTGTATTGAGCGAAC